AATCAAAGCTGAAAATAAGGGTAGATCATCTTTCAAAAACTTTGGCACATTGCTGTCTCTCATTGCTCTGATTAGAACAGCATCTTCAGGTTAATTGATATCTGCTCTTTTTAATGCTCCTGCCATGACTAACACAGATTTGACTGCTCTCATACCAAAATCATAATGATCCTGTTAACTCAACTGTTGGGAACTCAACTGATATAATTGAGTCATTTTTTGTGACAAAGACTTGGCATCTTCAAACCCTTTCTGCTTAAAGCATGATTTCAGCAATTAATTTATAATCAGGAATCATCATAGATACTGGTCTAAATAAGACCTTTAGATTGTCTGGTAATTCTGTTCTGCCTGCATATCCTGGATTCATTGTAATGAATACTCCCACTTCTTCCTTTAAATTGATTGGTTTATCTGGATTCACAAATATAAATTATTAATCTCTTCTGATTAATGCCTATCTTACAGTTAATAATTGTTGAGCAATGACACTTAACACTTCAATATCAATACGATTGAATTCATCCAAACATGCCCAAGCTCCTTATTAAACTAAACCACTGAATAATCTTCCCATCATCTTATATTCAATTTGATCAGAACAATTGAACACAACACAAAACATTCCCAAAGCTTTGGCCAAGTCCTTAGTTGATTCTGTCTTTCCTGTTCCTGCTGGTCCAGCTGGAGCTGCTCCTAATTTAATATTCAATGCTCCAGTAATTGTCATCCAACATCTGTCTGTCAAATTAGTAATAACCAATCTTGTTGTAGCTCCTAAATATTCGTATCCATAATTTAATTTAGCATTAACTTATCTCACTATAATTAGATCATTTTCATCCATATAATATCTTAATTATTATTACCATGAGAATTCACTGATTGAACTAACATTTTCATCAGTTAAAGCATCCACAATATCTCTAGCATGAACATCTTAAGTAATCAATGCCACTATGACTTTGTGTTGAAGTGGAGTCAATGTACCTCTAACTAAGGCAGTCAATCCATTCAATGACTCATATAACAGATTATAGTGTTTTGATAAAGCAGTAGAATCATCTGTCATACTATTAATAGCTTATTCAGTATCATATGTCCAGATTAGATTCGAAATTGTGGCAACTACTTGAGCTGGTTAATTTAGTAACCAGTGATTTCTTTCTTAGGTTTCACTCTCTACTTTTCCTTGTTTCATTCTCTTCTTTAAGGATTCAATCATCTAATCTTAAACTTTCATCAACCACAATTCAACTTCTTCTTTTGTTGAAACACCCTTTACAAATGGAATCTTCTCTCCTTCTGGTGAAATCATTCCATTTACTGATCTAGCACCTTCTTCAGGTTATTCAAGTCTATAAATGGCTTCAAAACATTTCTTTAAATTTCTTTGAATTGCATCAAAATCCTATGATTTAGCCAAAATTTCCAAAAGCTCATCATTTGATAAGAAATAAAATCTTGGGAATGCCATTCTCTTTTCTTCTAAATAAGATTCTAATGCCTTTTGGATTCTATTTAATGTTTCTTTGTATTCTCTAAATTTATCTAGTAATCCACTTGCTCTATGAACTTACTTCTATGAATTAGTTTTCTTCATTATAGCCTTAAATTGTTTATCGACATTTTCAAACAAAGCATTTTCTTCCTTCAATTTTGTTTTGATATCCTGACTGGCAAAAATATTTTCCAAATAAATCCAATTTTTCTAAACTTATAGCCAATCATCCAAAGTTTCCTATGCAATCAACACATCCTTTTATAATTTTTCAGCTCTCTTTCTCAACATCTTCAAGTATCTACTTCCCAATATATTATTTAAACTTGCCAAGAAATCATCTAAGGCAGCTTATAATTCATCTATTTCAGTGAGCACATAAACTTCCTTGTTCCTTAGGTTTTCAGGCTTATAGTTAACACATGTAAATTCTAGAGCCTTCCACTTTTACTCAATATCATTAAACTAGGCATCTAAGACAGCTTCCTAAGTGGCTTAAGTAGCAACTTCTTATATCTATTCTTAATAGATTCCAACTTTCATGTCCATTAAATTTCTTAATGTAAATGTTTCAGTGATCTCAAAGTCTTATTTCAGAATCTCTTATTTGATTTGCACCCAATGATAATCTTTTAAATTTTTATTCCTTAATGCCAAGACAACAGGCATTGTGTCTTTGAATGAAAATACCTTATCTTTTAATTCATCTAAAACTTGATTAGCTGGTAATCCCTTAGAACATCTATTGACAATCTTGGTATAATATTCTCCTTTGGCCTTAATTTCATCTGTGTTGATATCTATAAATTTTCCATCAATCCATGATTAAGTTAATTCAATCCACTCCTTTGTAGACTTCCACATTGAATACCTGAAAATCAAATCATTCCTTAAATCCTCTAAACTCTAGAATTAAGAAGTAGGTAATCCTAAAGTGCTTTCATAATGTCTGTATTTCTTAGCATCTGCTTCTAGTTTCTTACATTGTTCATCACATTCTCCTAACTCTTTAATGGCTTAATCTAAACTCAATCCAGCATCAATGTATTTTTTATCTTAGATTATTCCATCTAAAGCACCAATCTACTTCTCCAATTGAGGAATAAGGATATGTTGGACATCTCTTGCAAATCTATCAAGTTTAGATTCTGCTCCTTCTTCTGCATGATGAATAGCTTATTCCAATAGATTTTATGCTTAAATGATATCAACTACATATGCTTGTTTGTCTTCTTTTTTCACTTCTATCTTATATTCATCAAGAATATTATATATATGACCAACAAGTGAAATCTTAGATTTGATTTTATTTAATTATTTTTGAATCAATTTCAATGAATTACTTTGCTTAACAAATTCATCAATATTTGTAGTTGCTCCTTTCAAAGCAGCTGTTGATGATTACAACCATTCCTTTAATTCTTTGCATCTATTTCTTAACATTGGTTATATAAACGCATCAAATGATTTCAATAATTCAGCTGGTAGAGGTTCCAACTTCTTTTTTAATTCAAGAGAATCAATCTTAAACAATCCCTGCATACTTTCAATAGGAATGTCCTTTTAAAATTATTCCTTCTGCATATTGAGTACTGCAATCGTGTATTGGAATGTGTCTCCAGGATGTGCTAATTTCTCATCTTTGAAAATATTGATATTAATTTATTAGTCTTCCCAATAGGTCAATAAATGCTTATTAAAGTACTTTTCTATATATCTATCAGCTCTTTCAAATGCTTTTTCTAAAATATTTTTAACAACGCCTGTAAATGTTTCAAGTGGTGCTGAATCCAACCAATCAGAAGGATTCAAATAATTAGATTCTGGATGACCCCACTCCTCACCAACCATATCATCCCATTCTTCCAACACAGCAACGTATTGAGTCATATCATTGTGTCTGCTCCATCTCTCAAACGCTTAAATTGCATTCAATCCTTCTCCTATACACTTTACAATGTCTGCATGAAATGTATTCAATTATGGTTTCTTTATAATCCAATGCTTAGAAATATTGGGAATCACTGTTCTTTTGTAAATTTTATTTTCATCATAAGTTCCTCCGTCAGTCTCGTCTTCCTCACTATCATCTTCAACCTTGCCCTTCTTGCCTCCTTATGGTTTTTCTGCTTACTTTTATTCCTCTGTCTTCTCTTCTTATAAATGAGCATGATACAGTATATGAAAATCATCAACAGTGCTATTACCAAAAGGTTAGGGTATAAATTCTGGAATGTCTTCAGTTTACATATCTTCTCCAGGAATTTAGTCGAAGGTGCAATCTAACTTAATCACAAAGAGAGGTTCATCAAATCGAATTGGGGGTTTGTTGTTTGCTTCAAATGTTACATTAAAATCATCAATGGATTCTAGAGATTTTAGTTTTGATATCAAATCTCTCACTGAAAGTGTATAGATATTGCTCAAACTTTCCATTGCTAAGAAATCTACTAGATAAGAAAAACGCAAGAATTTTGAACATTCCTTCCTCAACTATGATCTTTTCTCATAAGTCATACTGTCTGGGAATTACAAGGTTTCATATGCAATTTCTCTTGTTCTGAACACATTTGTTCCAGTATCTCTTGGAGCATTTCCACCAAATTATTCATCATTTTAAGGCACATAATTTTATTTCCTTAGGATATCCAATGATTTATCATATCCACTTTGCACAACTTTTCGACATGCTTGAGAGTATGATCTGATTTTCCCGCTCACTTTATTCCTGTATTGATCTTATAATTATTTGAATTATTCTAAAGTAAATGTGCTATCACTCATGGTTAGTTGATGAGATGTTTCAAATCCAATAAAACGACAGGTTTCCATCATATCATAGGTGTTTTTTCTCACTGTTAGTAGTGTTTCTCTCATGATGGGGTTCAATAAGAAATACTTGTCCAAAAGAGCATTCTAGATTGTTTTGGTTTTATGTTTGATCACATTGCTCTTCCACATCTTAAGGGTTTTCCATTTTCTGAATTTGGTAAAGAATTTTAATGACTTAATTTAATGATAGGTTTATCTTTCTCTTAGCCAATTTCTGAGTGGTATAAATTCAGTTGGTTTGCCATTGATATAATGACATAATCCTTTTCTTGAAATGGTGTAATATTCTTTAATTTCAGTCTTCTTATCATCTCCTTTAATGGTTTTATAATCCACAACTGTCAACATGTAAGGATCATCTTAACCCATCCTCTTCTTTCTCTTACAAGATATATATATTCATCCACACTTGTTGTATTGCTCAGAATGAGGTCTATATATTTGTCTAACTTAGATTTAGTTTCTTTCTCAGTAACGCCAAATTCTTCATCATGCGCCAATGTTTCTTTAAAGGGACTTTAAATTCGTGGGTCAGAATCAAGAGGTTTAAGTTTGAAGCGAGATCCCAGTGAACTCATACCAGTCTTTCGCATTAAGTAGTTGCGTTCCTCTTCTGGCATAATGGCCAAGTATTTTTAATCAATTTAGAACTTACCCGATAATTTGTCAACAAGGTATTTGGTTCTATAGAGCTCATCAACATTTTATTTAAAGGTTGTCCCCATGGTCATTCTAAGTGGGTCTAGTTTTTGTTTGCTTTATTGAGCAACTAGTTTGGGCACTAACTTCAAATAAATTGAATGAAATACTTGTTGTTAAGTCCGAGTGACTGGCCTTTTCTGCTAACCTCCTCGATCATATAATCGAGATTTTAATTGCAACTGATTTGGCGATTTCTAAATATGAATATCACGCGCATTACCACATTTCGCAATTATTCATGTTCGTCCTAATCTTCATATTCCTAAGACTAGAAGAATGACATTTTTTTAATATATTAATTATTTAAGTTATCATTTTTTGTAATTTGTTTTCATTAGGAATTACCAAATCAAAAAAATATAATATCGATAATGGACACATCTAATTCTCCACAGATTTCAAAATGGCACTCTTTAGATGTCTATAAAATAGAAGATTCTCAACACTGATGTTAGTTTTAAATTAAAGTATGTATGCCTATAGTCCCAAACAGAAATATAAGTATTCCATTATAAAAATTAATTATTTCGAAATGTATACAGTTTATACCTCATAAAATGGTTCAATTGCTCTTAATTAACTGCTTAACTTTACCGCATGACACTCTACTGAAGGTTGTTCTGTGTTCAAAGAACATCTTCTCATACACTCCCGTGCTAATCACAAACATTTAACCAACTCACTCTCCTTCAAAGAAAGGTTCCCCTAATAAACAATTGATTGGCTATAGAAAATTCTAAGAGGAGAAGTTGAGGGCTAATTGCCCATGACTTTCTACCCCTTGTACAAACCCCATCGATATAATATTTCAAATGATGGAGACTATGTGTTTGAGATCAAATGTCGGCAATTAGGTCCATGTTTTCTCAGAATAATTTGGGTAGAATTTGAGGATAGAAGGATACACGAGATGGGATAGGCCTTTAATTTTGTAGTTTGGAATCCCTTCATGTTATAATCTCAAAGATTTAACTATTTAGACAGTTTTACCAAATTTATTAAGAAAATGGGATTTGGATGGGTTTTAATCCTTCCATTTGTATTCAATACAGGAAGTATCCCACAGTCTATAAGCGATTAAGGTTCATTTGAGTATAATATACTTCCATAATTTCGAGGAACTTCAAAAATTATTGAATCATATAAAAAGATCTTTTTTATAGATGTTGTGTTGAATCATGTAGCAAAGGAGAGTGAATGATTGAATGATGAAGAATGTGTAAATTAAGTATATGAGTAAATTAGGATTGAATGGATAAGTGGACGAATTATTTTATTGTCAGAATTCCCCCTCTATTGTTCATAAATTATAAAGTTGTGCTTACATCCAACATATCTCAGGATGATTGACGAAAATCAATTAACCAATCATATGAACACCATCATTGAGATTAAACCTATGAAGGTCTATAAATCATTAACTTTCATCCGCTAACTTGCTTAATATTACTATCAATACACCTATTTGGAATCCATTCAAGAGGAAATCCTCCTCATTACTAGATTTTAGGAGAATTCTCTTAGTCTCTTTGAAGAATAGGAAATTCTATGAAATTCTTTAAAATTCAACTAAAAGCCAAATTAATCATGATGCGAGGCTCTACTAATACTAAAAATAATTAAATCATTGCCCTCGATCTTTAAACCACATTATTTTATTAATTGCATAAAACACATTATTTAAAGTATTGAAGACAAATATATTCAACACAGAGAGAATTTCTTTAAATAAATTGATATCTCATCTACTTATTTTACTCTCTATGATTTGTTAAAGGTAGAAAAACCTTTATGAGTTTCAAAGTTATCTTAATTTTGACAAGCAAGACTCAACATTTCTTTTAGAAAAGACTGCTGAGGCTAAGGCTCTGATTTTTTAGTATGTCAATTTAATGTAGCATGGCCTAATTCCTAATTCATTAAAACCCCTAAGGTATAACAAAAGAGACAATTATTTTTTGTGGATCAATTCTATCCTTGACTATGTAATATATACAGATGAATTTTCTATCATGAGTTTATTACAAGATTAAATTCAATCGATCTTTGAATCTCAAGCGACAGGGATCTCATTTAAGGAGATACTTACAAATGACTACATAGACAAAGAAGTATTGTTATGAATTATAATAGGGTTTGCTTGTTGAGCTTAAACTGGATTCAGAAACTGCTTTCATTATGAGAGGAAATCACAAGAATTGTTTAACTTGGATGGATAAAATAGGATAAGTTGCCTTAAATAAAGGATATCCGGCTGCATCTAGACCTATTGTAAGCAAAGCCTTATTAAAAGCTTGTCTTGATTTCATTGGGAAGATTTATCAAATGAATAAATATCCATATCCAGGACTCAAGTTAATGAATAGGATGGTTACTTGAAGAGCATGGTCAGATTTTATTTGGTAGCATTTCGAAAAGAGCTATTACATTTTATTGGACCCAACCTATTATAATGAATATTGGGTTATTGAAAAACATGTAAGGAGAGAAGGAATTTATAGAGACATCTTTAAATTGTTCCAAGCATCGATCTGAATACTGATTGAGACCAAATTCTTGTATTGCTATTGCCTTGGATCCAGATTTTTTTTTAAAAAATTATGTTGTGCATCACTTATCGTTGATGGAATCTACTTTGATGAGTCGGAATTCACTTGGTTTAAATATTCTCTTTCCTATTGCAAGTAAATACAGTGGTAAATATCTTCAATGGACAGATCATTTCAATGCTTAAGATGGATTCTCAATTCGCAATGGATCTGGATTATTTTCTTGCTTGGATATTATCTGAAATCATTTCTAAAAATCCATAAATAAGATATCAAGAAAGAAATATTTTATGCCTAACTTGCTCTTATCAAACAACACTACAGACTCAGACTTATCTTAATTATTATTGCAGAATTATTCCTATAAGATTTTGCAATAACTTTGGGGTTAAGTAAGAATATTATTGAATAGTCTAAGAACCATTGTAGATGAATATATTTATAAGACAATTTATTAGATTAATGAACAAAAATGAATATTTGCAATTGTGGGATTGTTTAAGAAATTGAATTAGTTATTCATAATAATTTATAAAAATATCTAATTTTAATAAATTATTAAGAATAATAATAAGCAGTAAAAGATTATTGTCATAGAGGGAATAAGAATATAAATCTAAATAATTCCCTAAGAGCTAAAATCTTGACAGTAAAATTCTTATTTAATAAATAAAATTTAAATTAATTGATATGAAATATGAATATGTAAATTAGTATAAATTCTTTATATCCCCTATTGACTTATTCTTTTGATTTTTTCAATTTAGTACTGAAAGGAAAATTCCTCAAATAATGTATAATTAATAAATTAATATAATATGCTTATTGAAATTATTTTACTTTTAAGTTCTTCCTCATTTGCTCTTCTCTTTCAAGCTGATGAACTGGGAGAATAAATTCACGATTGTGCAAAGTTGTTTATATTCGGAACACTTATTACTGAATATCCTTGGATGATGGTAGGAATTATCACTTTTGTGTGGATTAAAGAATGTTTCAGATCAAAGGATTCTCATCAACAGGACAAGCATCAGCCGAACCCTGCCATTATTATACATCATGCAAGAGATGGTGCCACGGCCACATCAACTGAAAATGTACCACCTACCATAGAGGCTGTGTAAATCTTCGACTATGCTACTGGAGAAAGCCAATATGCATTAATCTAGAAAACTGAGAAGAGTTTGTTGACTCAATTAGGAGTCACAATGAAGAATACAATTTTGTTAGAGAAAGGCAGACAATAAGATGCAAGTGTTAATTCCAAATTAATCTCACATATTGATCAACAGAAGAGGGCTAATGCTTAGAATATTTCCATCATTTATGAAGACAACAGCGAGTACCAATAAAACTAGGTAAAACCTCATGTTTCCATTCCATTTAAAATTGGGGATTTTGATAAGTAGATGGGCGAAATTATATAGGCAGAAATATTATCGGGGGAATATCCAATGGAGAGTAAAGTAGTTGATACAAAATTAAAGTACGAGTAGGCTTTGATTTCGATTTTAATAAGTATCAATAGAATATTACAATTAAGTCTCAGTGATTCCTCAGGTTGATGGTTTGGTATTCAGATTGGTTAATTCAATTCTATTTGGAGTAGTGCTTCATTCAGCAGTGCAAAGAAAAGAGATACTAACAATGTCTCACCTTATATATATGATTATACTATTAACTGGTTGTGTAGTTGCCTATATTATCGGATTATATTATCAATCTATCAATATTAGATAAACACTTTTGGGGTGTCTGTTATGGTCATTTCAACACGTCAACCCAAACCTATGTTTATTGGTGTTTCCTCTACCCACACTATTGTATTTAGAAGGCTTATGAATATTTAGTTTCAATTAAATTGCTTGGACTTGATATATATTTATATGTGTGTATCAATCTTGATATAAATAATTATATAAATGAAAATGGAATGTAATAATTAAGATTGTATAACTTAGAAATGTGTATATTATAATGAAATGGAATTGCAATTATTCAACATTTAAATTGTATTAGCACTGAGTCACCCAATTTGATCCAATTCTGCAGTCCTTTCTAGAACTCGGATAAATTCAAGGAAATGTTATTTAAATTAAATGTCGTATCAATGGAGTTGACGATGTACACATTTTTATAAGTTGGAGTTTGTCTTAGAATTTCAAGACCTGATATAATGTATAGGCAGTACTTTCTAGAATGTATGTTGCCTTTTCCAATAATTGATAATCATTGGTAGATTTGGCTAATTTGATAACATCATATGCTCTGGATTATTTATCCATCCAGATTTATTCTTAGGTGTCAATGTTATTCACTTGGATTTCGTAATGTTGATTAATGAGATTGACAACTTCATCTTTTCTTTGCTTAATCAATTTGAAAATGGTGGCAAAGGTTTATTCAACTTCTTTGAGTACTTTTTGTTTTGATTCCTCGAAGGTTAATTTTGTATGTCTAATGTCGACGAGAACAGTTTCTGTTTTTTCCAATCTCAAGATTCCTACTTAGAAGGGAGTCGAATTACCATCTTTTGCTGCTTGATCCATGGATGATCTGATGTCTTTGGTGGCTTTATCCATCTAATCAACTAGATGTCCTTTATGATCTCCAAACATCAAACAAGTCGGACAAATAAGACTAGATAAATACAATGGGAATACACGTGACATGAGGTGCAGAAGGCTTCCAGTTGTCTTTTATGGGCGGTGCATTCTCCGACTCTGAGAGTATCATCACTGTTAAGTTATTTAGTAGATGGTCCTGATTTGAGTTATTCGGAAATCATAAATTTTATTTATCAATAAAATCGAAATCGCATCCACATTTAATGAAGTGGAGGGATGCAATAGGGTATCTGAAATGGTATTCAATGATTAATGTATTTAAATGTACGATATGTTATAATAACTTCACAATCCCTTAATTTTATCTTCGACGAATTGTTTTTCATTTTCACTTACTTCAATTGCAAAATCTTTGAGTGCAACAGATGAGCACTTTCTTGATTTGATCTTCTTAGTCTTAGTAAGGAATTTAGAAATGCCAATCCATTCTCCCAACAAAGCACCTTTTTCTACTTTCCAAACTGGGATCTAGAATTATTTAGCCAAAGCAACAATCAATTTCTTGTATGTGTCTTCAGTGCAATCATCAGCCAAAACCACGAATTTTGCCTAGAATGAAGAGTATTCATACTTGTTTGCTTTCAATGGCTTTGCACACTTCGTTGGACTCCCTTCAGCCAACAATCCTCTATGTAATGATGTTTAAACAACTCTCTTTAAGGTTGTGAGTTCTTCTGATAATTACTCGACTTCTGCCATAATAAATAATTTAAATCTTATTTAAATTAAGAAACCCCTCTCTTATGAAATATTACAAAGTAAAGTAAAAAATATACAATCACAATTATTTTCATTTCCTCTTAATACAGCTATATCACATCAATATAACCTAAGAGTTATAGTGAATGTCTTTAACTAATTAAAATTTTAATTCATCAGAATGTTTGATTTTAATTGTGCAAATAGGTTGATCCAAATTCTACAGGATTCTCATTTTGAATCTCAGAGACTGTCTCAATTCCTCCTTCTTCTATTACAACTTGAGTTGATGTTCCTTTTTTTGTTTATCAAATCTAACTTTCTAACATTCTCTCCTCTATTAATCGACAATCTACTCCTGCCTCTAATTGATTTTTTGATAGTGAGCATAGAAGTGATCAAAATTAGCCCGAACTCCATCAAAGATTGAAGCTCTGTTCCGATCCACGAGCATTAACTTAACTTTTTTTTTGTTCTTCTTCGTCCTATCAGCTATCAATAGGGTCCTATTGTTGTTAGTGTAAATGAGTTATTTATTTAGTTGATGAACTCCCAACTTGGTGTAGATGTCAAGATCCCAAGATTGCAACATCGTGGGATTCTTAGGCCACATAACACTCTTCTCCTTTATCTGTTGGTATTGTTCATCCATAAAATCGATAAGTTCTGTGGATAGAGGGATTGAATTAAACTGATAGGAACAATCATGGTTGGAACACGATTCAAATATTTTATTTCTGTTGTCTCTCTGCTGCTGTTCCAATTGCTCTTCTGGCTTGTAGAAACGCTTGAGCTCCTTCAAGTTGCCAAATAAATCATTGCAATTATTGAATGAATTTACAAAATTAAACTCCTCCTCTTTGATTAACTGCAATTTCAGCAATTCTCTTTGTCTTACTTGTCTCACCAAATTCAGTGCTATCAAGTTCTCATTCAAGAGGATTTCTCTGGCTACATCAATGGAATGTATATCCAAATGCTTCTATCGTTTTTGCTTGTACGCTTTGCTCGGTCTAAATGCCACATTCATCCGATAACTAAGATGCTACAATAAGAATCATACTCATTCTCTTGAGCTCGCATGAAGACTCTCAAAAGGGGCCTTTATAATCGTTCAGCCTTTTTGTTATAGTAGGTTTCATCGTATTCCAATGTGTTGAGTAACGAATATTGTTTAGAGTAATTGCGATTGGAATTCAGATGACGCCTAAGATCCAATTGCTGCATTACTTTGGGGTTAATGCCAGCCTCCAAATCCTCCTCATCACAAGAGTACTCATTCTCATCAGGGTACACTATATTTGAATGAATGTAAACAGTGGGCAATTAGATTGTGGTCTCAGCAACAGTTGAAATGGGCACAAAATTGGGGACTTCGATTTGTTTGCAAGGGATTGGCTATGTAGATTGGTAATGAGTACTTCCAATTGTTCGTAATCCCATTTATCCTTCTTTACAAAAACCACATTCGGATCAATGTTCTTCATTCTTTTTAAGATTTAATTTTGTTTAATTTATACACTCAAAAGTCAAAGAAAGCACAATCCAAAAGGAGAACCTCAAGTCCACATTTGAGTATTGAGAATGTTACTGATCAAATATCCAACTATATAAAGTACTCTCATATAATTGAATGACATATTATTAATTTATTAAAATGTTTACAACAAGATTTGTGTATAGATTTGCTAAATCTGTACCCGTGGTCGATGTTACGGCCTTCCTCGCCAAAAAGGGGGACACCTCCGCACAATGTGCCCAAGTAGCAGAGGCTCTCCACAACTACGGTGCCATTTGCATCAAGGACCCTCGAGTTAATGACCGTCATAATGTCGACTTTTTGGATATGATGGAAAAGTATTTTGAGTCCAGAGCAGCCAAATTCTATAACGATGAAAAGGTATCCCCATGGTTTTTATTCAAGGTTGAAGATATCTTCCCGAATTATGCTTATCAGGTTGGAGCGACACCAGAGTTCGTTGAAAAGGCCAGAACTCACAATAATATTGTCAAATAATATACCAAGGAAAATGAAGCCTTGACTCCATAACCTGCTCCATATGTAATATCCGTCTCTATTCCTAGGATGCCAAGTGGAGATTCTTTTGGCCCATCGATGACTCAGGCAAACGAACCAAAGATGAAGAGTATTAGATTTAGACTTATATTATTATAGTTTCAATCCTCCAAGATTCAGACCCAAGGATGTTCCTTAGTTTGGAGAACGAATGGAATAGTGGGGCAAGATGATGATCAATGGGTGCTTGACTGTGGCTGAGATGGCTGCCGTCGGTATGAGCATTCCAGCTGACTCTTTTACCAGCAGAATGTAAAATGGACCTCATTTGCTTGCTCCAACTGGTTCTGATCTGGATAGACACAAACCAGGAACCATTTTCGCAGGATTCCATTATGATTTGAATTTCCTCACCATTCACGGCAAGAGTCGTTACCCTGGTTTGTATGTGTGGTTGAGAAATGGAGAGAGAATCTCAGTTGCTGTCCCAGAAGGTCACTTGCTCCTTTAAGCTGGTGCCCAATTCGATTTGCTCACTGGCGGATATGTGACTTGTGGATATCATGAAGTATTTTACAATCCCAATTTAGGTCATCTATACTGAAGAGGCCAAGAAAAAATACGAAGAAAACAAGAAAGTCGGTAAGAGCACTTGGAGAGTCTCATCAACCCTATTTTCGCATATTAATTCCGATGTCACTCTTTAACCATTAGATAAATTCGCTAAGCAAGGATTGCCACCAAAATACAAGCCCATCAAGGCATTTGATCAGGTCTAATAGGAATTGGAAGCCATCAAATTAAAGTTATGATGCATATAAACTGATTTGTATATGGCAATCAATATTAATATCAATATTAAAATTGACTTCTATAACTTATTCGTTCTTTGAAACAAATTTATTTTTATATTACTAATTTATATAATAAAAATTTATTAATTAATATAGGACATATGGAATCCCATTTTTAACCTAAAATTCCAATATAGAAATAAAAATCATTTAATATTCCCTTATTCGTGTAGATTATCTAGCATTGTGTTCGAGTTTGATTGATAATGCGAAATAGAGTGGTGGCTTAGCACAACACTTGGGGGGAGGGGAGGGAGAGTTAAAAATAGTAGAGGGACTCCATTTGAGTTTGTGAATAGGGAAGCATTGTAAAATAAAATAACTAATTTGAATTTAATAATTAAATCATCAAAATGAAACGAATTCGAAGGAATTGAGGAAAGTTTAATTAAAGATAATGATGTTGTAATATTTTAACTAATTTATAATATTATTTATTAATTTTAGGAAATTAGAAAGAGTACAATTTGTGAATGTGTAAAAAATTCTTATAGTTTTGAGATTGGGATAATTTTTATACTGATGTCAACGACAATATATGGTTTTTATTAATTATTAATATATAAATATTTGATAATAAAAAATGCTAACTCATTTACCAAAATGCGCATCATTGATACAAGATGAAAGATCTCTGGAGTACGACCGATTAACAAAGAGACTAGAGAAGTCAATCGTTGAGAACTCCCTCTACAGATTGGCTACGGATATTAAATTTTTGTAAGGCTTTTATTCTGTTCACTCTTTCAATCAGGAGGAGAAGGAGAAGCTTTTCGCTCTATTGATTGAATACAGTCTTCAAAAGTATGTGTATAGTACAAAACATTTATTCTAAACCCCCTGCACTCCAAAAAAAATTAAACTATTTCTGTCAGCATTCACCAAGAAGATATGCAATAATATTTAGATTAAATACGAGGATCTGAAACAAATTTACGACGAAGTCAATCAGAATGGCTTAGATACAACATTCGACAACACCGATTAATAAATCAGGAGAGGAATTTAGTGCTTGCAAGAGTAAAATTTTAGTTTACAAATAGATTTTTCGCATTATTTCGACACTTAATTCCACCAAGTTACTTCCCCTAATTGATAGAAAACTATTTGCAAGGCGAGAATCTCAATCAGAGGTTGTTTAGAGTAGTAAAGTCAGAGCCCATCTCCACCTACACAAAGAGTTTCGAGATGCTGATAGAATTTAAGAAGTCTTCGCATGTAGTTAGACAATTGGATCCATTTTTGATAGCCTAGTTGATCTCGTAAAATTATAACATTCTACCTTTATAGATATCGTCCCGATTTGCCAATCGACAATTATTTGGACTTCATTTTGGAGGATATTTACAATAACTATATAGTGCTCTTATTAAACATCTAAAACTTATCTAATTAAGCTCCCATCTAAATTCATCATGGCGGCATGAGACCCTCGGATTTCATTTAACCCTTGGTCTATTTGATTGGGTCCTCATAGACTAGGTCTAAGGTGTGGGATACAATTGAGAGGATGTTTTTGGTCATTTCAGATTTGATTCATCCGAACAATGCAACTTCCAATGATTTTGTTTTCTCCTTTTTCTATATGTTCGTTAAGACTTTTGTTGAAAGAGTGGAGGCTTAGAATCAATAGTAGGAGAAGAATCAGGAGTAGGAGAATGTGTTAGAAAGTATAGACATTTGTTTTTAAATAAGACAATATATTTACGAAGGATGAACAATTGTTTTTGTAGGATGAGGAGATGAATGATATGGATGAGGAGGAGGAAGAGGAGGAAGACGATAATGACAAGGAGAAGTTGTTTGATAAGAAGGAATTCATGATTGATTAGGAAGGCATTGACAAATTTATATCTATTGTCAAACCTCATTTAAAATACTTAATTTATCAGAAGACCAGGTTCAAGATTTAAGTGGCAGGAATATACAAAGTAAATTTGGATAATTCATCGATAGTCTTTATGTAAATTGAGACCTAAGGAGATTTTACCTTATGTAATGGAGTAGATTTAATTGGCTTTAGAGAGGGATGATATGAAACCATTACTCATTATACACATAATTGAGAAGATTTTTAGGCCAGCAATTTAATTTGATCAATACCCTCAAATAATCAACTACATCCCATTTATATTAAGACAAACGACCAATTTCATATTGGATAGTGGAGAATAAATATGGAGATTTTATGACATCCTGTTTCAATACATTCCTATTTACGAAATCAAGGATCTAGAAGCTCAATATCCAAATCTAAATCTACAAGAAGGTATTCATCAATTCAATTATTAGAAATGAAAATCGATGACATCAACTTCTATTCGATCACCTAAGAAATAAGCGATTTGGCATTGGAAGCCTTCAGAAAATATGTTTCCACTTTTGAATATAGTGATGTCAAGTATCACAGCAGTCAAAGATGCTCAGAAATTATATTTTCAACGAGAAATAAATTCTATAATTTTGTGTTCTAGAGTTCCAAATCGAATTACAAAGAAATAGTCAATATTGTTTGTAATTATTTGGACGATAAAATACTCAATAACCTTTCAGATAATTTTGTTCTGCTTCTTTAAGCCATTATTTTGAGGGATCCTAATGTTCTAAAAGATGTTTTGACTGTAATTCAGAATCAACTCTTGAGACAAACAAAAGATCATTATGAATTTAATATTTCGAACATCACAACAATTAGAAATTATTTAATTATAATCTATGAAACTATTTAGTTTTCAGGAAGTGTGAATAAATAGTATTACAAAATTTTGAAAAGCATAATCGATCTAAGTTTGAAGCATGAAGAAACTAAAATACAATAAGCAGGTTAAAATATATTGGCTTGTCTACTCATGAGTTAATCAGCAATTCACATTAGAGACTTTTAATTTACCAATGATCCTACTATCTAGTTGGATTGGTTGAAATTGAAGCAAAAAGGTAAACAAGAGAAATATTTACCTAAATGGTAAGAAATCGATGACCAAGAATTTATCAAATAGATTATGGATGATTACTATCATCCAGCTCTTTAATAAATTCGAGAAATCATTACATAAAAGGGAGACAACAAGTCTTTCGTTGAATATTTAAAGAATGATTTTCTATCACAATATGAATAACAATATCAATTGGATACAAAATAAAATTGCCAATAGATTGAACTTAAAATCAGGAAGAATCTCTCTCTGAATATTGACGTCATCTATGCATTTCTGAGACCACTCTATTTTAGGATGAAACAATACAATGAAAATTCAAGTGAGGCATTTAAGAAATTCCAAGATCAATATTGTTTTGGTGTTTTAAATAAGATGTACAATGAAGTAAACTTATTACTATTATTAAGGTCATTCAATTTTGCATTGATTTTGTGCCTGTCTATATTAATAATGGATTAGCATTGGATGGAAAACTGGCTACCAGTTTTATCAATATCATCAAATTGTTAATACATGAGACTTCTGATAAAATTCAAAGGTTAGGCAAATGGTTGTAAGTGAAAACTAGATCTTCAGATACGAACAAGATCAAATTTTATAATAGATTCTAATCTTAGATGTTCTATACATATTTATTAAATAATAGAATCGATTAAATTTATTACAATCAAATAATGAATCAATAAAATAGAGAGTACTTTATTCAAATTAATAATTTAGAATGCTTTTGATATCAATCCCATTCCTATTCGATTCCAATGAATTTAGTTACAAAGTGAATTGGATTTGGTTATCAAGCAGAATGGAATTATTGGATGATCGAGAATGGCTATATGATTTGTTTAAGAAATTGTATGAGCAACTCAAAACAGTATTCAAAAATAAATGGTTCAATTAACAATACATTGAAAGTTTGAACGAAACTGAAAAATAAAAACTGTCCCTTTTCCAGAATCACTTTACTAAAGGATTTGCTAATTTCGTCAGTATCGTATCTAATCTAAATCCTGGACTGTTCTTAGATTCCTATTAGATATTTGATTGCGCATATCAAAGTATAATATCACCATACTATTCTACTTTTAGATTTGATAGACAAAGTGAATAGAGCTGATTTCAATTTGGATGTGTTAAGTTTAGTGTAAAAAATATCCTAAGCTAGTGTTGAACTTAATCAGGCTGATTTTGATAGAAAGCATAGTATAAATAATTATAGATTGTAGTTTTGATCATAAAAAATTAGGAAGTCTAGAAATACGTTGATTCTATTTTTGAATAGAGAAATCAATATTGGTTAGAACAGTAAACAAAGATAAGCAAAAGTTTGGTATCTTTGAATGAGAAATTAAACTCAATAGTAGAATTTTGGTTGAGCATTCCAATAGATGCAGGCACATCTAGATAATTGATCACTAATGGATGTGCTCTATTATTGATGAGAACAGAAGAATTACCTCAATTGAATGAGAAGGTTATTTTGAAGGCATTCCATTGTTGTATCAGTTAGGAATTTAATATTCGAAGTTTAGGAAAGCTTTTGCTGTATAGATTAATTTAGATCTGTGTTTTTAAGCACAAATCATACAAGTATATAGCAAGAAAGCAAGAGGATTTCTAAAATGCCAATATCAATTTGGATCAGTACAATGTCTATAGATTTATATTGTCTGACGATTAGAAATATTACAAATTGAACGATTATCACAGGAAGGGCAAGATATTACTATACAACTCCCTTAAATATACTGAGATACAGAGGGAAGAAGCGAAGAAACACTTTAAGGTTCTCAAATCCATCAGTCCAGAGTAATGGCATCAATTTATCAACTTGATGATCATTGATTAGAGTGTATTAGATTAGTAGCAATCATAATAGCCAATTATGCAATTCTAATATAATTAGGATAAATCATCAATAGCAAATTTATTCAACGATGTCGATAATTAAGCCAATGAGCAATTCTTTTATAATTCTTATATGTAGGCTCCAATCAGATTTAGTTTGTTATATAAAAAAGTGTAGTTTATGAAATATCTATTTGCGATTACAGATTATGAAGTGTTCAATCACACAAAGCATTTGATTGATCAAAACAATTTAGATCAATTGTCCTTTTAGAGAATTTATCTATCAGGTTTGCTTTATTCTTTGCATTCCTCTTGGGATTGCCAATACAAATAGTAGATAATCGACTATTGCATAGACAAGTTTGAGAAGATAATTATGGACTAATCCAGAGATGAATTTAAGACATTCTAGTATTACCTACATGTAGCCTTATCCAGATGTGACCTCAGAAAACAGGAGCAATTCTTGCTTTCGATTTTAGAAAAGGTGCAAAAAGAAAACGATAACAAAAAGCTGAGATGGATCTTCTTGTTTTATACTATTATTGAATCTAAGAAGCATTAATAGATCAAATTATTAGACAACATACTATAAACCAATGTAGATTATTCAAATTTGAAGGCAGTTCAAACATTCATTCCACTGATCATTGATTAATAGAATAAATATCCCCATAACATTGAACTATTGTAGGAGTTCGGTTTGTTAGAGAAATTCAGATAGCAAACTGAAATTTCGGTGGAATCAAAGTACTTCATCTTTGAAATTTCAGAGTTGTTTTCTAAAGGACTATATATCCTGGTCACTTAATTTTAGTAATAGAATATCAATGGGAAAATAAACATCATAGAAACCTTGTTTGAAGGTTGGAAGTCGAAGAAGTTCTTCATCAATCCATATATATTATAAAAAATGCAGCCAATTGTTGAGTATCTACTCACAATAAATGAGGAGAACAATTTACAACAATTAACATAGGGATTGTAGATCTTTTCAAACATAAGAATTAAAGAGTGTACTATTGTTTTAATTTAACTGACATTGAATTTATTGAAGGTTTCTTAAAATGCTGTCAGAGTAAGATAATTGAACTTTTTAAAAGTATTATTTATGAAATTATACCTAGATACTCACAAAAGAGATATTGCATATCAACAGACCTGAAATATTGGAGAATATTGCCCAGTATTTGTTAGATGAAAATAAGGTAGTCATGTAATCATGTTTTGAACTTACAACTCAATTGATTCAACAAATGACTCTGCAAGAAGTGAATTAATAATTGGAAATCTATTTGAAATAAGTACATTTAATATAAAGGTTTAGGCTACGAATAAGGATACTGAACTTCAAGGCAAATAGGTGTTGATGGCTATGATAATGGCACATCCAAGATACACTTAATCATGGATCAATTAGGCGTTGAAAGTAGTTTTAGAGAAACAGAATAAGTTGCTATAATAGCAGAAGACATTTGCAGCCAACTATTTGAAACTGTACAGGGCAAACTAATTGATGGAGGTCGAGGATGTATAGATTTAGATAGAGTTTATTGAGAAGATGAGTGAACTGTCAAATCCTTATAATTATTTTGCTTGAGACAAGATATTATCATAAATATATAAATATTTCTACAATTTCATTTATAAACAATTCAAGATAACAATAAAGGTTTTAGAACTCTTATTAAATTATATTCCAATTAATATTTCAATTTAATGGACTTATAAATAAAAAAGTTAACAACCGTGATTAATTAGTTATCCAATAAACTGGAGCAGTTGTAGGTCATCCAGAATTTTGAGTATAAACAAATATCAGATGTAAGGAAAGTATTTTAAGATTATCGTAGCTTTTATTAGAAATCAATCAAGTCAACGCTGAAATATGTCTACTCATCTAGTCTGTGATAAGTATTGATGTAAGCCAATTAATGGACAAGATCTTCATGTGTCTCCAAAATCTATTGGTTCATGTTTTGAAGAGCAGAGAACAATTGAATTCCAAGAAAATACATTAAAAGTCTTCATCCATTTAATTAGTTGATGCGTGTGTCCAAAACCAAACGACACAACAAAGTCTATTGGGAGGAGTATATGTTTCAAAGTAAGGAAATCCCTCCTTGAAGGTCAAAAATATTACACAAGTACCTTGGTATGATACATCTCAAGTGATCCATGTTCCAAAGAAGTCTGTTGATAAATACACTTGTACGACTGAGGATTATTATTTAAACTGTTCAAAGGCAATATCGGACTCTGGTAAGAGAGAATTGGAGTTTGAGAGCATCCTCTAATTTGCAAATGAATCAATTGCCCTTATGGGAGAGGCATTATAGAATAAAATACTGCGAGATTACAAGGAGAAAGGGAAACCAGAAGAACTGGAGAAATTGATGAATGCTATCAAATTTAAAAAGGATGATTTGGAACATATTATAAAAGGTGTTGATTTAGAGTTATTGAAGGATAAAGTTGAAAATTATGAATTTGTTGAATCAGAAATTAAAAATCATATCATATAAGTATAAAAAGAGACAGCAGAGAGAGTGTTTCTATATTGTAAATAATTATTCAAGGAACAAATTAAAAAGGGCAAATATCAATTACAAGATTAATTGAACAGATAGAATACCTTTTCAAAAGGGGATGAGTGTAGATGTTCAATTTATGTTGGGGAGATCGTGTCTCTCTAGAACAAGACTGAATCTTAGTCTTAATTGATTAACAAATAAGTTGGGGATCTGAAAGAAAAGGATAGAGTAATTTAAGATTTGGAATTGTAAATGAAGTTAATTGATGGTCAATTGAAGTAGAATTTATTAGAGAAGTAAGACTTGAAATAAAAAATCGATTCCTAATAAAATATATAACGAAGAGGGTCAATACTGCAAAGACAATCTAGTTTCATGAAGAATATCCAATAAGGTGATGAGTAGAATTAAGATTAACAATAATCATCAATCAGTCCAAATAGAAAAATGTCAAGAGAGGAGAAAATTCCATTGAATAGGAATACAAAATCCCAGATTTCATTGCCATTCTAATAAATAGTTGAGAATTTGGATGATGACTAAATTAGCACTATAATTTAGAAGGATAAGATGCTAGAGAGATTGATTGTACTTACTAATGCCTTGGATAAAGTAAATAAAGACAGAAGATTATCACAACTACAATATGTAGTGGAACAAAAAGGAAATAGACAATTGACAGATCTGCTTGATTTAATTAAGGATATTGAAGAGAATGACCTATAATTTAAAGATACAAAGTCATTCTGTCATAGTCAACAAGATTTTGATGATTCTCGATCTCCTATTAACGTGCCTAAACACTATCATTCCCAACATATCGTGGATTAAGGAGAAGCACCTCCAAGATAAAAGTTTTAATCCACTCGGGAATTGAATTCTCCAAGAGTCTCACATTTAGAGTAAATCAAAGAAATTGATGAGAACAAACACATTCTCCTTATTCCCATAGAGCAGAAAGTTGCTTAAAGGAAGCAATCGAAAAACACAAGCCAATCTAGTTTTAATGATAGCAATCAATAACTTGATGATGCATCACCTGAGAGTAAATAGAAACACAGGGTAACAAGAGCATAATCGAATAATAATCAAAAGATATTTGAAAATAAAACTGAAAAAGTCAAAAGGACTAGTTCAATCAAATTAAAAATCAACAGAAAAATCTCAAATCAAAATACATCAAATGATATTCTCTCGAATCCTTATGGAGCTTCAACTGCTTTACCAATTAATTCAGGTAGTTTAACAGAAAGATTGCCTTTGCGACAAGGTACATAATAGGATGATCAATTCAAATTTGAAAAAAACATTGAAAACGATGAAACATAAATGAAGTCTTCTACAAACAATCACAGTCTTCATGATAAACCTTATCACAATTAATTATAATCAGGTTCAACTACTTAACATCATACTCCTAATAATTCTTCTCGATTAACCAAATTGAAATCGATTAATTAAAATAGTGATAACATTTCATCTAAATATGCATCTAACTAAAAGAGCATCGCTGAAAATAGTGTTTAAAATGCAATACAGAACCTTTAATAAACCAAATTTCAAGATATGCAAAGCTAGCCTTAAGAAATATTCCAAATTCAAGAAGAAAATGATAAATTAATTAAAAAGTAATCCCTAGCCACTCATAACAATAATAATGGTGCCTAATTAAAGTAAACTTCGTTGTAGAATAATTAAGTGTAGCAATCATCATAAAGAGAATCTACATCCATTAATTTAAACATCATCAATGAAAATAAAAGACCTTAGAAAACTAATCAATATACAAACAATCCTAATTTCGATGACACTAATGGCGAATCTAGTAATAGATCACAAAGAAAAATGAGTCGATAAAATATGTCTCCTAATTCCAATTACAAGACTGTAGGAAATGAACCAGCGAATGTCCAATCTTACAAGTAATCACTTCTCGATCGATTGACCTAATAGAATGATTTGAAACCGTAAATTACTAATCATAAAACTCAGACCTGTATTGAAAATTTAGAATCCAAAAAGTAAGATGCGTTTATTAAAGATTATATTAAAAAGTAAAAAGAAGATTTCGAGAAGAAACAGAAGGAAGAACGAGTGATGTTTGATTAAACCCTGTTCGATATTGCTGAACAATAGGAAGAACAAATCATTAAATATGCACTTAATAATACTTAAGGCTATATGATCTCCCAAGATATTAATGATTCTATTGTTAAATAGATGTATTAAAACTTAAAAGATAATGGAACACAGATCACCTAAACGATCAATAAATTTTATCAAAAACAAGAAAATTAAAATATTGATTTCTAAGATTTTCAAAATTTTGTCTCTAAATTCCAAAATCTGCATAAAAGATGTGGAAAAGATTGCATTCATGTCACTAGGTATAAATTCATAATAATTTTATTAAGATTTTACATGAGATTAGGATTTATACCGATTAAATATTTGAATAAAAGAAAAGCAATGAGATTAGCAAAACCAGTTGTATTACCAGGTTTCCCTAAAGTAACTTGATTAATTATTATAAATCTAATCTTCTTTTTAATATACATATTTCTCAAGAAATATTTGAATTAGCTAATGTTTTGCTAACAATTGGACCTTAGGAGGTTGTCAAAAGATGGCCTAAACAGTTAATACTCATCAATACCATCAAAGACTGCTTAAAGATTTCCATTTGTCTTTAAAAGTGGTGCCACCTTTTCCCATTGTCCCTTCTTTGGATTCAAGACTTCTTCTCTTTCATCCTTGAAAATGGCTTCATTTCCTTAGACCTTGACTCTCTCACCTACTTTGCTTCCAGGAGCTGGTCTCATCAATTCCACCTTTGTGTGAGTAGCATCAGATGCACATAACACCATACCATTAGACATAAATCCTAAACATGATAGCAATGTATATAATACCTGCTAATTTTCTACCTTTGAGATTCACTAACACTAAGACTTATCCAGTCATCTCTTCAATAGGTACGAATTATTATAATCCTGAAGCAATCTATCTGATTTCACCTCCGATATCAATTTCTTCACAATATAATTTATCAGATTCTTCATGCTAAATTTAAATGATGAAAATACCTTCCAAACTTTCTTTAATTCACCAACTCTTATATCTACGTTCACAAAATCTGTAAAGGGTCCAAGATCTTAAGGAGCTGGAGCTGGGGCCTTTTTACCTCCTTATGGTTATTATTATTATTATGGTTTTTTTTCTTTTTAGGGTTACTTTTCCTTTTATTCAGTTTATTCCTTCTTTTGAGGTTATTCTGCCTTTTTCTCAGGCTATTCCTTTTGCTATTGAGGTTCAGCCTTCTATTCTACCTTTGGATTTGCTTCATTTTCTTATTTGGTATTAAGTTGAATGAATTCAGCAAATGGGGATGGTTTATGTTCAACTCCCAAACTCTTTTCCAACTAATGAATGATTGTTTCAAGTTTGATTAAGGTTGGTTTAAATTAGGATATTGTGCTCATTTTTAAAATGTACTTAAATTACAGAATTAAATTCATAAATATTTAGATATAAATAATAGTTAAATAATTATTAATGATATCATTTTGATTTTAATGGAGGTAGTAATTTTCTATGTGATTTAAGGTTCGTTTTATTGGAAGCACAAAAGGACTATTAGAATGAGGTGGGTATAAAGAATTTGTTAATCATTTGGTTTGATTTCTATTTCAAAGATCTTGCCGAACAATTCTAACTTTTTTCGCATTTCTCCTTATCTTACACTGTGATATTCTCCATTGATTTCTTAAGATTGGATTTTTGGATTAATGAGAAATCTAAAAACTTTCCCTAACTCTCCACTCTAGCAGTAGTATTGCATTGATTCTTAATTCTGTTGTTTAATTGTAATATTTTAAATTTATTTTGAGACGGACTTGCACTCGTTTGATTCTACTCCATCTTCTAATTTTCCTATTCCAATTCATTTACACTATCTTAGAAGATCTAAGTTCTTGGCGAATTGTGATTCAAATACTGTAAGAAGAATAATAGCTTAAATTACTAAAATTAAAATTGTACATTCATACTTATCTTATTTGCTATTCTTTTAGGAACTGGTCTAATTGTTATTAATAAGTCAATGGAATTTTTTCATGAAACTTCCTTGTGATCCACGGATGCATCAAGGCTTAACTTACATTGTATCTGTCTATAGGATTGACATTAATTAATTTAAAAAATAGATCTTGAGCCAAAGGTGTCATACTCTAGGGGATATCGATGGAAGGGTTGAGGATTTTGTTGATGAACTCATACTTAGTATCGTCTTTATTATAAAAGGGATGTTTTCCTGCATTTAATAGCATATAAAGGAGAATTCCACAACTCCAGGCATCCACTTATTTGCTATACTAATTAAATTTTAGAATAAGTAATCTACATATTTTTCAGTAAACTGTTCTGGTGCCATATAAATGATAGTTCCGCATTTTTTATTCAATAATTTATGAAAAGTGCCTTCGCTAGATGAGAATCGAAAACTCAACCCAAAATCAGCAATTTTAACACTTGTTCCTGCCAACATAATGTTCTCTGGTTTAATGTCTCTATGAATAATTGATCTATCATGCAAGTAGTTCACTCCTTCCAAAATTGACTTCATGATAACTGCTGCCTCCTATTCGTTTAAATGCTTCTCCTTCATTTTCTACGCTAAAGTGCCACCTTCCATGTATTCCATAATTATATAATAGTACTTTTTGTTTTCTGAAATCTTAATAAATGTTTTTTACTCATACTCTCTTGCATCTCACAATATTGGGATGATTCAATTGTAAATAGATATCCTATTCAGGTGTAGTACTATTGTAAACTATTTTCGAAATAACCTCTTAATTGATGTTGGAATTACCTTGACTGCACAAATAGATTTGTCTGTTAAATCTATTGCTTTGTAGACTTTACCAAAACTGCCCTCTCCTATCTTGCATATTTCCTTCAACTGATGTAATTACTACAGAAATTGGATGTCTTCACCTGTGAACATCTTTAATTAGGTAGTTAAAATAAAATTATCATTTATATTATAAAATAACTTATACATCTTATCTCTGTATCAATGTCTGTAATTTATTCAGGTAGATCTCATACAAGTAATCACTGGCAGATGAATAAAATTCAATTGCCTAGTTTCATATCAACTGCAATATATTACTTATTGATATAAATCCATCAGTTTATTAATTGTCTATTGATTAAATTTCTTATCAATCTCATTCTCCAATTAGTTTAGATTCTTCATGATTGAGTTGATCTTCTATTTCTCAGCCAATTGCTAATCCCCGAAAACCATATAAGAATTGGATGTCATTCGCACATGTTGATATTGATTCAATCTCCTCAAGAACAACCTGATAAACTTGTCATATTCATTTATCGTAAATATCTATTGTTCTTCTTGTTTGTTTTTATAATTCTTCCAAGTGATCGACAATTACGTGCTATTGTCTTTCTTTCTTTTTAATTAGACACAACTCTAGAGGGGAGCCCTGAATATCAGTCTAACATAATCATCCTTCCCTTCTATCATCTCAAATAAATAAAAATGAGCATCACTCAATCCAATCAACCTTTTTATTATTATATATATTCTAACCTCACTTAAATATTTTAGAAAAAGGCATTCTATTATTAAATTGTTGGAAATCTGGCTAAATCTGGAAAATCCTTTAATTCATCTATTGAATAGGAACTACCTAAATAATATTGACCTATGTTTTAAAGATAGATCTTATCAAATCTATTCAATAATACACGATCCTATGAATCATATTATTAAGTGGAATACTAAAAATGATGGGATCTATTTAATTATGGAAACCAAAGATAATTTGTAATTCCATGGCTGCAACAATACATCGGCTATCAAGTTTTCTGCCATCTGCCAAAGGTAGGCCTAACGAACTTGACTAAAATATTAAGAATTACAGTAGTTTTGCACACTATCCTCACATCCTTCACTTGGATACTGAGCACCCAATTTATATTGTAAAGACAATCAAATCTATATTTTACAACTCATTATTTGCATAGACCTCTACCTTTTATTTGATCCCAATCTTATTATTGATAACCATTATTACATCCAATTCTATCCATCTCTTTGATTTGGTATTTTGAACAAAATTCAATTCATATTTCTCTTTGGTACATAATTATACGACTTTCATTCATTTTCTAATTTATAATTGCTCTCAACCTGCAGTGAATCGTTTAACTTGTCCTTCCAAACTAAACAACTCTTTAGACCACTAAATAATTGCTTCTATCTTTGAATTCTCCCCTTGAACATTCATTTTTATATTATAATTATATTAATGAATAATGATGATTAAGATGATTGGTATGACTCCAATCTCGATCAAAAAGAAATCGAAAGACAAATAGCAGAAAAAGACCAATAAATTATGATCAATTAATTAGAAAAAGAAGGCTATCGGGAAGGATTGGTGCGTACGACTGAGGAGGAAGAACAAAACTTAATTAAAAAAGGTTTTAATGATGGATTCGCTGCAGCTAGACACTAATTTAAGGTCATTTAAACTATTGATTTGGTGTTATAAAATTAGAAATTTTTTTCAGAGAACATCGTACTCAAATGTGAATAATTAAAAACATAGTAAAATTATGATCAAGTTGATTTGGATCAATTATTAGGAAATTGATTTTGAATTTTTTGCTATAAAGTAAAATATCAATTATAATAATATTAAATAAATAATTTATCGTTTTTAATGGGAAATATGAATGTCTGTTGCAATGCAAGAGAGGATCTTCCTCATGAGCATCCTTAGAATAAATTAAAGCACAAATAAGATACTGAAGAAAGCGAGTATGAACCTAATACTGAAGCATACAGAAAAACAATTTAAAGTGTTATCATTTAAAAACCTTCACTCACTTTTGGAGAATAGATGATATAGGATATAATTGACTTAACTGATGAAAATAAAGTCCCACTAAACAGTGAAAATGGGTGGAATTGTTTAATAGATTAAGCATCTGTTAAATTGTATGCCTTTGAATGGAAAAAAGCTGAAAAATCAATGTAAAATTAAGGTTGTATTTTAGTTAGAGTTATTGTTTTAAGAGCGCAGTTCCAATTAAATTGTACCATTTAATAATATCTAAATGTCAGTATAGATGATATGAAATTGATTGATAAAAAAATAGAAGAATTCAATATAGTGGAAGAAAATACAGAGCATAATGAATCAATTAGGTATCTTGCTCATAAGGGTATTGGAGTATTGAAAAGTAGGGATTTTTTATATCTGAAATCTCAGCAAAAAATATCAGAATAATTGTATATAGAAGCTGCAAAGTCTATTGAAGATTAAACTGGGTACATTGAGAAAAAAAGAACAAGAGGATCCATTAATTTGGCTGGATAAATTGTGGAATAAATTAACTTGTCAACCATTTTGATCAAGTAATTCTTAGATGTTGATCTCAAAACCAATGTTTAATTAGCTAATCTGAAAAATCCTATATTAAAAGAATTCGTAAAATATCATGAGTCATTATAAAATCATGTCAATTTTTAATAATAATGATAATCTATCATTCAAATGCATTATGAAATTTTACCAGATTCTTTAGTTATATCATTTAAATTACAAATCTTAAATAGGATTTTTCTATCATTAAGTTTTCATTTTTATGACAACATTCAAAAATGTATAAAATTAATTTCATTTTAATAACTGAATCATTAAATAATGACTTTATTACATAACAGTGTAAGTTAGTACATATATAGAAAATGATTATTATCAAATATACCCTTTGCAAAAAGATCTCAACAATATATTTAATAAAATTGATATATATTCATTTGGATTAAGTTTTAGCATAATTGTCTTTCAAATCCTGCTATTCTTATTTACTATTTTTGAAAAGCTATAATAATAATTAAGTATCTAATTTATTTTGGATTCTACGATAATATGATATATAATTTACTCTCTGTTCTATGATAAATCAGAATCAGGCTTTATGAACAGTTCAATATTTTTGAGTCTAGATTTGAGATATTTTTGAATTGGAGATTAAGGCAATAACATCATTAATCCTTATAATGATTAAATAAGAAAAGGGTGATTAGCAGATTCTAATAATTACAGTCTTAAATATGCGAAGACTGGCGATTCTAATAACAGGGTTAATCTGGCTATCTATACCAAGATTTCAACATTGGTTTCTTGTTCTGCAATTGTTAAGATGATATTGTAAGTGAGCTCATACTCTTCAATTAAGAGAGACAATGATAGTGCACTTACTTCATTATAACAAAATGTTTTATAAATGCTGATGAAGAATTCATAAGTTGATTTAGCAGTTTTTTGGTTCTTTTCGTATTTATAATTTTTAAGCTTCATTCTTATATTTTATAGGCGAGGTTCTGTAATTAGCAGATATTCTAATGATTGAACTAGTTATTATGTAAAGGCTAGATCTAGATTGTCATCTCCAACATAGACATAGTTTTCTAACAGTTTATTGCAAATTTGAGTGTAGACGACTTCAGCATTCCAGAATTCACAAAGTTTCTTAATAATAATTTAACTCATTCTATTCAATAAGTTAACATTTTTATGGAATATGTCCAGTATCTTCTCTATGACCATATCAAAATATTGTTCATGAGATATACGAGCCAAAACATCCATAACGTTCTCTACAACCTGAGCTTCAGCATCTTTAAGTCTTTCAATTAACTAATTTATTTAATGAGTATTTTTACATTTTCTAGAATATTTTCAATCATTGGCTTCAACTTCTCTGTTTGAGTGTTCAACAGATGTCTCATCCACATTAATGCTTTTTCTGCAGTATGATTGTTCTTTTCTTTAAGCATATCTTAAATGGTTGGCATGATGTCTACAAATTCTTTGCCTGAAGCTTTCATTTTGTCCATAATTTGCAACAACAAATCATTTATTTGTTAGGCTTAATTCACAATCTAAAGTGAATCAAGTGATAATAAGGAGAGTATTATTTTTAAAATATTATTTAATTTTTCCATAATAACAGATTAAAGCACTGAATCTCTTCTCTGTTCAAAGATATTTGACATTAAGTCAATTCCTTTAATAATTTATCCTCCACTTAATTCCAATGGATTGAATTGAACCGATGGCTGATCTAATTCATTACTAACTATTTTCAAGTACTCCATAATCCAATTTAAAACTTAAGACAATACATGAGCATCACTTTATTTATTTTAACATAATCCTAATAAGATGTGAATGATTTATCTATGAGTTTTCATTTCTTAAGTTTGATTAAAAGATGATCTTTTTGAATATCTCTCCAAATCCCTTTAGAATTCTTCTAGTTATTTTCTGGCAGCAACTTTGGCTTCATTAGTAAATGGATCCTTATTGTTTGTGTCTGCAAGCATTAGAAAGAGTTCAATCAAAAAGCCATCAATATAATCAAATAATTCAATATGTGGAATGGAATTCAAAGTGTTAATCCATGAAATCAGATTCAATTTCACTTATTGATTTTTGAAAACTATCTACTGACTAATTGTTTTAACAAATGATTAAATCTTAAAATTCTATTTCTCAGGAGCTGTGCTTGTTACCAAACTCTTTAAACAATTATCTAATTGGGATGCTGCCTTTCTGACAGATTCATCCGGATCCAGAAAACTTTGAACTAAGTAACTGTAGATATCCTCCAATTTATTCAAGACGTAATCCCCAAGTTGTTTAGATGTCAGAAACAAATATTCAATTGCCGTATATCTGACTCTCTCTTCCTTGTCTCTCATACAATCAACCATTGGATCAATAATGTAATTCAAGCAGTTCTTGATGATGGTTTCCTACTTTTTTAATATTGAGGGAGCAATACTTTTTTTGAAATATCTATAGCAATTGAGTATAATCCGTGTAGTCCTCCTTTTTTATATTGAAATTATTGTTGCGAGATATATCTATCCTTTAAATGCTTAGCTATTTCTATGATAGTTTTCTCTGTTGCATTCTAGATTACTTTTATCAATTCAGCTCCTCCCTATTCTCTTTTCTCTTATGATCTAATATGATTTCAATTGTGGAGTACTTATCGAACAAATTCTTAGTTACTGGTTCTGGCAAATTGATATTCTTCTCATCCATTTTAATTTAATATAAATTATTTATTTACATATGGGTTAGGAGAAATTAGCCGCATTGTTGCTCTATAGATAATTGTTCAAATCCTTAGGAAATCCACTATCAAGAGATCAACTCAGAAAATATTACAAATACACAGTTCAAGCAAGAGTACACGGGGGGGAGAATCAATAAATTTTGAAGAATTTGGAAATTTATTTGAAAGCCATCAAAACTCAAAATTTAATCATGGATGCTGAAAACATTGGCAAACCTAAAGATTACAAAGCAGATATATAGAAGGTGGCTAATTATGTTGGATTAAGAATGCCTGAAGCCCATTAAAAATAAGAGTGATTTATATAAAATCTATATAATTTTAATTCCATGTCATTTTTAAGGTGGCTGACTAGAGAATCTGAATTTGCATCCAGTCGCTCTCTCCCGACAACCTAACACTGATCTATTGATCTTAATTTATTTTAGTTATAATCCATCAAATAGTTAAATACTCTCATCTAAATCTGTGTAGGAATCATTGTCCTTAACTGAATAGTCATCCTAATCCTACAATTACGAATTCTTCTGCAGTCTATATAATTGTTCATACTCGTATCTTTTAATTAACTTATAAACCCTATAATTGTGCAAACAACATTGAGATGCCGTCTAATTTAACATATTCCTGCAGAACAATTTGACTTCTGACTATTACAAAAGCATAGCAACAATTTCAAAATGTCCATTTGAACAAGCCAGATGCAAAGGAGTTTGGCGTTTCTTGCCCCCTTTAAGATTTAAATCAAATTTCGATTATTTCTTACTGTTGTGTTGGATTACTGCTGAAATAGCATCTGTGTTCCCCTTCTTAACAGCAATGTGTAAAGGACTCCATCCATCTTAATTAAGAGCATTTGTATTAATATTCTTCTTAAGCAATGCCAAGAATGCCTATTTGTAAATTGTGACATCTTTATCAAAGCAGGCCATACAATAATGCAAGGCTGTATTACCCTTCTCATCCATCTGATTAGGATCTGCACCCTAGGTTAAGATGTCAAGAATCAAGTGGATTTGACCTTTCACTATTGCCAGATTCAAAATTGATCCATATTTGGCTGCATTTGTATTTACTGAAGCTCCATTAAATATTAATGCTTTGGCACTAAAATACTTCTCTTCTTGAATTGCCAATCCCAAGGCTGTGTTCTGTCTTTGATCTTAGCAATCTACAATCTCAGGATAATAGGACATCAATGATATCAAAGCACCAATGTCTTACTCGACTGCTGCCTTGTGTAAGATAGTAGTAGAGTATTCTTTGTCTCCTCCTTAAGGGTTAGGAAGGATGTTTAACTAAAGATTTGAAAATTACATAAGAAAGTCTTAAAAGTTCATTCCAATAGAGGAGCTATACTCTTCATCACTAAACTTGATATCAATAATACTGATACATTAATTTAAGAAGGATCTTCTACGTCTTTTATTTGCTTTTCCTCTAATAATGAAAACAATCTCTCTATGTATGGTCTATTCACAATGGGGTCTATCGGAGGGTTGAGGTATTTGAACCAATCCAAACCGAGTTCATTTAGTTTCTTTAGATTTTAGAGTTCGATTGGAATGTATTAGAATTCATTTGATTAAATGAAGAGAGATCTTAAATTTGTTAGGGTTATTAATGGATAAAGTTTTTAAATTCTGTTTTTACTCAATTCCAATATTTCTAGATGAGTTGACCAATGAGATAAATTTCTTGGTAGGATCACAACTAAATTGTTGCTAATAGAAAAATTGATGATAGAGGGGAAGTTGTCAAATAAATCTTCAGGTAAAACTTTAATGAAATTTGAATTTAGATTGATGATTTAGGCTTTTTTCATTTCATATAATTCTTTTGGAAACACCCTGAACCTATTATCCTATATAGTAGTCGATTAATACTTGGAGGTCAACCATTTAAATATTTGCAAAATCACATTTAATCTTTGGAAACAGATCGATATTCTATTTTGCTAAGTTTAACAAGTAAGTGTTAAAGGATATCTTCTTCGAATTTCTTCCAGAATTGATTTCTTTTGATTAATATCTATTGTATTAAACAGTTTCTGTTTATGCCACTTGCTTCGAATATTCTCTGTTTGGAGAATGGTTGTTGCTTACAAACAGTTTGGTTTTGAAGAAATTGGTTTTAGAGCTATTGTATTTGTTGGACTATTCGATAAGAGTGACAATGTTTGAATCCATATTAGTTAAATATATAATATAAAATTATATCAGGCATAGTTCATCCTTGTATTTCGGTTAATTCTCCCATCAATTACCTATTCGATATAACTCAATCAATTACCACATATTTTCTGTGTCGCTGTAGTTAGTGACAGGGAATTTTGACACAACATCTCTTTGAATAGGGAATATCTGATCAACAGTCAACACAAAGGCATCATCAACCATCCTTGGTATCAACATCTACAACAAAGGGCTGGATTCTTCAAGACAAGGATTAGTATTGACTTCTATTAAATAAATATTGAAGAGTTCATCCAAAAAGAAATCAAAACCAAAAATCTCCATACAAAATTTCCGATTTAACTTATTGATTTTTGTAGCCACAGTTCTCATTGCAAAGTATGCCATCTCCTTCATCTTCTCGACTATCTTTCCTCTAAAATCTATTTTGGATTTGAAATAGTCTGAAACTTAATCAAATGATAATTAATTTCCTAATTCTTGTTGCCCATATTTGTCACTGTGTTATTAGATAGCATTATTTGTCAGATGAATGTAAATGTTCTCCACATCATTCGTTCGGTATTCTTCCGATGCCATTCTTATGTAGCCTTCTCTAATGAAATAAGTAAAACACTTTATACTTAAAAAAATAGCAACTCAGATCAGTATTTAGAAACACCCAAACTCTTATATCAAATTTCCTGTTTTTTATTAATAAAGGTTTCTCAATATATTTCTGAACAACGAATGAAGATGTTTTCAATAAATATTAAACAACCTTTTATTAAGTTTATCCATTCTCATCTTTATATGTTTCTAGTTACTTCTCATGATAACCATATTAATAATCAATAAGTAGATCAATAAGATTGTCAATATCTTAAAACACATGAATCCCCCTTCCCCTATTTAATCCAGTAGGTTTCAATAACCATAAATAATCTGGACCAGTAAAAGTGTCTCTCATTTGAAATTCCAACTATTTTTTCTCTTTGCTCGGTGCTATTCTCAATTTTTTCTTGATTTCATTAAGTTTGTTTTATGCGTCTTACTTATTTAATTATTTAGCTTCTGGAGCATTTTTGTTATAAAAATTATAAAAAGCAGATATATTGCATTCAACTGATGAATCTGTAAAATCTATAGCAAATGTGACAGGCGTAATATCAAAAGGGTTCAATTTAAGTATCTAAATAATAAGAATTATTCTACTTCACAAGCAGCTGATACATTCACTAATAAATTCTTTTTATTACTAATTTCTGGATGAAATTCAAAATGATTAAGTAATTCTTTATGAGATTTATGCCAATTCAATTTGAAATACTTGTATCCATGATTTGATTGTTACCATCTAAAATTGGCTCTGGCAATATTAGTAGTCTAATGCCAATCTGATCTGTAATCGAAAACCCGTTTAATTAATTCACTGTTGTTTCCTCCACCTAAAAAGTAAGAATAAATGGTTGGTTGTGGTTATTAATTAGCATCAATAGGAATTGGAGATTAGAGTTTTGCTATGGATAAGGTATGTCGAATATATTTTTAAAGTTTGATTGGAGGAGAAGGTTGCTCAGCAAATGATTTATCTTATTCTTTTTATCTCTAGGTATCTTTGGAGAATATTTTGTTTTTTTATTTTAAAATCTTTTCACTCGTTTTGTTGTTCTCTTTATTTTGTTGTTCCTTTTCTCTTTCTTATTCTTTAATGATTTCAAGCTCTCTAAGTTTGTCCCGACTCTTTGAACGGATTGGATTGAATTTATTTTTATCTAACTTCATTTATGGAGTTTTCAGAGCTGGTAAACTATCTGATGTTTGTGGTTGAGGCACTTGGATTTTGATTGCGGATTTGGCTTCTCTCTTCTTCCCCTTTTTGATTTCATTTTATATAAATTAATCAGCTAAAACTTTGGCTAATTCTTGAGGACTTTTAAAATTGGGTAATTTGGCCAAGGAACTTGTGAAAAAGTTACTAAAGGCCTTGCTCTCCAGACTTTCCTTAACTCTTTGCAGCATTTCCCAATTTTCTGATTGTATTGTTTTACTTTCTAAAAGATATACTTATGTGTAATGTACTTTAAGCAAAGTTTAAATCTACCTGGGAGACATTTCTATTCGATCTCAAATTAACCAAGCTTGGCAATTGATTTGCATTATTGTTTTGTTGTTCTTCGCTCATGATATTTATTAATAAATAATTAGTTTATTGTTTTGGATAAAAACAAGGATTATCGTTACGATAAATAATAAATATTTCAAAGTTAATTAACATATTCCCATAGATTCTCCTCATTTGAATAATTAAGAAATGGATACTTGGAGGCTGTCTTTTATTGATGGAATAGTCTATCAACTGTCAATTTAAATGCATCATCTACTTCTAAGACTCAACTCTTACCTATCAACCTTGGGAACAGACTCCCCAACAATTTACTAGTGACTTCTAAACTAGGATTTGTATTCACCTCAATCAGCCATGGTTTGAAATCCGAGTCCAAAATGAAATCCATCCCATAGATCTCAAAACAGTTCTTCCGTTTGTATTTATTAAGCTTCCCCTTCACACTTTAAAAAGCCACAAGAGAAACCTACTTCAACTTTTGAATCACCTATGTCCATAATCTAAATAGATATACCTCTTTTCGAAAATCCATCTTAAAGTATTACGAAGCCTGATCAAAATTGTATTGGTTACCCTCTTCAGTCTTGCCGTACTGAGGATGTGAATACTGAACAGCATTGTTAGTCAAATGGACATAATTAGATTGCTACTTAGCATCGAATGTTTCAGTAGCCAATCTCAGTTACCCTTCTCTAAATAGTAAATTGGATAGATACCTAAAAAAGAAGAATCCTAAATTCGATGTTATCATCACGTAAGTCCGAATATCAAACTTTCTTCCCTTTATCAATAAGGGTTTCTCAATGTATTTCTGAATCACAAATTACTCCGTCATCAATGTATTTATGTAGATGATCTTCGTTACTATTTCGTTATTCTCATTTCTCTTTACTTCCAATAGATGTTCCTTGTACCCATTCTAATATCTATTATAGATGTCGATTATTTCTTGTAGGTTTCTGACAACATGAATTCCTCTTCCTTAATTCATATTTGCTGGTTTGAAAATCCACAGATTCTCTCCAGCAAATAGAGTGGGGTATTAATCACCTTTAGTTTCTAATTAAGTCCCGTACTTAAATTAATAAGACTTTATTGTTTTATCTAACTCTTATAATTGATGTTAAGGACACTAAGATCTATAAAAAGTTAAAAAATTAAATAGGCCAGCCTTCAAATTTTAGTTGGTACATTCGATGGCAAAACTTATTGGAATGTAATCTTACACGTTTAATTAGCTTTTCTATGTTTATAATAGACGAATAAGCTTACATCACAAAAAGTCTTAAAATTTAATGCTAAGTGGTATTTATTTGAAATTTCAGCATGAAACTCAAAATGATTAAGCATTTGTGGTTTAGAATCCTTTAAATTCCCTGCCAAAGTACGATATTCGTATCCTTTTTCAGTTTCTTGCCATTTAAAATTAATGTTTTTCAGAGTAGCATCTTTCACTTAAACCCAATTTTATCTCTCATCCAGTAACTTTTTAATTAACTCATGATTATTCCCTTCTCCTATGTAATAGAAATGTGTGGATGGCATAGACCTTTTAGGTTGGGCAGATAAACATTTTAGAGGAGGTTACATCGATAAACTTCTCTCTTGAGTATCCTGCTTTTTTGGAACTGGAGGTAACTTTCTTAATTGCGATTCCTTTCTCTCCTTCTTGGCTTTAAATTGGGCTTTGGCTTTCTCAATTGCGTCTGTTTCAATTTATTTGTAAACTATTTTTCTATTTTTCTTTCTCATATTGTTCTCTGTTTAAAATCTAGGAGGAATCTGACCACTAAAATATTAAATCGCTAGTTTTTGGGCAAGCTCTCTGACACTGTGTGTTTATAGTTTGCTGGAAGACGATATATATTTATCAAAGAATTAAGAGAAAGCATCTTAATTTTATTATGTAAGTTTTTATGCACTCTACATTTATAAAATTAATATTCTTCATTAACTAATGATTAATTGCAAGTATTATTTAATAATTAAATGATAGAACTCGCTCAGAAAAGTTATTCTTCTTCATTCACAGAGACCTTGCTCATCCTAGACTAAGTGTTTTTATTCATCCAATTAGCTTCAATGGAGTGTAATTCTATTAAATTGCAATTATAATTAATGACTTATAAAAAGAAGAATATTATATTTATAAATCTTATGATAGATAATTCTCAAGGCAATTTATACTCTACTGCTCCTATGACTCCAGTTCTAAGCAACACATTACCTCAAGTGCATAAAATCATAGGTTTTAATGCAGCCATTTATGAAAACGAAAACCAATAACAGTTCGTTCCTCTTCGAAAATTATTACCAATTTCAATTGATAAACTTTATTCTATCATAATCAGCCTTATTTCAAGTATATGCTCTAAGTAAAACTAGTTATTTTGGAAGTACTTAAGCGAGATTTAGAAATTCCCAATTTAAACTTAGACAATATCATGATGTCGAAGGGTGACTAGACTATGCCTTTTATATTCAGTAATTAAGATAAGACAAAAGCTCGTTAGTAAGAATAAAGTTTGGTGAAACAATTTTCTTTATTATGTAATTCTATCAATAGTTAGTTAGGCAAATAATTAGGATTTGATTAAGATTTAATTAATTGTGATAGTTTAATCCAATTTTAAGATGCACTACTAATCAAAATTGGTTATGAGTAGGAAAGTTTTGGACAAAATAGCGAAATAATTAAAAAAATTTTGAACATTGAAAAAATAGAAGACATCGTTTATGAAAATGATCATACTAAATTGTATCAAATAGATGTTCCAAAATATATTCTAAATACTAAAAATTCAGATTAAATTGCTGTAAAAATAGGCTATTAAGACAGACAAGTTTATGAATTGAGAGAAGTGGAAATTATAGAAGACTTTAACAACATTCACCTTCCATTATTATATGGATATATAAGATATTCTGATATCCTTGTACTATTTTTGAAAAAACATGATTGGACATTTGAGTGGATAGCAACTTAATTTTTCTAAAAGAGATAAACCCTTACTCCCAAATAGATTGAGAAAGCTTTCTTAAGATTATTTCAACAAATGATACGTGCCATAAAATATATGCATTCTGAAGGCATTATTCATAGAGATATAAAACCAGAAAATATCATGTTTGACAAATCTAATCCAAATCAATAGGTATTTGAAATTGTCGATACACCTGTAAATTGTGTGATGATCGATTTTGATAGATCTATTATCATGGAGAGTTACGACCCTTAAAATAATACTGCTTATGAAGGAACTCCCTTTTTTAGACCACCTGAAGGGGAATAAGAAGAATATAATCAAACTTATGATATTTGGTAATTAGGATTTATGTGGCTGGTCATTTAAAAAGAATTTTATCAACAAAGATAAAAATCAAAAAACATAGAAATATATAATCAATTTAAAATACAAAAGGTTAATTTACAAGAATTGAATTTAGAGATAAAAGAATAAGAAAATAAAATGAAAAAAAAATTTGAAGAATTATAATTATAAGGTAGATTGGAAAAATAAATTAATAAAATAGAAAATTTGAAAAATTACAGAATATAAAATTACCATTCCCTAATTGAATAAATTACACTACAAACTAACTTTGTTACTTATGACCCTAAACTTCAAGCGATAATCCTAAAAATGATTCACATTGATCCAAAGTAAAGAGCAACTCTTAATGAGGTATCAGCTGTAATTGACGAACTGATCTAATGAAATAGATATAATCAACCAAATCTTATTTTAATAATTTGTAATATTCAATTGAGTTATCATTACTTCTAAATCATCTATTATTCTAGTAATCGATATTTTACTGATTTCTTTTCATCATTTGATTAAAAACTATGGAAGTGACTTGGGGAAGATAGTAGTGAATAGGTCATTTCATTTTTCATTTGTAATTATTCAAGATACTATAATCTTTACATTACTCTTCTTTTTTCACTAAGAAATCGTTTCTGTCTTTATTCTTATTGCTCACTTATTTCAACATAACCTTTCTTCAACTATACTCTGTTTCTTCCATCTTTGAATCTCACTTAAACTTCTGTTTTCTATTGATTTGAAGGATTGCTGATAATAAACATCCCATTATAAGCTAAAGGTCTTCTTTCTGTTGTGACATCAGACACAAATCCTTCATCACTGTGCATTTTCTTGACAATGGAATTTGACTCTGAAGGATCACCAAAAGAAGACTATTATTGCAATTTTTATAATTCTTCTTTCATTTTTCTATTCTCTTGAATAATCTTTTCTACTTCATCGTTACTCAATTAACCCTCTCTTAATCTCTCATTTTCTTCTTGCATTTTCATCAACTTGAAGTGTAAATCATTCTAATTTAACCCACTTCTCTTCATATTTAATAGCGATTTCAAATAATCAATCTAAATTATACCAAAATTAAATTTACTTCCTTTACTAATTTGTTAACTAAGACTTAATCATTCGCATTAAATTTATTTGGTTAAACTTGAATAGTCACATTCTTTGCTCTCTATGCAAATTTAAGACTACTGACAGTTTCATCAATATTATAAATGTTTGGTGCAATATTGACAATGATGTGAGTCATGGTGTTTCCACCTAAACTATCTTGCAATAACCTTGTTAATTTGGATTCTCTATATGGAATAGGTAACTTCTGTTTGTTTTTATTGTTTTATGATAAATTTTATATTACTTTACCCAATGTCGTTAAAGATTAATTGATATTCTTTAATTCAATAAAATGAGCATTAGTAAGAGCTTCTAATTTGTTTATTTTTTCTGAGCCTGCCAAATCACATAGATTTAACTTCGATTTAAATAGAACTCCATTTCTATCAACCTTGTTGGTCTCAATAATCAGTTGAAATATAGTGTGACTTCTACTGGATTTTAAATTCATGGTAGTTTATCGAATAATTCTATTTCTCTCTCCTCTTTTCATCAGAGTTAAACAATCATGATAATTATTGACAGCGTATTCTGTTAAATTCTCTAAAAGTTAATAGATCTATATACTAAAATTTAAGCTTACCCACATATATTCCATCCAATTTGCTTTCGTGCAAATTCAAAGGCATTGGTAACTTATGATCTTACAGTAAATCGTAGATCTTCTCATTATAGATTTATAGAAATGAACAATAAATATAAAAATTAGGTGGCATGTTGTTGAATAATCCGAAAATAACTCTAGGAATAATTCCAGCAAATGAGAAGTCATTTTTTAAATCATCACAGTAGGTTGCTTAATGGCTCAATCCAAAATTCATTTGCGACTCCCAATCGCTACCAAACATAGTATAGGTTTTTCCTTGATTTAGTGAAACATGTTACCACTGCCAGTTTAACCGTACGCCAAAATGGTTCCATTGAATCCATCAAATGCTTACTTGATGCAATCATTCAAATTATTATAAATCTCCACTTAAAGAGATGCCTCATCAAATACCCTATCAAATTCCTATTTAAATATTTGAGTGGACTATTCGATCACAACAAACTTTTTCTAATTAAAAATAGGATTGTTAACTTTTACATTTTCAGTTTTGATGATTGTCTCCTAACCTTACTCCTTCTTCAACAATGGTCGAATTCTAATCGATACTTTTATGGGCAATTTTCTGTCTTCTTGAATTTACTTTGTTTTTTATTTCTATAAGTACATTGTTTTAATAACTATATAATAAATATTATTATTGTAATTTAATCACTTTCCCTTATAATTGCAATTCACAATAGAGCCTAAAAACCAGATAAAATTATTAAGAGATGCAAATCAAAACAAGAATTTCCTTAAATAATTAAAAAGACGTTCTAGTTATGAATTTCTTATTATTATTATATTTTTAAATATCAAATTTAATTTTATAGAAGATTGAATTTCTAAATTAAGAGATTATTCTTTTTAAAAATGACTTTCTTTATTCTACTAAATCTTTTCATGTCTAAATGACAAGGTCAAACTCTTCAGAATTAATTTTAAAAGAAAATAAAAAACAGTCTCTATTTTTACAAGAATATAGTGTTTTAAAACCAATAAATTTTAATATTAAAGTTAAGGTATCATGATTAAGGACACAAACTTGTCAACAAGGTCAATATTTTTTGATGACCAAGACGTTTAATGGCAATCTAAATAATCCCAAGAACTTAACATTACATTAAGAGGGCTATTTCACATTTATAAGGAAGCGAAGAGCCATTACAAACTGTCAGAACTCTCCTTTAGCCCACCTTATATCATAAGATAGTCTAAAAAATAAGTTTACAATTATTTTACACAAGGGTTCCAAGGCTCTAGATATTACTAATGCAGTTATTGAGAAAGTGAAAAACAACATAGTTGGCGAAGGAATACTACTTTAGAGAAATAAACTAAGGTTTTACATGTATGGTCAAGTGGAGAGATGGATGGAAGCATTTTCGGAGCTCTGCATATAGATCAATTTTCATGAGGACTTTTTTTTATATCGATTAATTTCGAATAGTCTATAGTCGAAGGTATCAAATCTTGATATGGCAGGTTTATTTTGCTGAATATCGGAGCACCAAAATTGATTATGCAATCAAAGTATTTGAAAAGAATAAATTTGACTCAGTAATTGGACCCAAGGCTTTGAAACAAGAAATAGAGATTTTGAGACTCATCAAAAATGAATATTTCACCAGGTTATTAAATATATACGAAGGAAATGAAGCAGTTTATTTGGTATTCGAGCAGTAAAAGGGAGGTGATCTTTAGAGATTTATAAAAGATAACGATAATATTCTTACAGAAAAAACAGCATTTCAAGCTATCAAATAATTACTATTGGGAATAAGTGAAATGCACGCTCTCAATTACATGCATCGAGATTTAAAGCCAGAGAATATACTGTTAAAAAACAAGGATTCTTTGGAATGCCTAATTATCAGTGATTTGGGTTTAGCAGAAAAAGTCAATAATGAGAAAAAACAATTGTTCACTGTCTGCGGAACTCCTGGATATGTTGCTCCAGAAGTTCTAAAGAAAGAACCATATGATTAGAAAGTTGATATATATGGTATAGGACTCATTCTATACATCTTACTAACAGGATGCAATCCCTTCTAGTCATTGATAAAAGATGAAACCTTTGAATTAAACATGATAGGAAATGTGAACGTAGATAAAGTAAATTGTTCAGAACTGGGCAAAGATTTACTGAGACACATGTTATAGGTTTCCCCCAATCAAAGACCAACTGCACAACAAGCCCTTAGACATCAATATTTTAGAAACTAATCCACAAAAGATTCGTTTCCTAAGTAAAGTATTGTTATAACCAAAACTAAACTTGATTCTATTCATAGTTAACAAATCTCTCCAATAGCATAAAATCTCAATTTTGATAAATATAAAGCTCCTCCAAGTAATTATAATTTAATATAAAGTTAAATAATAATACTAAAGATAAGCCACTCCAAAAATAGATATTCACTAATATAACTATACAAACTAGATGAATAAATTTAGAAAAGTATCATGAAGAATAGGATGATTATTTATTATATAATTACACTTTATAGATATATTTTGATTCAAATTAAATATACAAGGTTTATATTTAGATGAATTTTCATTACAAATAAGTTTCTGAATTTTACAAAGATTAAAAATATATAAAGATATTAATAATTTTAATTATGTTAAAATTGCACTATTTAAGAGGATATGCATTTTCAGCTAGGTAAGTTCATTCTTAAATTGCAATTATCGGAGGAGGGACAGCTGGATTAAACGTAGCGGCCTAATTGATAGCCGATGGACATGCGATTCCATAGTAAATTAGAATATTTGAACCTATGAAAATGCACACATATTAACCAGGATGGACAATGGTTGGTATGCTATAAATATTAAAAAAAAGGCGGCGGTTTGTATGACATCAACAAAACTCTCAAGCCGATGGAAAAGGTTTTACCAAAAAATGTGATTGTTTCGGATAGTCCTGTTATCAAGATAAATCCTGAGGAAAATTAAATACAGACATTTGATGGAGAGAATTATACATATGATTAATTAGTAGTGGCAACAGGCATAAGGACAGATTTTGATTAGATTAAAGGTATAACAAAAGCATAGTCATTTTAGGAGCTAGATAATATTTAGAAGAACCCAATTCACCAGTGGCATCAATCTATCACTATAAATACGCTTCTAAAATGAATAGATTAGTTGATGAATTTGAAGGTGGCAAACTAGTCTTTACTGAACCATAGATGCCAATAAAGTGTGGTGGAGCACCATAAAAGATAGTCTATTTGTCTCATGATAGACTTAGAAAAAGAGGAATTAAATCTGATATTCATTTCTATAAAAACTCTGCTTTAATTTTTGGTGTACCAAAGTATGCTGAAATATTGACAGATGTGTGCTAGAGAAAATAAATTAATTGTCATTTCAAACAAAAGTTGGTTGAAGTCTAAGATCATGTAGCTATTTTCGAAGATTAAGACACCAAAGAATTAAAATCTGTAACATTTGATCTCTTACATTTAGTACCACCTCAAGTATAGATTTTAATATATTATAGGTTCCAGCTAAATTTATAGCTGCCAGTGGATTAGGTGATGCTGCTGGATTTTGTAATGTACATCCAAATACCCTATAGCATGTGAAATATAGAAATATTTGGTCTTTGGGAGATTGCTCATCTTTGCCTACTTCTAAGACTGCTGCGGCTGTTATGGCTTAGACACCCATCTTAGTCAAGAATTTAATTAGAACTTGGAAGTAGGGATTGGAACCTATTCCTGAGTATCAAGGTAATGGTTGGGTTAACTTGTTAGGTTACACTTCTTGTCCTATTTTTACAAGTCAAAGTACTTTGTTGTTGGCTGAATTCAAATACAATTCTGAGTTAGATGAGACATTCCCAATATTTCAGTCTAATGAAAGTCGATTGATGTTTTATTTAAAAAAGGATTTCTTCCCATTTGCCTATTGGTATTTCATGGTTAAAGGACTATGGGGAGGAAGGGATGGATTTAGGTTTTTTAAAGGAGCTTGAATGTGAAATTTAATCTAATTATTAATTTACAATATTATCAAATGTCTATGATATCTCAAAGTGTTGAGCTCTAAAAAAACAGACCCAAGCAATTAGACATGTCTTCCCTATATAGCGAAGAAAATAAATCTTCTCATGTTATCAATCACGTAATTAACTATTATACTCAGTTAGAGAATACATCAAAGATCATTTCACCACTTTATTCTATGTCAAATTCATTGCTCAAGGAACCTACAAAGTATGAATGTCCGAATCATTAATAAATGAAAGCAATGACTTTGTCCAAATACTTATATGGACATCCTCCTAAGTTGGATAATATAATGAATATCAATGGATTTGAACCAAAACTGTAATTGGAGATGGTCAAACCAGTTATCGATACAAACATTATATAAACTATTTAAACAATTTCTGAAGAAGATCTTTAAACGATAAATTTAGATTAAATTAATATACAGCTCACTGAAATTGAATAAACCCTGTAATAAACTGATTTTCATAAAGTATTAGCGACTTTAACTAATATTTTTGAAAAATTGTCCGAGTCCATTAATTATAATTTAGAAAACGAATTGCCTTATCAAAAACATATTGTTTATTAACTTAGAATCTCTGTGTTGTTATCTAAAATCTACAAATGCATGGGAGATTACAAGAATTCCATAATGTGGTTATAGAGAATTCGAGAAAACTACAGAGTATTTGATCCTAGCTTAGCGGGTAAGTTGATGCTCGAGTTATCAAAATTATATTTCCTCAATCTCCAAATCAGGGAATCTTAAGGAATCTTGCATGAAGCATTATTGCACTTTGAAAAAATCTAATGGAAGGCTGACATTGCAAAAACTCTGCTTCTGTAAGCTCGTATGTGTGCTTGGATGAGTATAATAATTTCGGTATTACTAGACAACTTTGATTTGGCCACAAAGTTAGTTTACGGTGCAATTTCACTTCTAAGAGAAGCCTACATTAATGATGACACCAAATTAGACTAAGCCTACTTTATCTTGGCAGAATGTCATTATGTATCTAAAAAGTATGATACAGCCAAAGAGTTCTTAGTTAAAGTTATCTAGTTGAATTTGCAAGCTGGAAAATAAGAGGATCATGTTGAATTCCTTGAAATCTATAATTTATTAGGACTAATTCACGTTTAGATATTTGATCTTAAGACTTCTTACTTTTACTTTTGTCAAGCTTATAAATGCATTAAGTATTAATTGTAATCTAAATTAAATTTAGCTCCAATAGCATATAAAAAGGACAGATTTTAAACAATATCTCTTTAATTTAAAAATTTTTCGGTTAATTAGAATTAGCAGATAGATGCTAAAAGGCAGCAACAGAAATTTATGCTTAATTTTTATAGGAAAATCATTAAATTTTCAAGAGATTACTGCTTAATTCAATTATTGAGTCTTAACAATGACAATAATTTATTTTTCTAACTTAGTTATTAACAACAAGAGAATTTTCTATTGATAATATATAACTCAGATTTTTAGAATGAATCAATATGTTAAGAAATGCATGAACTTCTCTTTGTTTTCGAATGTTGTAGTTGTTGGTCTACCTAAATCCTTTCTGACTCCTGGTTTGATCAAGACTTCCATAAGAATGGGACCATCATTTCGATTTAACTATAGACAATATAAATTAATTAATATTACTCTCTCCATTCCTTTTGTAATCTCCTCTTTAGTTTACACTTGGAAGGCATCTCTGTATCCACATCCTAAAGCGATTTGTGTAAAATTCACTGAAGGATTACTTGTGGGTTAAGCACCAACAGAATCATGAGCTTGATTATTGAACAAGACATGTTTATAATTTGTTGGACCAATACTACCGACTTAAGCCAAAGCACCCAGATGCATCAACATGGCTCCATCACCATCTAGACAATACACTTGTCTACTCTTCTTGACTTATGCAATTCCAAGAGCAATACTGGATGCATGTCCCATCGATCCAACTGTTAGGAAATCCTATTCTCCAGTTTAATTGAGACGTTGTCTTAGTTCAAAGAGTTCTCTGCTTAAAAACCCTGTGGTACTAACACACACATCTAAAGGACGAGTATTTTAGATAACTTCAGTTAAGGCTTCTTCTCTAGTTAACTGATAGTTATTTTTAGCCGCATTCTGTAATTTGTAATTAGTGAAGCATTACCTTTTAACAAGTAAAGCGTAAGGTCCATTTCTATGATAGAAATATAGAATTACCTAGTTTTCATAGAATAGAAGGCTGTATCAAGAACCTCTGCAGCGCCTTCGATATAATCAGGTAATACATCATATTGTATCCCCATTTCAGTAAGAATGCCGTTCATTCTCTTGCCTTAGACTAAATGTTATGGCTCATCCTTTTTTCCGGGCTCTCCTCTCCATCCAATTAAATACAACATTGGAATTCCATAGACTTTGGGATGAGCTAAAGACATATAAGGATTCACAATATTCCCCAAACCACTGTTTTGTAAATACACACAAGGAATCTTTTTAGTTGCCAAATAATATCCTGCAGCCATGGAGACAGCAGTACCTTCATTTACAGTAATTACATGTTATCCTGGAGGAGCATTGTCCTTATAAATAGATGGGACTCATACTTAGACATAAGCACAGAAGTCTTTTAATAAAGAATCAGGAACTCCTGTGTAAAATGAAACTCCATGTTTTGACAATTCTTAGTAAAATTCTGCAGGTTCAAGGAAATCTCTTTGCAATTCAAGATAAGGTGGTTCAATTGGTTCCCTAGATTTAGCATTAAAAAATCTCCTTGTAAGTTAGCGGCAAAACATATTTTGTAATAATATTTTAATCAAATAAATCTAGTAAATGTTCTGGTGAATCTTCTATCCTTTTTAAAATGCTGGATAATGTATTCTGCATTGTATTTTGGATAGTAATTCTTGTAGGAACATTTTGTGTCTATTTCAATAAGAGCTTGCTTCTTCTTTTGTTCTAATCTATTGACAATTTCATTAACAATGTCGAATTCATGATTGATATCTTATTCACTGATCTGACTTTGAGTATCATGCATGAAATCCACACTAAATGATTTGCTAAGTTGATCGATTTCCTCCTAATCATAAGCAATGGACAATTCCTATTTCATCTATTACTAAGCTTTTTAAATCTTTCTTAAATTTAAATTATCTTAGCGCACATTATTTCTTTTAAATGGTTGTCTCTCCTATTGATTATTCATAATTCGACTTATTAAGAATATCTTATTAGGATAATAATGCGACTTTGGACAATCGTTAGCTAAGTGGCTACTTGACTAACAACAAAAGCAACTGAGGTTTATCAAATTATACTATCCAAATAAGATTTAATCTCTGAGTTAACAAAAGTATTGAAAATCAAGTGGAAATTATTATAATAACTAAATAAATTCCAATCTATTTAGTTTATACAACTAAGAAATAGTTGTACTCTTAGCTGATAAACTTCTTGAATTCCCTGTTAAGAATCCCAATTCTCCAAACATTGAATCTTGCTCTGCTTCATAGAAAACCATGTCTTAATCTTCAAATTATAGGTACAGTTGAATATGTCCGATACTAACGCAATAAAGGCAATCATCATCATTATTCCCATTTAAACTGCACAGATTTTATTTGAATACCATCTCCCCATCACAATACATCTATTCACTAATGAGATACGCGATTTTCTTTTGAAAGCTTTTAAATAATCATTGATATTAATACTCTAAAGAAAATTAACTAGTCCAAAAGGTTCTTTTGAAAATCAAACCATAAGATTGCATTATTACTTCATCCTTTAATTAAGGTCCCAATTGATTAATTATTGAAATCTGTTCATTGAAATCTCGCACTTTCTCACTAAACATAAAGCTAAAGAATCTCCTTACTTTCTATTGTGTTTCCATATCAATCTATCTATATAAGAATCATATTACATTTTTATCCTTCATAAATCTATTTATGTCAGTCATCTTTTTGTCAAATTGCATGTTGTGATGAGTAATTTCTGAAAAGACATTCTAAAAAGCACTCACAATCATTGCGAATATGACACATGCAAAGATCATTGTTATTATGGAAACAAATATTTCCAATGGGTTTTTGCCTGTTACATCGCCATAACCAACTGTTAACATAGTTGTTAAAGCCCAATAAAATGAATATTCATATTTAACTGCTATTGGTAATGAATATATATCATTTTATAATCCAGATGAAATAAGCCAAGATCCATAATCTTGTCTTTAATTAACCCAATAATCTCCTGCTGCATAGAACAAACAAGCAAATAAGTTGACTAAAAAGAAGATTGTCAATATTAATTTCAGTATCTAATAAAATGCTCTGAGTTTTCTTTGCACTTATAATAACTATTCAACCTATGAATCCACCAAAGTTACATAATAATATTTAAAGTAAAAGAAATATGGTACCCAGATTAGAAAAGCATAGTGATCTCGAAATGATACTTATAAAATTAATGATACAATGGCTATTATATCGAACAGGAATTCTTAAGTAACATACCTTACAAATATGCTATGTTTGTCCAATACCATTTATCCTTTATCGTAGTATCCTGTATTTAGAGTAATGAAGATATCGAAAATCAAAAAAAACATCATGATATACAAAAATACAGCAATGTTCTCAATACGCAAATTGTCTGAAATTATCTAATAACTTAATTAACATTTTACTTCATATCCAAAAAACATAAAGACAGGTATCAAGTAGAAATAAATTATCACTATGAAACAAATAAATAAACGCCAAGAAAATATTGCCCAATGATCAGGATTAAAAGAGGGAAACGTGTTTAAATAAGCTTCAATCCCATTCGTATAGCGTAAGAATTTCTTTGTTGTAATTGGGACATCTTCAAGTTATTATACATTTTCATCCTATTGAGTGTAGTTAAAAGTTTGCATCTGCACATTCTTACTTATTCTCCTGGTTTCAGGTTATTTTTTAGTCAGTAAGGGTTGTTCCAATGATATGAACATAAAATAAATAATTAAAATTATATGCATTCCCATTTAAATCACTCATTATCAATGAATATTATACAACTAGATAAAATATATCAACAAAAGTATTTTCCTAAAAGCGTTTGTAAGGAATCTAATGAAATTGGTTTGGATACTATTTCATGCATTCCACTCTCATGGGCTTTTTCGGCATTCTCTTATCCATTATAAGCTGAACACATTACGATAACGGTATTTTATCTTTCTTTACGAAGAAGTTCAGAGATCTCTAATTAATTTATGCATCTATACTTCACTACTAACCACAAATCCATTCTTTCCTGGCATTTCAATATCCATAAAAATCAATCTATAGGCCCTACAACAAGTATTTTGTAATTTTTGCTTTACTTTTCGAATTGCAGAATCACCGTCATATGCGCTTTCCGCCTTCCATTCATAAACTTATAATAGAGCAAGCAATGCTATATGGTTAAAAGGTACATCATCTACTATCAGAATCTAAGGACATTTGCATTATTAATTTAAGAAATTCTTAGATGAAACATAGACTTTCTATACTGAATCCTTGGAATTAGATTTAATCTCCTCAATATCATGTAATGAATGTCCAACTTCTTAAAATCCTGTTTTTATCTATTAATCTATAGAGAAACTGACAACGGTATAGAATCCCTTCTAACTCTTAATTTACAATTCCCCATTTCCACTTAAAAATTTAACAATCCCTTGAGAAACCCTGAGACCTAATCCTAATTTATTAGACCCATTTTATTATAACAGTTGATTTTGCATGTTTAACATCTAATCGCTGCTAATCCCTTCTCCATTGTCCCAAACAGAAAACACATATTGATTATCCTTTTTTTTGACTGAAAGCACTATTCTACCCCCTTATTTTGTAAATTTGACAGAATTATTTAATAAATTAACTAGAATTTATGTTATTCTTAATTTATCACTGCAAATTCTCAAAGTATTATTAAAATTTAAGATCAATTCAATCTACTTTTATTGACACTCTGATTAAAATAGTTCTTTTAAATCATTAAATATCTCACTAACATAAAAGTTATCTGAATTTAATTTGAAATCTTGACATTCTATCTAGGCATAATCTAAAATATCATTAATTTATAGTAATAATCTTTTGCTTGATGTAATAGCAGGTAATAATAAAGTGTTATTGAGATGTTCATCAATCTTTTTGCTTAAAACTTATAATAATGGGAGAGAGCAATTTAAAGGAGTTCTTAATTCATGGCTAAATGAATTTAGTAAAGCCTATTAAAATTTGTATCTAAAAGTAATTTCTTTGAGTTCTTCTTTGTTAGTTATGTTTTCTACAACAAACAAATATACTGGATCTTTGGATTTTGCCTAAATTTTAACTTCATAGGCTTTAATTTAATAGTGCTTTTTCTTGGAATTAATGTCTTAGACTACATGGAACTAAAACATATGGGTAGTTTCAGATGTCCTAGATTGAGTATCTTACCCATTGTTCATTTATTTATGGATATTTTATTAGAATTCATTCATAACGAATTATACATATTAATATGTGACTTCGTCGTGAATACTGGACTGGAAGGATTCTTTTTTCTTCATATTTACTTTCAAACGATCAGAGAGCCAATTAGTTTAATTTAAGGTTCTTCCTGAACCAACTTAATATTAGTTTGCAGAACTTTGTTTGAGCTTTCGAAGTGGAACTATGGGTGGTTTGTGTTTGGCATTGAGATGGGTTTTAAAAGAGTTGAGTTCCGCACTATATATGAATGAGAGTAAGATTTACTTGGATAGAAATTAATCTAAGGAATTCACAATTTAATCGGTTGATGTCACCATTAAGTAATTTAATAGCTTTTCATTGTGATGTAGGACATGATAATTTTTATCAATTAGTGCCAGCCCATATGGTAGACAGTTTAGAAGATCTTCATCCAAGGTTACATTAATATTTTTTTCTGGGTGGGGGGATTTCTCATCTAATAAATCTTGTTGAAATTGATCTCCGTAACTCAGATGAGCATGAGGATTGGCCATTTTTTGTGAAGGAGTGTTGGGAATCATCGGAGTGTTTTCTTGTGATGATTTGTCTAAATATAGGAATGCGTGGTTGAGAGGTTACCAGAGAACGAGTAAGATGAATTCAAATGTGGCAAATTGTTGGTAAAATTAAATGGTCATTCTAACAAATAAGTATAAGGAGAGCAGATGAGTCAAAATTTAATAACATTTATTGTCATTTTTCAATATGTTCTCAATTGCAAGCAAATAAATGAGTAGGAAATAGGTGTTTATGCTGTGTACTTTGTAAAATATTATTTCCAATTAAAAAATGATATGAAATTGAACGACTGAGTTAATAATGTCCTCCCTCTATCTTGAATAAATGAGACAGAAAATTACTAAATTCAATATTATTCCAATTGCATTCACAATCAAAATTATCATATCCTTACTCTCTTGATTTCCAGCTTAAATCAAACTTATTAAATTTTATAACATCAATTAAGTCAGCAATAGCTTGGTTTTTAATTGCATTAATATATATATAATTTGGAAAAGAAATTAATTATTTAAATTGAAAGGATTACGAGAACAATGTTAATTTCTAAATCTTCTCTAATCATTTGTTGATCGTCGTTAAAGAAAATTCAAAAATAAAACTATTATTTTTAATTTTATTTCAAATGAAAAATAATTACTCAAATCTGTTAGAAGAAAATACATAATTAAAGCAAAACATAGTAGAATTGGAAATGACACTCTAAGAATTGGTTCGCCAAGATTCCCTTATCGAGAAATGGACCGTAATGAAAAATTTTGTACTTGTATCTACAGAAGTCGAACGATTGTCTTTGGCCTATGTTGCATTGGAAAAGCAATATTAGTAACTATAGAATTCCAAAGACTCGAATCAAAACGAATCTAAAATTAAGATGCTTATAACATAATTGGAAGAGTTGAATTCCATCATGATTTCTCAATAGAAAAGAATTGATGAATTGAATAACAACAATTATTTATAACAATAGCTGGTTGATGAGACTAATTAAAAAATAGAAGTCATTCTTGAAATGAATAAGCAATTAAAAAATAACGAATAGAATCTACAATAAGAAAAATAAAGCCTATAGAATTAATTATAGGAATCTAATAATGAGTTGAACAATGTCATGCATACATTAAAAGAATGCGAAGATATGTTCAAAAGTACATTAAACAAATAAGAAACAGTAATAGAAAATTTATCCTCATAAAACACTTTTTTGAATAATGAAGTACTAAAGAAGGATAAGTCCATTGAATAATTAATGAAGAAAAATAAAGAGTTGATTCAAGATGTAGAAAGAATAGATAAAAAGTATGTAGAATAATCAATATAAATGAAGAAAGTTTCTAAAATGTTTGAATCTCTAGAACAAGAATACAAGAATTATCAGTAATAGCAATAAGGTAATCAATCAGAAGTATTAATAATTCAATATCTTAGTTTTACACTCTAACTAAAAGATTGGAGCACAAAAACTAAATACTAGTTGAAATTGAGAGCAGATTTGATAAATTAAGCATAGTGGCCAAAACTCAAGAAAATCAACTCAAAGACAATGAACTTAAAATTAAATAGTTGAGATAATAAATTATGGAATAACAAATGCTCATTGATGAATTGAAAAATGCCAATAAAACAACTAAACACGATGATGAAAATGAAATAAAGGAACTTAATTTATAAGTTAAGAGACTATAAGAGAAATTAAATGAAGCAAGATATGAATTAGAAAAAGAAAGTACTTAGAGGAACAAGCTCTAATAATAGAATGAAGTCAAAGATAAAGAGATTGATAAATAAAATAGTTAATTAGAGCAATTAAAAAATGAACAAAAATCACTATAAAAGGCAGTTTAAGATTTACATCAAACTCTTAACATATAAAAGGAATTATACTAGAAGTCTTAAGCTGAATAGAATAGCTTGAAAGAATAGCTCCATGTTCTGTAAGAAAATAATTAGACCCTCGATCTATTGAACATAGAAGATTAATGTTTATCTTTAAAGAATGAATGCTAACAATTAAGAAATGAAGCTTAATATTACAAATATCAAAATTATCAATATGTATCATAGATAGAAGAATTAAGACAAACAAAGACCTATCTGAGTAATTTGTTGATGGATAGAAAGTATTATTGAAATTTATTACTATTAATTATGAATAAATTTGTATAATATTATATCTATTAATAAGAAAATGTTTGATTTCCTCATTTTGATATTCTCAAACTATTTAAACTCTATCTTACATTATCAATGATTCATATTCCACCTTTCCGTGGTTAATATCAAATTATATTTTTCTAGGAAATATGTGATCAGATCCAAAAAGCTCTGTAAACAAAATGTTATTAATAAAATAATTTAAGATCAAATATTAATGAATCCAGGACGAAAATATTCTGTAAAACTGTATTTTGAATTTTATATGTATCTATAATATATTTTATTATATCTTTAATTATAATGTATATTTAATTTAAATCACACAAGGTTAACTAAATTTATCTTTGAAAAAAATTAAGTTGCCTTTGGAATATTTGGAACATGTTCATGTAATCAAAAAGGTATTTTAATAGGATTTATACGAAGATAGATATAATAATAAACATAATTAAAACTTATGTATCTAGCAATATTTAATTACTTAGTCTTGATTACTTTAGTAGTACTGATCAAATAAGTAAATAAAATGATCAAACAATTTAAGTAATAAATTATAAATTCGCTTATGTTAAAATAATATTTTTATATAAAACTAATCAATATTATAATAAGGGTAGTTATTCTAATTGTCTCCTTTATTAGAATTTGACTTTTTATTATTATGATTGTTTTTTGAATTTCATAAAGATGTTTCAAGAGATTTTCAATTTAGACTCATCTCTTGTAATAATAATTTTTGTATGCTCTTCCTTCCATTCCCTTTGAATATTATGCATTTATGTTCTATTTCAAGCTTCTTCTCGATTGAGCTTTTCGTTCATTTGATAATTCCTCTTCAATTCCTAATCATAAGCCTAATTGAAATCCACTTTAGTCTTGACTAATCTTTTTGCTTGCTCTGCAAGAATCTTCCTTTCTTATAAACAATCTGATTTTCTACTTTTAAATTCTCATTCCAATTCTGAATGAATATAATGAAATAATTATCATCCTGATGAGATTTGCAAGCCTTCATTTCAACCATGGCTTTATTAGAATTCATATACTATTATCTGAGTTTAGTTTCTCTCACTTCAACTGCAATTCTTCATTCTTCTGCACTTTTAATTTATTTCTTTTAGCTGATCTTATTTTAGACTTCAATTAGTTGTTCTTCTCTAATCTTCTTCCTCAATTCTTCCTCCTTTTACTATTTCAATATCTTTGCTTCTCTCTCCATATTTTTTACTACCACTCTGCTCTTCAATGTACCTTAGTCTCTTATACTTTTTCTAAATTGATGATAAATATTCATCTTTAGATTAGACTATTCTTATCTCTTTTCTTCGTCTTCTGCCTTTCTTTCAGCTTTAATAACTTCTAATCTATCTCTTAACTCAGCTTATGACATTTTTTCAATGAGAATCAGGTGTTAATATCACTTGATTGTATAATTTTATAAGATCGATAGCTTGAGTAATTAGTTACTAATCCCACATTAAATTTAATAATTTTTAAGAATATTCATCCCATACATTCATAACTTTTTTCAGTTTGTTGGGAAAATGAATTAAGAACCTTCTAAAATATTATTATTGCAATTCTTTCTCATAGAATATTTATAAATTTTTTGAAGTATTTCTAAAATAGCACTTCAATATTTAAATTAATGAGTGAAGAAGTCTGTTATACAGAAATTAAAAACAAGAGCAGCAGTAAGCATTTCCCTTTGATTGATCTGACAGAAATCAAACCTTAAGTCAATTTCCTTGAGAGTTTATGTAAATCTATCTTTCTTATTTAATAGTACAGAAAAAGTATCAGCTCAATAAAAAAATATAGTAGTATACATTGGGTAAGGTATATCTTGAGTCTCAGAATTAAAAAGCGATATTCAGAGTTTTTCAGGATTCTGATTTGAACATCTCTTCGATTTTCTAAAAGAAGCTAAACAGAACAACTGTTGACGATGATGTTATGACTACCAGTTCTTAAATTGCAAATGCGAATAGATAAAATAGGAAGGACATCATTTTTAGAATTTTTGAAGTAGAGAAACCTCAACGTCCTAAATAGATTCCCTTAGAAGAAATGGAACTTTCCCTCTTTGGGATTACTTAAGAAAACAATGTATTCTTTACACAACAACTCAAAGTACCCAAAGAGAGTAAATAGTTCCTATCTTAATGAATTGTATAATAATTATAAAAAAATACTAAATTGTTGAATGAATAAGTTCTAAGACGAAACAGGCTCCACTCAAAATTAGACCAGGTAATACTACCAATTCTATCTAAAGACAGAGAAAAGCTCTGCAAAATCTGATCAATCAACAAAATAAATCAAAAAAAAAACAGCCATTGAGAACTCATATTCTAGTATAGCAATTAAAACCATAGGATTACATGGAAAAGTTGAAGCTATCCTAACTCAAAAGTTCAAAAATAGAAAAGGATGGAAAAATAGTTAAAAATTCTTTGCTCTAGGATATTGGTAATATTGAGTTAGAAATTCAAAAAATGACATACGAGTATAGGACTCCTGTCAATAAAACTTAAATAATAGATTCCAATAATAGCTTATTTAATTAAAAAGCGATTGCATCTTCAACAAATAAGACAGATGTATCGAAGTCAGATCATAAAATTTTATTAATGAATAGAAATTCAATCTCTAACGATAATATATCGAAATACACTAAGGCAAATCTACTCTCTGAGGTTTCTTACTTAAAACTAGCAGAATCCATGAGAAATTATTCAAACTAAAAAAAATCTGTTGAAGTCAAAATTACTGACAAACCTAAAACCAAACCTTATAATATTCTATCAACAAAATACTAATCAAATATAAATATTAAGAAAAAACAAAATAGTGATACTTAGAATAGTATTAAGTAAAAGTATTATTTAAATATTTTAGAACATAAAATCCCTAAGTCAACAAGTTATCCTAATAAATATGTTCTGAAAGATATAAGACTATTCAGATTAAATCAATTTTAAAGTAGACTTCTTTGCATACATAGGATTTTAATTTTCTTCAAACTAATTTGGCTGCTGATGTAATTTAAATTATTAACCAAAGGTTTCAAAGCAATAAGACAATGATCAACATCAAATTTAGGATAACTTTAAGGATGATAACAAATTAGATAAGGCACTTAAAATTTACAATTCTTTGAAGCTTCTAGTTCACAAAGGTTCTTCATTGTAGTCCTAGATGAAAGAATAAAAGGAACATAAAAATCAAATGGCTTAATGAATTTTACCCTAACTTCATAATATTTCAGTTTGAAAAATCTGTATTAAATAATTGTAAATATTTATAATGATCCTTATATAATAATTTATTTATAATTTATCGTCCTTAATTATGAGCTTTGAACGTTATCATCCCTCTAAGTCAAATTCTGAACCTGATAACAATCATTGCAATCACAATGGAAGCAATCATGTGCGTTTGAAATATGCTCCTATAAAAATTATTTATAACAAAGTAGGAGATTGTGATGAGAAAAGAAAATATCCTCCATTAAATTTGCGTTTCTAACCAGCTGACGAAATCACAGTAAAATTATTAAATAAAGTAGAATCGGTAAGACCCTACTGTAACTATTCCTCTAAGTTTTCTATAATAATTAATTCAATAAGCTTATTCAAATAAATAATTGAGAACAATTAACAATCCGTCAATTCGTATTGAAGAAAATAGGAATGACGCAGTGGAAGAGTTAATAAAATAAATTGAAATCTAATAAAAGGGGATTTATCCAATTGATGGTATTATAATATTATTATATTTTATAACAGAGGAAAAAAAGGTTTAGAACATGCTTTTATAAAACCATATGAATTTTATGCTTGAAAATGATGAGGCAAAAGAAATGATTGATAATTTCTTTTAAGATAACTTAAACTTAAAACCACATTTTTGGACTTGGCTAAAATAATTAGAAATTAAAGCCATCTAAGACATGTATATTCTTTGTCATTTTGATCCGAAGGGCTAATAATGTCAAGATATGTTCAAATTTTTATTCTAAAAACTCTCTCTAGAATTTTATTCAAAACATGCTTACGCTTAAATATTGCGAAGTGAACTATCAGAGAAATTAAAATATTTATCCTAAATTGGAGAAATTTTTAATAAAATTGCTAAGCCATAAGAGTTTTATTATTTTAAATCAAGATGATATGAAACTGAGCTTAAATTGTTTTTCTGTATATTAGTTAATAAAATAATATCAAAATACATATCCAATTCCTTAAACAGACAACAGATATTATTCTTTGCTATCAGTTTCTCTTAATTCTATTTTGCATTCAGGTAAGAATAATCCAATCACATATATAAGAGAATAGGTGTGTAATGATGGTTTGCCAATCAAAATTTCAGATTTTCCTTCTGCTAAGGCCATCAATAATATGAGCTAATCTTAGTGATGTTCATCAAAGGAAGTTTAATTTTGTAAGTACTATTTTGCTTGGTTAATGACTTGATGAACTGTTTCTTCTATGCTTTTATCCTAGTCATTAATAACTGTAAAATCATAAGAATTTTTAGAGGAATGGCAGAGTAGAGATACTCCATAACATTTTTTGAATTTCTTTGAATTAACCACTTTTACATTACTTTTAATGGGCAAAACATTATTTTCAGAGTGCTCCTTTAAATTATTGACAATCTAATTATCAAATTGCATGATTGCAGAAACAGAAGGAATAAGATAAGTGCATGTTAATTAATTAATCTTTGAATACTGGATGTTTACATAATTTTTGAGTTTTTAATTGATTGGTTAAATGAGAGCCTTCACTTCACCTCCACCTTAAGGGTAATACCCTTCTTTAATAACCTCTAATTTCATTTGAATTCCCATTTCTTAAATAAGTTTTAAAAAAATATTAGTCCAAGCAAACACAGTTGGACTATGATTCAAGTATGTACCTCCTTAGATAGATAATTGGATTGGTTTCTATGAATTGAGGGATATTGGTAATAGGGATTGCAATATTAATGTAATGCTTTGGGCTGTGGTTGCTTTACAAAAAAGGTCTTGGGGTACAAATTTGTCTAAGGGTTTAAATTTCATTTATTTTGACCCTAATTCAACACCCTGAAGTTCTGATTTAACAAAGCTGGAAATCAATTGTATTTGGCTTAAGAGCTAATTATTAATTCCTGGATTAGGTCTATTTGATCTAATATTTATTATTTGAAATTCCTTTTATAAAATGACAGATAAGGCTAAAGCTGATCTTAGCATCTATCCTCCACCTTCATATTGTGATCCATCTATAGTTGTAATATTATTTTAAATCATTTGTAATAATTCTTCAATAAATTAAATTTATGATTAAAAAAGTATAAGATTTTCTTATTTTAATATGTAATAATAACTCAGTATGTAAATGTAATCTTTTGGAAATCATTTTATATATATATATAACAATGGACTCTTAAATTGATGGTAGTTAAACCAAAAAAAAATATTCCATAATAACACCTGCTGTTAGGATAGCATTTATAAAAAGAGTTCAATCAAAACAGTCGACTATCAAGTAAGCAGCTCAAGAATTCGGAATTAAGTTTAGCACATCTAAGGCTATATTACAAACCTACAAGAGGGAAGGAAGAGTTGGTAAGAAAAAGACTAGGTCTCGACGCAGTACTTTTAAAATTGATTCAAAAAAGGAGGAGAAGTTCTAACAACAACAAAGTAACCCCAAAGACCATCTATCTCCATAACAACCTTTACCAATTAATCAAACACAGATGACTCTCCCATAGGAACAAGCTTAATAATTTCAAATATTTTAATTAGGTCTATAAATGAACCCATACATACCTCTACAATAGTAAAAATTTAAATCAATTACATTAGAAACTTGTACTTAGAGTAAAATCCTTTTCAAATTCCAAATCCGTAACTGATGTATTATTATTGGTAACTTAATAACTTGAGATAACAGGCTCTATCATAGTAATATGGAAAGATACTGGATCCTAGATTATTTATAACTCCTATTCAATCTAGTAAATGGTTAGATGCAAAATTTAATGAAATTGGAACAACTTTGAAGGACTTTAATTGAATTATGAAAATTATGTATTATCGATTAACACTTATTGTTCAATTCTAAATTTTGCTTTTATTTAATTCATTAATAATGTATTTTAGATTAAAAGTGATTCATATAAAATTATCAATCCTAAGGAATTGTGACCTAAATTACAGTTGTGGTATACAGTTTAGATGATGTTATCATTGTTGAAAGTGAACATATCTTAAAGAAGTTATAGGTTAAGATAGAAAATAAGGAAACAACGTAACAACAAATTTTAAAGAAAATTTTAATTTATGAACTTTTAATATATGATATTATCCATTTAGTATTTATTTAAAAGTAAAATATTAATGGATGATCAAATGTGAGTAAAAATCTGAGTCAAAACGAGATCCCTTATGTATAATGAAATCACTTAAGTGAAATGAGATTTCTTAGAATATATAGAATAATTATATTTAAATCAACAAAATTTTAAGGATTTTCATTCTAAATAGTTTCTCTATAAAGATTAAGTTCATTTAGATTTTTCTTTTCTTTTTTGTTATTTTAAACCACATTTATTTTTATTATAATAATTAATAAAATCAGAATTAAGAAGCTTTAGTTTGATTGATTTAAATTATCTCATTAGGTTTTGTATAATTTCAGATTATCAACCCTTGACATTATGCATTAAAAAAGTTCTCGTTCTCGTTTTTGTTTTAAATAATTATTATTAAATTAGTGTCGTTATTTAATTAAATATGAAACACACTTTAAAGAATCAAATAAACTAAAGTAAAACTTCTATGAATCATTATGATTTATAATCAATTGAACATAATAAGGAGAATAGATTAGCTAACAAAATAATATCAAGTATAGAAAGTAAGATTTCATTTGTCAGCAAATTAAAAACAAGCTCATTTGAAAATCAGAAAAAATTGAGTTAAGACACTTAGAACGATAATAATAATAATAGAGCATTAAAAAATCCAAAATTATAGGGGAATTCATAGACGATGATAAAAAAACCATTTTGCAGAATTAACAACATTTTGGCAATTTACACAGAGGATAAATAAGAAGAATAACCTAAAAAACCAATCAAAAGCAATTTAGATCTAAATTAATTGTGTAATCAGGATATATAAATTGGAAATTTTAGATTGGAATCATTTTTGGGCTAAGGTTCCTATGCAACTGTAAGATTATGTATTGAGAAAAATAGTAAAGTCAAATATGCAATTAAAATATATGATAAAAGTAAAATTAATGACAATCAAAAAATGAACAATATCAAAAGAGAAATCTCAATATTAAAAAGAATCAATCATAGCAATATCATTAAATTGATTTATGCAATTGAAGATAGAAAATCAGTATGAAATAATATATCATAGATTAACTTAGTAATGGAGTACATTTCTAATTAGTCACTAGCTGTTTATGTTAAATCCAAAACCAAAAGGCTACTGCCGATTCAAGAAGGTTTATACATATTTCAATAATTGGCCAATGCAATCAAATACTTACATAGCAAAAATATAGCACATCGAGATATTAAAATGGAAAACATCCTTCTATTGACAGATAATTATGTGAAATTAATTGATTTTGGATTTTCCATTTGCATTTAAGATAATTAAAAAGTTAATGTTTTTTGTGGAACTCCAAGCTATATGTCTCCTGAATTAGTTACAAAAGTATGAGTTAGTTTAATTTAGGTACCTCACAATCCTTTATGCTCAGATATTTGGTCGTTAGGAATATTGCTATATAGAATGCTTTTGGGGGAATATCCTTTTAAAGGACACAATGATAAAGAGTTATATAAAGCTATTCAATAGAATAAAGTTAAGATGCCAAACGATATGAATTAAAATATTACTAATTTAATTAAGGGTTGTTTAGAGAAAAACGTTAATTAAAGATTTACGATAGAATAAATACTATGCAACCCTTTATTTTAATAAACTGTGAATATATATGCATTATCTTGATATAAGTAATTATTAATCAACTCTCTGTTTGATACTAAACTTGCGAAGTTGTGAAGAATTCATTTTTATGAAGAATCTATTTCATAATAAATGAGTGTTTACTTCATAATACTTTTGTTTGATATTTCTCCTCAGATCTGGTAGAGTTGATTTAAATAAGTAGATATTTTTTTATCTTTATTGTCTTTCTCTAAGAGTATGAAGTTTTTCATTAAACTTCTCATCTTATTGTTTATTTTTAGATACTTTTATTGGTTGAGGAGGAAAATTAATTTCTGGTTTATATGAGAATTAGGAATCAATTTCTTGTATTTTTTCCAATTCTTTTTTTAAATTCGAATCATAAAATTATTATTTCTTTTTCAAGAAATTCTCTTATTCACTTAAGAAATGCTCAAATTATTCTGCAGTACTATTGTATTCTTTGATATGCATTAATTATACTTTTTTTTAATTCCAATTCTTGTTAAAAGACTTTCTCTTTCTCATCAATCTTTTATTTTAATTTAGCATTCTTTAACTTTATTTCATATTCATATCTGAGGTGAATAGGCATAGATGTGTAGTCAGATTTGCTTCTGATTTCTCTATTCAAAGAGCCTGTAGTATCTGATTGTATTTCATTACTACACTTAAACTATTGTGTTTTATCATTAATATCATCTGGTTAATCCTCTATTTCCTCATCAACTTCAATCACAATTTTGACTCCTCTTTTTAACTTGTCTAGTTTTTGCAGAGGCGGGTAATCACTAGATCTTTATGTGAATTAATCTTTAAATTTTATAAAGTTATTCAGTTCTTAATGATGTTTCAACCCTGATTAAAAAATTTTAAGAGTTTCTTTTGACAACTTGGGTTTTTCCCAAATATTTTTCCCTTCTTCATATTAAAATTTTTATTGTTTTTCTTTAATTTAAGATTATTTTCGTTTTCCCCATTTGAGCAATCTGTCAATCGCTTCTTTTTATTCAGTTTCTGATTATTTTTGTTTCTTTTCAATAGTAAAGTGAGACACAGTACTAATTAAATCCTTTTAATTAAAGTGATATTTCTATAACGGAGATGTACTAGAAGTAAAACTTTTGAATTTCTAAAATACTATAAATTATTATTTATTTACATTATGATGATGAATTCTTCATGTAAGGGGATGTTGATGTCTGTGTTGGACATTTTTTATGTAATGGGACTTTAATATAATCAGTTGTTACTCTAACTTGTTTTTGTTTCATCTGATTCTTCTTTGATGATATCATTATTCAATGGATTGGATTTCTTTTACTTGAAGTATGATTGTTAAGAATACTTCCTTAAATTCATAAAATATAATAAAATTTATTTTTTATAACTTTAGCTACTAAGTTTGGTTCCAATATGATTATTGAATTAAGTTAAGAGAAACATTTAAATTACATTAAACTGTTATAAAATACTGGAATTCAAATCATATCTGTTTATTTTTTAAGTTTCTCAGCTTCTCTACATAAACATTCCATAGCCTCTGCCAACCCATCAAAATTAAAATCTAATTTAATTAGCGCATTAGGGAATAATGCAAATGCTTATCCTTTAGCAATAAACATTTTTTTCCAAATTAATAAATTTAATACAAAATGTTAAAATCTTATTCTGGTTTTTAAATTCCTCCATTTCATCTTAAAAAGTATAAACTCCTTTAATTCATCTCTCGCATTTGGTTAATCATCGACTAACTTATTGTCGAGACCTAGAGATTTAAGAAAGACATCAACATCTTCCATATTTTTAAACACTCAAATGAAATTTTGAGTGTTTAAAAAGAAGAAGGAGTGAATGCCTATTTATATTTTGAGAGCATTTATTTTTATTGCATTTTCTTTGATTGTGCTGCCTATATTATAAAGAGTTCTAAATTCAATACTTTTTTAGAAAGAGATGAATTCAATTTAGCCTTGAAAATTAACAAATTCTTGATAAACTTAATTCTTTCATCATTTTTTCAATCCATTTTTTATGCCTTTATTATATTCTACTTGAAATTCAATGTCCTCTCCCAATTAATCCAAAAAAGGAGTGCATTAGGTTTCAATAAAAACTTAAAACTAAAGGATATTTAACTGTAAATTACAGAATTAGCTACAATAATAATTAGTTTGATTGCACTTTCTAAATTAGTAGAAAGCTCTAATACACACTTAGAAAGAATTTCTAAGATTTCTATCGACCAATCCGTTTCTGCTTTTTATAATTTCTAAATGAAATTATTTTATAAATATTAAAATATCTGTTTTGCTATTTCAGGTTAAAGAGTACGTATGATAATTATTAGATCCAAAAACTAACCTTAACTTAATTGGATTCACTTCAATAATTTGTTCTCATTATTTAAAGCCTCGCAATACCTTTACTTTATACAAAAATTTGACTATCAAGTCTTAAATAACAATCTTAATCACCATAGTTTGTAACCCAATTGTGATGATCAAAAAATTTGTCTTATTTTTCAAAGAAAGAAATTCCAAATCTTGTGAATTCTGAATTCACTTTCTTAAGCAATTCATTAGTTTCAGTTTCATAAACATCAACTTTTCTAAATCACCATAAATTCCAAAATTCATCGAATGATATCTGACCATCCTTGTTTGTATCAACCACTGCCATCAGCTAAATGATCAAATCAAAAATTTTATTTATAAATCATTCATGCAATGTATCATTATAATCACCCAATCGAAGGAATTTAAATCACAATCCCTTTAGGATTATGAAATATTCTTACTCGATCTCTCCTATAATCCATAGTTACAATAGAACCCTCTGGTAGTACTTGGATCTACAAATTTGGTCCATCTTTTTTGATTATTTAAATTGCCTATTGAATGGTTTTTCCGACGCATTCAGGCCATGAAGTTTTTTGATTATTACCAATTTAGTTGTAATGTAGTTTGCTTATTTTAATGCTTGGCAACTCCATATCTTTGAATCCTAATTTCAGACTAGTTTCATATATTTCTTATCCTTAATTAAAACGAATCACATCTTCATTAAGTTTACTAACTATATTAAAATTATATAATTCTTCATCTTTGATTTAATCATATGGTCTAAGAGCTGCATATAAGTAAGTTTAACTGGCTTCATTTGGAGTTAGAAGAAATGGATCCATAATGACTTTCATCACTCTAACAAGAGATCTTAAAATAACTTAGTTTTTTAAACTCTTCTCAAAGATTTCTGTATTTACAGCTCCAGGTGCCACCAGTAATACTTTTATATCTTTATTTTGATCTTTTAATAATTATTGTAGATATAAAGAGGAAGAGACCTTGAAATATTGACTGATAGCATATCTATAATCTAAGTCTCCTTTAAATGCTTTGAGTATGTCTATCTCCTCTCCAATCCAAGTGTACATATGACTAACTATATTAATTATTCTTCCTCTTTCATTGAAATAATCAATAAGCTAATGAGTCAATAAGACCCAACCAATTTAATTGACTTTTACTATTTTTTCAATCCCACTTACATTCTCTTAATCAAAATCAGCAATCCCTGAATTATTAATAAGTATGTTCAAATATTTGAACTTCTATTTAAATTACTCAACAAAAGAGATTACACTGTCTGTTTATTCTAAGTCTAAGAAAATGAAGTGTAATTTATTGTTTTTTGTTTCTTAGACTAATTCTTGAATTATGTTCTCAGTTACATCCTAATCTCTACATGCAAAAATCACTGTAGCTTTCAATTTTGCAAATTCTCTTGCTGCTTCCATTCCGATTCCAGAGGATGCTCCTGTAATTACAACAATCTAATCTTCAATATTGTCATATGTTCTTTATTCTCCAACCATTAGAGAGTGGATTATTCTACCATAATTGAAGTATAAAATAATTCCAAATAATAAAATAAATTTCTTACCCTTCATTCTGAAATTAAATAAAATATTGAATTTTACACAAACTTCAATAATTGTCTTTCTTACTTAATATTTATATTTTTAATCATTGAACATAATAATTTTATTATATATAAATTGAACCCTTTATTATTTAAAAACACATACATTACATAACATTTTTATACTTAATTATATTTATAAATGATTTTGATAATCCAAGTTCATAAAAGGTTGTAATAATATTTTATTTAAATAATTTATGTAATAATCGTAATCGGCTCACACAGCCCCCATTCCATCTGCTAGTTATACGGTGACTCTCCTTAAAAAGTAGTTGAAGTGTAATTGATTCTTTAAATTGTAGAATTGGAGGAAAGTAAAACAATTGAAGGTGTTTCTGTTGGGTTAGAGGGAAACAGCTTATACTCTTGGAATATTAGCTTTGCAGGTCCTTCAGACACTTTATATGAAGGGGGATATTTTTAGGCTTTAATAAAATTTCCAGATGACTATCCCAATTCACCGCCAACTTTTAGATTCTTGACAGAGATGTGGCATCCTAATAGTATTTTAAGTATAATATACAATAGTCTATACTGATGGGAGAGTTTGCATCTCAATCTTACACGCATAAGACGAATTCAATGACTAGGAACCTCCAGAAACAAGGTATTGTTTGAAAAATAATCTTAGATGGAGACCCATTCTTACACCTGAGGATGTTTTAATCTCTATTGTTTCAATGTTGTCTGAGCCAAATATCAATTCACCAGCAAATGTAGATGCAGGAATTCAATTCAGAGATAAACCTGATGAATATAAGAAAAAAGTGAGAAAATTGATAGATAAGGCATTAGAAAATTTGTGACTGCTTATATATAAAATATAAATAAGAAATTATAATTAATGTCATTTCCATTTTTTTAATAAGTTTTTCCTTAATTTCTATAAAAATTCTAAATTTTGTTTCTCTGATTCAAAATTTGAGTTATTAAGATCAATTGAATTGAGGAACAGATCTATATTCTGATAAAAATAGAACCCCTTTTATTCAGGACATTAAATGAAATGAAATTAAGGATTACCAAAAAAATTGCATTTCCTACAAATCAATTCACCTAATGAATTAATCAATAATGGACTCTAACAAAAATGAATTTATTATTGACTAGTCTTGTGATAACATTTGCTATTTGATGGACAGTAGGCAATTAAGTTTATAACATTAGTTTCATCCATTTAATCATTAAATTCTATTTATTTACATTAAATCCACTATCGTTGACAATTAACTTGTAAATTATCCCAAAACTCAACAATTTATTCATTGATTGTTAAAGTAGTAAGATGCAACCAAAATGAGAATAAAAAATCTTCATAATTTTTAAACTTATTCTTCTACCTATTTTAAGGACAGTAGAATCCATAATCTTAAATTTATTATGAAAATTAACACTGTTAGCACATAATATATCCTTTTGAATTGATATACAATTAGCAATTGCACTGATGAATTTATGTTATAATTTAAGAAGAGCATAAGCATTAAGGAGGACAAGAACACCTTAAAGGCAATGCAGTCTTCTTATCAACATGAGCAATTGTTTTATATGTTATATGATGAATAAGAGGAGATTTCTTTTCGATATGCTTAGTGCTGTTGGGACTTTGAGACCGCATTTGCTTTTACAATAATATATTTAGTATTGGCTTTTCAGGATTTGTAGCTTATTAAGATTGATAAAGAAAAGAAGATTCCAAAGCCATAGAATCTCTTTTAACTCCCAATTCCAAAGATTAATCATTTGATTTATTTATCAATTCATTTAATTCCTTGTAATGGTCAGAGAATTTTCTTGATTTAGATAAGAGAACTGTTGGTATTTTTTTTAATGATGCACAACCTTATTTATTTTACTTTTTATTTTCAATTTAACAAATACTTTAAAATTAGATCTCTGATAATTGGGATAATTTTTAGAGATCTTCGTTTGATTATAATTGAAAAATTGAATATCTTCTATTTATTTCAACGACAGACATAAGTTATTTTAATAAACTGTCATTCAATTTAATAAATTCCTAGATTTCCGATTCTTTTTAATCCTAGTTTTCTTTAATTATTGATTATATTAAAATAATATTATTTTTTCTGATCTTATCTGAATCAGATATTTCCTTTTAGATCAACTCCATTTCCAATAGGATCTCATCAATTGAAGTTTGGGTTGTTTTGAGAACGTTAATAAAATTGGATAATGATTATTAGAGCAGTTACAATTGTGAATCAGTCATGTTATTAGAATTGACGATAAATTATAAGTTTTCTTCAATATTTTATAATTGTTAAATTGTTAATTTAATCGAATTATGAAAATTTGGAATTTTATGTTTATTTTATCCTGTTAGATATTCTAGAACGCTTGAATTGTCTAATTTTTATCCAGAGAATATTAAGCTATCATTCAAAATAGAGTTTATCACTGAAAAATAGCTACTGTTTTTTGTTTGCTGATCTAAAAACTTAACAAAATGAATTTCCTCCTAATATAATTAATCATAATGAGTTCTGTATTCCTATTATTTTTATAACAGCTTTGATAAGTTTGAATTTTCAGTAAGATCATAATCTCTTTTAATTTTAGTTACTCTTTTTTCATTTTCCAATTTGGTTTTCCTCATTTCCTTTTATTTGCTCCTCAATTCCCTTTCAAAAATAGTAGAATTGATTGACAATGATTTCTAAATGGTTTCTTCTAGCTATTTGGATAGCTCAGACAACCTTTTTTATCTGTCCTGTATTTTCTAAACAAATGACTTCAATTCTTAATTGATAACATTAGATTGAAAATCAGAGTCAATTATGTCTTAGTGAGCATTTTTATTTTTTTAATTTTATGTGATAAACATTATATAAAAATAAATCATTTCCATTTTTTATTCAAATTAATAATCAATGATTATAAAAATTAATTACAATCATTTTTTTCTTATCTTATCAATTACTTTATATAGGGATCAATTGATAAAATGATTTCTTCCACACTTTAAAATGCATAAAACTATTTGTTTTCAGGACATTGGATTAAATGATATTAAATAAACATCTAGTACTGACATCTTTTACAAATCACATCTCCATAATTGGATAACTATAATGGAGTGTTACAAGTAGAATGTATTTGGGGCATAAGATTTTTGTGATTGCAATAACTTTGATTCGGACAATTCGATAGAAAGTTTACCATAATTTCGTCTTGTTTTAAGGTGGGCAACCTGGGTGAACCATTTTACCATTATTGTTTACAATTAATAATTAGACCAATCCAAAAATCAACAATAGATTAATTCAATGTCAAGCTTATTATATATTTCCAAAAAGAATGGATAAAATCGTGAAATAATTTGAACTTATTCTTAGTCTTATTGAATTAACAATAAAAATGATGTTCATTGATCTAAAAGGAAATTTGACAAACCTAACACAAGATGATTCCTTTTTAATTGATATACAATTAATTATTACAAGTATGCATTTATTCTTAGATATATTATTAGCATTGACACTCAGGAGGACAAGAGCATTTTAATGGCAAGGCTGTTTATTTTTCTGGTAAAATTTAATTTCTAAAATTGGGGGATTGAGAAGTTTATTTAAAAATAGTAGAAATGTTGTTCTCATCTGTTTTGATTGATCCTAGTTTTTCAACTTAAGGTTTTCTTTTCAAGTATATAGATTTCTGAATGTTATATGTAGTAGGTTCAGTTTGTACTTTTTCGTTTAAAATCTTTTTGTAGGGATTCAAAATATTAATCTTTTTAATAGAAATATTAGAAGAGGTTTTTATATCAGGGGTTAAAGATAATGCTTCCAATTATTATCTAAATTATTCAATGCTATTATTTAATGATTGTATTAATGAATTTGATAATGAAATCAATCTAAATATGTTTTCTTCATAATCTTTCCTTTAAGTATTTCCTTATAACATAATTTAAGAATAAGATTTATAACTTTTGTCCATGTCGCTTTTTTATTATTCTAATGAGCTAATTTCTGCACATTTCCTTTCTTCATCTTTAGTGACAGTGTTTTAGATGTTTATCCTCAAATTTTTAAGATTTCTTTGATTAGTAAGGAAGTCTTATTGTAGATCAAATAATTCTTATACACAATCGTGATTAAATTGTTATAGATATCTGATTTGTTATTTGAGGGAAGTGAGTTTTTATGATAAAATTAATTAGATTTATGAATTTTCAGATTGACTATTTAAGATTTATTGATCTGCGTTCTCTATTTTGAAAATAAGTGTATTAACATAGGAATTAAGGTGAGACATTTTTGAGTGCTATTTAGTTTGAATATTAGGAGATTTCAAAGATAGAAAGGTTTATTAATTTATACATTCATTATCTTTGGCCAATTCAAAATCGGATAATGATTAATGAACACTTTGCAAAATTAGTGTGTAATCAGCAGCAATTGCATCTCCGACAATGAATTCTTCCAATCTGCTTTTTTCTTATGATATTTTTTCGTAATATTTTTGAAAACGTATGAATACATTTACTATTTTGTTTTTCAGTTCCATTTCTAAGTTGCTGTATTCTTCATCTTGTTTGGCCTTTTGTTCCTCAGACTTCTACTTTAGCTCCTACAACTCAATTCTCTTTCTAATGATATCATCCTCGTATTTTTAATAACATATTCTTATGATTTTTTGGACCAGTTCATTTTATGATGATCTTGTGTCATTATATGATTTTTGTTTATCCTGTATATTGGAGACAAGTTTCTTCAGATCTTCTTGATAAAGTTCTTTTTAAAAATCCAAATCTAATATCTATCTAGTATTTGGTGATTATTGCATTAAAAGTAATTTAAAAATAAATTGTTATGAATTTATTCAATGAGAAATCACTGGAGTGATTGTATTAGAGTCTAATAAAATATAATAATTAATAGTCAAATAATTTAGTTTGTATTTGGATTGAGCAAGACCGATAATCATAAGGTTGTCATATTTAATTGAACAGCAATTGAATTTTACATTAATATTAATAATTTATATATCTTTAACATCGGAAATAAATGTCAACGAAATTAAGAGATTTGATTAGGAATATTAGAGCATGTAAAACAGCGGCAGAAGAGAGAGCATTAATAAAGAAGGAACAAGCATTGATAAGGGAATCCTTTATAGCAAATGAATCAGAGTACAGACCCAGGAATGTGGCGAAGTTGCTATTCATCTCCATGTTGGGTTATGAGACTGACTTCGCTTAGATGGAGTGTTTGCATTTGATAACAGCCAATACTTATAATGAGAAGAGAATAGGTTATTTGGCTTTGACTCAATTATTTAATGAGAAAAGTGAAGTCTTAATGATGGCCACAAATCGAATAAGAATAGATTTAAATAATCCATCAAATTATATAGTGTCATTGGCATTGATGGCCCTGAGCGAAGTATGCACAAGTGAGATGTGTAGATCATTGTCAGGAGAGGTATTGAAATTATTGCAGAATGGCACAGCCTATATAAAAAAAAAGGCAGCTTTAGCAAGTACTAGAATAGTGACACGTGTCCCAGAAAAAATTGATGAGTTTTCATAAAAAGTTGAACTCTTATTAGATGATAGACACCATGGAGTATTGGTAGCCTCATTGCAATTGGCATAACATATATTATAAATACAACCTGATCAAAAACAAAGATTTTAAAAATTTGTATAACCAATGGTTAGAATATTCAAATCCATTTATTCAACCTATTCTGCAGAATATGATATCGGTGGAGTATCAGATCCATTTTTATAAATTGAGATTCTCAAATATTTTAGAATCATGTGTTAAGGAAATGTTCAATTATCAGGAGAAGTCTCAGATATCCTTACTCCAGTTGCAGCCAACACAAACAATAATAAGAATTCAGGAAATGCTGTTTTGTATGAATGTGTAAAGACTATTTTTGCAATTGAATCCTCAAATACACTTAAAACTTTGGGTATCAATATTTTGGGTAAGTTTTTGTAGAATAAGGATGCAAACAGTAAATATATCTCACTATTTATGTTGTAGAAAGTATTGAAACACGATCTCTAGGCTGTTCAAAAACATAAATAAACTATTTTGGAATGTTTGAAGGAAAATGATAATTCAATCAAAACCTTAGCATTGGATCTATTGTATGTGATTACTAATGAAACTAATGTGAAAGGCATTGTCAAAGAATTATTAAATGTTTTACTTAGTCTAACCGAAGAGGACGCTGATTTTACTAAAGAATTAACTAATAAAATATGTCAAATTGTTGAAAAATATGCTCCTTCAAGAAGATGGTATATTGATACATTTATTAAAATCTTGATTTTGGCTGGAAATTACGTTGAAGAGGAGTCAAGTTCATCTTTGATCCATCTAATTATAGGTACACCTGAATTGTAGAGTTATGCTATTCATAAATTGTTTTTCTCCTTATAAGAAAATCTAAATCAAGAGGGATTAGCAAGAACCACTGCATATTGTATAGGAGACTTCGGTCATCTGTTATTGAAAGGAGATGCAACAGCTATTGATAACACTCCCATTTAAATAACTGAAGAAGAAATTCTAGATCTACTCACTAAATTGTTGGAGAAACCAAATCAAAAGAATGTTATTAAAGAATATGTGTTATCTGCTTTGATTAAATTGTATCCTAAGATAAACAAGTTTTAACCTTAAATAGCAAAATTAATATAATCTTAAATCAATTCAACATCCATTGAAGTCTCTAAAAGAGCTTAAGAATATTATGGCTTATTAGATGTTCAATGGGATCAACACAGGGCTGGTATCTGCGAATAAATACCACCTAGTGATACCCATAAAGCTATCTATGAAAATAAACCTATAGGTGATGTTGAATATGATGAATATCCACCTGCTAAAACAGAACTAGAATAAGCTAAACCTGCTACTAATAATAATGACTCTACAAAATTATATGGTTTTGATATTGATAATCTTATAGGAAATCAAGATTAAGCTTAATAGAAGCCACAATAATAGCCATAACTTACAACTTAATTGCCTGGTAATTTATTTGATCCATTTGACATTACACTTAACCTATCTGGAACTCAACCATAAACATAACCTGTTTAATAAAATTATCTTCAATTTCCTGCATAAGGTGAATTTACATATAGTAATCCTTAATCATTCTCATAATAATAATAATAATAATAATAATAATAATAATAATAATAATAACAATAACCATAACCTATAAATCCATTATAAAATTTATATAATTAAAATAACAACCCATATTAATAGTAACAATTCCCCTTCTAATAATAATAATAATAATAATAATAATAACAATAACAATTCTAACAATAATAACCATAACCATTAGTTAATTTACCTGGTGATATTTTTGAACTAAATCTCTAACCACCACAACAAAAGCCAATACCATAAACCATACAACCATAAAATTAATAATTTATCTAACCACCAACATAACAATAAATTATATAACCACAATTGGCTGAATAAAAGTCCTTAACACAACAAGCCATAGCTTTTGATGACGGTGCTTTACAAATAGAATTTAGAGCAGTTAAAGTAATGAGATTGTATTTATGTTTTAGGAAACTCCAGATCAAACTAACATAACAGCCTATTTCAACAATAAAACAGCCAGTCCAATCACAGAATTACAACTCTCCTTTGCAGTATTAAAATATATGAAATTATAACTAACTCAGCCAACTTCTTCAACAATTAATGGCAATAGCACTGGATTAGTGATATCGGTAATTGAGCATATTTATGTTAGACTCTAAGAATCACAAACTCAAATCAAGGACAGAAGGGAATTGTAATGAAAATCAAGGTTTCTTACAAGATCAATGGTTTAATCATAGACAAGGAAGTCACATTTAATAAATTCCCCCAAGATTATTGAAATATAATGAAATATCAATATCAATTATTGTCTGTTTATTAAGGAATGAGATTAATCATTTTTAATATATTTTAAAACATATGTTATTTAGACAGAAGGAAAGAGTACCAGATGTTGGCAAAGACAATTTCAGGGAGTTTATGAGAAGAGAGGATGATTCCTGTGCAAATACATAGAATATTCTGCCGAATTTCATGAACAGCACAATTCAAGCTTAGACAAAGCAATCGTAAATATTGTGAAACTTATCAAGTCAAACACCGTCAGCATTGGATGGATCTATTAAGATGCTAGGAAACACTTGGGATGCATAACATCTAGGCAAGTTCTTGCAACATAGTCAATTTGCTTAACTAGGTGCTCGAACTATGAAATCAGGAGATACGCCATAAAACATGACTCTTAAAAATTAGAGCTTTTATTTCAGAAGTCAATAGCCTAGATTGATCGAAGATAACATAGATTATTTGCATTAACATCCCATCAATCATATGATAACTTAGCATCCACTTCAATCGACTAGTTAATCATTCTTAAAAACAAAACTATTGTAGATCCCAGAAAAACATTTTGATGAAGTCAAAATTAATTATTAAACTTAAGCGGAACTCAAGAAACCTGGAGAATATCGTAAGGATTTGTAAGAAGCTAAATAAAATTAAGTCAAATACCATTAATGGAGATCTCAATTTTAGGATGTCAATAAAGCCTATAAGAAAGCTAAATTAGGTTTCAAATCAGGGTTGTTTGCCTTAGATAATCCAACAAATGAATAAACCGAATTGTATCGAGAAGAATATGATAAACTCAAGAAATAGGAGGAGCACAAGACTACTCAACATTTCAAGCGATTTAAGTGTAAAATAGTCATATTACAAATTTAGCACTTGAAAGATTTAATTGCAGCAATCCATCAATTGAATTCGACAATGTTAAACATGTTCAAAATAGGCCCAATCCAGAGGATCCTATATTGCATTAAGGATAGTTCCCTGTTAAGAATTTCGAGATGCATAATGATTGGATGAAGAAAAGAGCAGCAAATTCAAATGTAAATACTCAGAATAGGATTTTTGGAAAGACAGATAATGATCGAAAAGTCAATTCATATAGAGCTTAATACTTGAAGGATTAAGAAATGAGAGGCAGAGAATACAATGCCATTACATTAGTGAAGGAATGATAAAATTTTAATTTATTTTAAATGTTAACAGATTGTGATTTTTATAGCAAACAAAGTATAACTGAATTATAAGCTTAATTGGCTCATAAGTAAAAGAAGATTCAGATCTTAAAATAAGAAAAGAATTCTATGCTGAACAGAATAGATGAATTGAATTAAAAAGTTCATGATTAGGCAGAAGAATTCAAAAAGTATAGATTGAAATTCAGAGGTCTAGAAAAGTAACACTCTCATGTATATACAAATTCTCATTATCTTAGTTAAAGAATCAGAATGAAAATTTAAAGAAAGACTAAAGTATGAACAATGAAACTATAACCTTGTTTTAAAAAGGATTCAAAAGAGATGAATTCAAAAAGCATGAAAGAACAGTAGCTTAGTTGCAAAATGATATTATTAAATTGTCTAATGCTTTGGAAGAGCATAAAATAGTTAGAGAATCCAATTGCGAAGAAATTACAAGATAATTAATTTATATCTAAGAATTGGAAAGCCAACTAAATACATATAAATCATTGAATGAAGATGATTAGTTAAAATACAATAATCAATAACTTTATTAAACTATTGAAGATCTTAATTATTAATTGTAGTCATCAATTTAATAGAAAGATGAAGATAATTAACATTAATTATAAGAATTATAATAATTAGCTGATATTGCTAAATTAGAAAACAAAGAACTCACATTAAAGATAGCGCAACAAGAAAAGTTGTATTAGATGCAAATATAAAAAATAATTAAGCTTTGTGAATCAGTATATGATGAATTGTCTAATAAAATATCCAACAAATAAGAAGTTAATGATATCTTATAAAAATTGGTTATGTCCAAAAAAGACTTTGATTTGGATCTTCTTAAGTAATCCTATTTATATAAATTATAGAATTGAATCTGAAATCAATAGCTAAACTTGTGAAGAATTATAGAATAAAGTTGAGAATTTATCGAGTGAAAATTAAAATATTAAATAAAAATTTTAAGCAACTTCTACAAATAAAGAAGCTCTATAAATGAGAGAAAAAGATTTAGTTCATCAAATTGATAAATTGCAATAATAAGTTGAACGATAAAAAGAATTGAACTAGATGAGATAAAAGACAATGTCAGAATAAATATCAGCTTTATAGAGAACTAATAAGCAATTAAACTAGGATTTGGATAAAATAACTAAAGAAGTTCAAGATTTGAGGGAAGAAAAGGTTATCTTACAGTAGACAATACAAAGATAAGAGAAAAAAATACAAACACTAAGTTTATCTAAATATAAATGATAATTGTTTCTTTAATTAAATTTGATTATAATTAACAGCAAAATGCTAATTTTTATATCTACAATCCCATTTATTAGCTCAATTTATAATACATAATTTAGGTTCCATTTTATCGAAATAAAATATTAATATTTTACATTTTTTATTGTTTCTAGAAATTCTTGCATTCCTTTTTTTTGAAGAATTCTTTAATCTAATTAATCGAAACATTTAGCCGATTGATTAAGTAATAGAAATTTAGAAAAAAATAAAGGCTAAATAGTAAAGTATATTTTATTTATAATATTTGGTAATATTACTATATATGAATATCATGATATATCATTACTGAAAAATGATGATATTTTCTATTTTTTAATTTATATTTTGATAAATTAATTGGGTTTATTAAATAGAATACTATTTATTAAAATTAAAAATAATTAATTTATATAAGGTTTAAAAATAAAATAAGAAAATTAATTTTTCTTAATTCTGGAAAATTCTGTTTTCGAGAATTAATAAATTCCAGAAAATTACAAGTTAGGTTCTTTAAAGCAGGCAATTGAGATGAATGATTTATTTAATTAATAAAAAACAAGTAAGCTTTTAAAAACAATGTCAAAGTCAAACGAAACAGCAATTGGAATAGATTTAGGAACAACATATTCTTGTGTTGGTGTATTTATCAATGATAAAGTGGAAATCATAGCAAATGATCAAGGAAACAGAACAACTCCTTCATATGTAGCCTTTACAGAGAATGAAAGATTGATTGGTGATGCTGCAAAGAATTAAGTAGCTAGAAATCCTCAAAATACAGTATTTGATGCAAAGAGACTTATTGGAAGAAAGTTCAATGATCCAACAGTTTAGAAGGATATTAAATTATGGCCATTTAAGGTAGAAGCTGGTGCAGATGATAAACCATTGATAGTTGTTAAGTTCAAGGGAGAAACTAAGAAATTCCATCCAGAAGAAATTTCCTCAATGGTTCTAACAAAAATGAAGGAGATTGCAGAAGCATATCTTGGAAAATCAGTTAAGAATGCAGTTATTACAGTACCAGCATATTTCAATGACTCATAAAGATAAGCTACTAAAGACGCTGGTTTAATTTGCGGATTAAATGTGTTGAGAATAATCAATGAGCCAACAGCAGCCTCAATAGCTTATGGATTAGATTAGAAGATAAAGGGAGAGAAGAATGTTTTAATATTTGATCTTGGAGGTGGTACTTTTGATGTCAGTTTACTCACTATTGATGAGGGAATTTTCGAAGTTAAGGCTACTTCTGGTGATACTCATTTAGGAGGAGAAGATTTCGATAATCGTTTGGTTGAGTATTGCTGTGCAGAATTCTAAAAGAAAAAGGGAATAGATATGAGAACAAATGCCAGAGCTTTGAGAAGATTGAGAACCTAATGTGAAAGAGCTAAGAGAATTTTATCATCTGCCAACTAAACTACTATTGAATTAGATGCTTTGGCTGAAAATGAAGATTTCAATTGCTCAATCACAAGAGCTAAATTTGAAGAATTATGTTTGGATTAATTCAAGAAATGCATTCCACCAGTTGAATAGGTGCTCAAAGATAGTGGAATGTCAAAGAGTCAAATCCATGAGGTAGTTCTGGTTGGAGGATCAACTAGAATTCCCAAGGTCTAAGAATTATTGAAGGACTACTTTAATGGCAAAGAGTTGAATAAGTCAATTAATCCAGATGAAGCAGTTGCATATGGAGCAGCAGTATAAGCAGCAATCTTAACTGGAACTGGATCACAAAAATGTGAAAACTTGGTATTATTGGATGTCACTCCATTATCTTTGGGTATTGAAACTGCTGGAGGTGTTATGAGTGTATTGATTCCAAGAAATACTACAATTCCAACTAAGAAGAGTCAAGTATTTACCACTTATGCTGATAATCAACCAGGAGTCTTGATTTAAGTCTTTGAAGGTGAAAGATAAATGACCAAAGATTGCCATAAATTAGGACAATTCTAATTAGATGGAATTGCTCCTGCTCCTAGAGGTGTTCCTTAAATTGAAGTCACTTTTGATATTGATGAAAATGGTATTATGAACATTCTGGCTGAAGACAAAGCATCTAAGAAAAACAACAAGATCACCATTACTAATGATAAGGGAAGACTCTCCAAATAGGATATTGACAGATTAGTTAATGAGGCTGAAAAGTATAAGGCTGATGATGAAAAAATCAGATTGAGAATTGAAGCTAAAAATAACTTAGAGTCAACTGCTTATCATATGAAGAATACCATGAATGAGGAATAATTTAAGGATAAATTCACTTCTGATGAAAAGAGATAGTTATCTGACTTAGTTGAACAAACTCAAAAATGGTTGGACTCACATTAGAATGAAGAAGCTGATGTTTACAAAGACAAATTAAAAGAACTCGAATCTAAATTCCATCCAATCATGCAAAGAGTATATGCCTAGACTGGAGCTGGAGCTGGAGCATCTATGCCTAATATGAATAGAGGACCTGGATCAGAATTCAAACCAACAGTAGACCAAGTCGATTGAAATTTATATTTATTATATATATATAATGTTTAATAATTATTATTAATTAAATTTGCTTAATATCAAATTGATAAAATTAATTGATTCGAAAGAGAATTCGTATTTTAGATTGATTCCATTGAAAATTTGGGTTCACATTTAAGCATTATTGATATATTAGAATAATTGTTTAAGTAAACATTTTATAAATATTTAATTAATGATAATTTATATATTTAATGTTATAATATGATACAGACTTCGGCAAAATATTTTACTGTATCTATACACTTCATAAAAGCCAATTGATTAGCATAGATCGAAAGTCTAAATTAAAGGGTTTTATAGTTAATTCACAATAGATATGCTTATTACATTTGATGAAAAAATGACTGCCTTATTAACTAGTCTGCCCAAATTAAATGAACACTAAGTTTAAGAACATCTCCTCATGATGGCTGATTCTCAATACGATTCTAACCCAAATATTGATTTCGAATTATCAGAAGAAAACTATTCAATCAGGTCTTCTCATACATTACAGTAAACTAGAGCTGCTAAACCAAAAAAAATAATAATCGAAAAAAGCACTTATAAATTAGTTAATAAATCATAATTTCAATATACTGCAAGATCTTCTAAAAGAACAGCCACCTAAAAACTCACATGAATATTGTTCAATTCATTTAAATATGTATTAATAGAACACATTTCGTATACTACTTGTTCCGTAATACTATCTTTACTATTTTCTTACCCTTATCGACTTTATATCTAAATTTAGGTTAATAGGCACTTTTTTAGTTAACACTATACTATCAATAACTAGATTCCATTTTATATACTTAAGTGCATCTACTGTTTGTTATTTGTAAAACTGTCATTAATTTAGAATCAACCCCATACATATTCAAGTTTAAATTCTTATACAGACATTTAATTAAGAACATTTTTACTTTATTAAATTCTTTATATAGTGTAATTAATTGTCAGGCTATTTATGTATTTAATTCTTGTTTTGCTCTTTCGAATACATATTTAAGAACTATCATGTCGATGTTTTGAACTGTTTTGACAACTTTTTGTATGAATCTTCAATCAAGTATATTATCCTATTTGATCCAGTTATTTAATTTTTGAGTTCCGAATTGATTTATTTTTCGATCTTATATGAAATATTTATAATACTTATTCCATAAATAATGATTTTATAATAAAATTAATTCTGTAGTAGAGATATAAATTTTTATATTATGTTAGATTAAATCGATGAATCCATTGATATGTCAATTAAGATGAAATCTCTTAAACCCCCAAGTATAATATGCCCATATTCAGATCGCAGTCCCGAATAGAAGGTTAGCTTGCTCAAGTTAAGGAAAAATTCGAAAAGTTTTGGAGATTGCACCACTGAAAAATTAATTACGATATATTGGTATGATCAAGAACATGACTCCACCTATGAATTTTCTTAAGGCTTCAGCGAAATCTTGTGTCTGGGTGACATATGCAATTGGGTAATTTTGAAGTTAAAAGAAATGAATTTGCCGAAGATTGATGTTGAACAAACTAAATTGTATTTGCCAAAAAAGAAACAAGGTAAACCAAATGAAGATTTTCCATGTACTTATTTAAGCTATCCATAGCATTCAGAAATGAACTTCAACTAAAAGATTGTGATCAAACTAAATTTTCTATTAAGGTCTCTTATATATTGCGATAAGTCACTCCTCCTTAGAGAATCGAACCTCGTTCATCGTACAGCAACTCATTAAATAAAGAAAAACGTATCCCCATCACTGAATAAAAAAAAGTTAAAAAAACAACTAATTTCTTCTGTTTTTGCAACAGTGTGAATGAATGAACTCATATTTTTATAACAAATTATAAAGCTGATTAGTATCAATTGCTTAAGAGTTCTTAACATTTGGAAACCGCCGTCACTAAGAACATCAATCAAATTTAATTCCGAATATAATATAAAATTTATTTAATTATAATCCAAAATATTAGATAAAAATAAGTGAATTAAATTCCAAAGCTTTTCGTCACTTAGTAATCATATATTTTTGAGAATCTTAACATATCCTACCTTTGTCGATTAAGTAAATTAACCATGCGTATGATCAATAAGATTATTTAAATTCATTCAACTTTTAAACTAATTAAATAATACTAATTAGTACCTAATTATATTATTTTACAAATTTTTACATCTATTTTTCTCGTTTAATAGATCAGTAACTTGAATTTCCTGATAATATATAATGTCTAGTCACTTACTATTGAAATCAATGATTTAGGAAGCTACCTAAATAATACTTAATAAATTTAGAGTGAAAATTTAAAATGGAGAAGGTTGAATGAAATTTTATTTATAATTTAAATTTATTTATATATATATTCAGGGAATTAATTACCTATTTTATAAATATATTTTAAATCCTTAATTATAGAAATAAATAAAATATAAGTCCTTATGTAAACTTGTTATATAAAATTACATATGTTTAAATGACGAAGTTTGGTGAAATTTATTTAATCTTAAATATGTTATAAATTAAATTGTCATTTTTATGCAATAACTAATAAACAATCTTACATTAATGGTTCATTTAACACTGTCAATTTATGTTGAATTTTCTCATCCAATCTTATTAACAATTATTTATATAAATCTTGATCTTTTTAAAGGAATTCAATTATACCAGGGTTCTAACCTTCTATTATTTACTCAGCTTTAAATCTATTGGCTGCAGTGTTCTAATACCATAACACTAAGAATTAATTTGAATAATAATACATATATTCTAAAATCCTAAGCTCTCTAGTAATTATTTTAGTTCAGCCCTATCTGATCCTAACTGGAAAGAATCATGACTCTTTGGGAACACATATCCAATTTCAGTAGCAGTTGCTCTGAGAAGTGTATAATTATCAGCTATTTCACGTCTACCCCAAACAGAGAATCCAATCTTGCCTCCAGGTTTCAAAATTCTGTATGCTTCTTTCAATGCTTAGATTGGATTTAAAACCAAGTGAAAAATAAATCCACCATAATATATATCGAAATAATCAGAAGAATATTAAGATAAATCCTCTGCATTGGCTACTTCCGCCCTCCAAGAAATTTATTTAAACAGATTTTCTGAATCTTACTCCTATTATCCATTTGGAAATGTTAAAAAATTGAGTACTCTTTGTTTGGAAGATTCAACCATTTTTTCAGATAAGTCTGTTGAAACGAACTCACAATTTAATTGCTTATCCAAGAGTATCGTAGGAATTGTCAATCCAGGTCCACATCCTGATTCAAATATTCGTGAAGCATTTGAGACATCAAGCATGTTAATTAGAGTTATACCAATACTGGCTTAGTTTCCTTGTATTTTTGAGTAGTTGTCAACATAATTGCTCCAGTAGGTCTTTAATTAATCTTAGAACTGGATGTTCATTGAATGGGAATAATAAATTATTGAATATTAATATCATATTTTCATCCAAAAAGCTTCTATCCGATAATAGAGAATATCTATGTAGAAATTTGTTTAAGAACAAAAGCTGCAAATTCATCAAATTGCTATTAATAAGTTGAAATATAATACTTCTTTTGTTGTCGAAAACTATTTAGGAGATCTATATGGTTCTAATTGAATAGTAACATCTTTAAATCTCTTAATTTTAGAAGGATGCTTGAATGTGGCTACCAACTTAAGTTCGCTCACTTGTAATGAATTAAAATAATCAGGTATTTATTTAGATATATTTTCCATTGCCGCTATTGGATTATAAGTTTATATTTACTTTTCATTTATTCCTTCTTTTCAGTGCTCAATCTATTATTCCTTTAGGTAGATTCGTCCCCAAAGAAGTAATTATAGAATTGATCATATAATTCATCTGTCAAAATAATTGTTAATGGATTCATCTTTATGTCGTGTTGATCAATAACAAACCATTTTTATTAGTAAATCTAGAGAGGATAAAACTTTTTGATCATTCTAAAGAAGGGTTGCTGTTTAGATTCTTTGATCTACTAGCTTAATGCCGTTCTATAGTCAGGATCTTATTCTATCTTATTAATTGCATCTAAATCCTAGAGAAGAATATCTATTTTATGACTATCATTTTCAAATAGAGTTTCAATGATTCTAATTTATCTAATATTGAATAGAATAAAACTAACTTCTTATTCATCCAATAATGATAGACTTGTTTCTTTAATGGCATAGTCTAATTTTGATTTTTCATTCCCGTAATGTTCAAGATTTTCTGATATTTTCTTCTTAATCAATTGATCAATTTATTTTATACCATATTAATTTAATTCCTTTAATTTATTTCTATAGAATCTCTCCTTGTTTTCAAATTCATTTTTTGTGGTAACTGCCATTTCCAAGAATGTTAACATATCTAAGAATTGATCCAATTAATATTTTTTCATTGTAGCATTCAATTACCCAACTTTTACTTACACAATTGGTCTCCTTAATTCTTGATTCCAATAATTAGGATTGTGTTTATCACAATTTTATGAGGATATCTCAGTGAAATCTCTAACATTCTCTCTTCGCTGATAACTTTATATCTAAAAGAGAGCATAATCACATTTAATAATCTTTTCATAATCTTGACTAGTAAATCTTACAGTCTACTTGGCATCCAAATGTTTTTGTAATACTTAGCAATCTAAACCATTGAATATCAATTTTGTAACCAGTTTTTTATCAATTTCTTGGCTATCAAATGGTAGAATATACTCTGACATTATAATCTAGCAATCTTTGGGTGATGTTAAGATCATTTAACAATTAGCATAATGATATTAGAAATTGAATTAAGGATTGACCAAAGAGACCATTAATTTTAATTCTTCTCTACAATAAGATTTAGGTTTTGTTTATTCCATCTGCGCATCGAAATTTTATTTGGTCTATTTATTCTAAGGAATTTCAAGGCTTTCAAAGACATTGCTCCAAATTTCTTATAAGTAAAATGTAAATAGTAATTGACTATCAAGGGCAGAAATGAAATTCTTTATTATTTTCTATGTCATTACAGCATTAGCATTATTCTCCTCATCTTCAACTTACAAAGTTATTTTTTGGTTCTATTTATACTCTAATTATTAAGCCTTCAAGAATATGTCAAAAGCATTGAATTCATTTTTTTGCTATTGTTTAATTTGAATACCTGATGTTCTACCTCTAACTTTAAGATCTTCTAGTGAATCATCAAAATAGGATTGATCAGTTTATAAATTAAATAAATGATACTAAGGAGTAAGCGTAGTATTAATAATGAAAGGTTACTTAAGGAATTTCTTCAATTTTTTCAATTCATGAAAAGTCATGTTTTGGAGATTCTGTGATTAATTTAATTCACTCTAATAATAATCTACTGGTTGAATATCAAAGAAATTAACAAATTACTCTTGTTGACTTAAAGGTTCTGGTTATTCCATCTCTAACATCTGTTTCCCATCAAACATTGATGATACCAACTAATCACATTTAGCAGCTATAGATTGCACTTCGAATTTCCACCCATTTTCTTTATGATTAGGCTCTAATTGTACATTCACTTTTAATGATTAAAATAGTGTCTAAAACCCAATGAATGGAACATCCTTGTGCTTCAGGAAGGTCTCACTATGTGATACTGGTTTTTCTGAGTTGGTAAAGAACATTCTGAATTTATTTGAGTACACTCTTATGTTGATCTTCTTTGTATGTTAAAATAAGGATTATTTAATCATGAGTGATTCCATCAATTTAATGTATGTGTAATTAACCAATGTTTTGTAGTCTGCATATGTATTCCATTCCATCTCATACACCTTATTGTCCATCACTTATGGGAATTTATTAATCTTGACTTAAAACATTCTCAAGACATCATGTCTCAATATTGGTCTATTCTTCAACCATCTCATAAATTAGTTTTAATAATGAATAAAGAAACAATAATTCTATTGATCTCTAAAATTGGAGTCTTTGTAATGTTCATATTAAATGCAATCAAATTTAATTTCAATTTGTAATTATTGACTGATGAAATCAGTTAAGCTATTATTTATTTAATTGAAGTATGGTTTTCTCATGTAAAAATAATGATCGTATTAATCTTTCAGTGCAAACCAATTGAATTCGGTTACCATCTAGATTCTCGGAATGTATAGAACTTTTTAGATTTTTGGAATTCTACTCAATTTCAATTTGTCTGCCTATCCTTTGACTGTCCAATTTAAAAACTCAATGTTTATTAATTTAGCTGAAAACTTAATACAATTAATTGAATAAGGCAATATATCGGTCGTGATTTAAAAAATTAGATGTTCTAATTGAAAGTGTAATTTGCCATGGAATTTCAATCTAAAGCTATCCCAAAAGGATAATTACTCTTTTATTATAATTTTATTTTATTATTAATTCACACTTTAACCCATAATTTAATTAATTCTATTAGAGATTTCCCTAAAAGCAAACACTAAATTTAATCCTGCTGTTATTTGTAATTGCTTGATTTCTAAACCTAAATCATAGAAAATCCTAAACCCTATCTAAATATTCTATGTATTCAATCTTGAAAGACATAGAAAAGTATGCAATTTCATACCTCTCAAATCAAGTAAAGAAAGCTTATAATCTCTAATAGATATTTTTATTTATTCTAATTGGATTTCGCAATTGGCCAACTCAAAATATTCAAAGAATGACTCATCTAACTAAGTAGGATGAGAATCTAATTTTGTTATCTTATCAAGTACTTGATTGACTGTTAAGTTTAATTTCTTTAATTTTAGATTGAGATTCTATAATTTCATATGCAATAAAGGATATGATTGTTATGTTTTTAAACCTTCCAATACTCTGCTTTCATTTTGCCTACTTTTAACAGTTTCGAACTTTTCTTAAAATCTCCTATATCTACATAATGCATCATTTAATTTGGTATCCTGAACAAAAACTTCGAAATTACAAATACTAAGATTTGTATTTTTACCAAATATTGATCTAATTTTTGTTGTTGTTTCTTAATCACTTGATATGTTCTTGAGTACACCATCATGAGAAGATCTTCTTTTCTTTAATTAGGAAGTATCAATATCTTCCTGATTAATATCAAATATCTATCTTCTTGATACAATGGAATTCATTTATTTAATACCTGATACAAATACATTAATGTCTCTAACATCTTCTTCAAAATTGAATATCGCAGACTTAATATTGATTTACATTAATTCAGCACTATTTTTAGTTTAGATTTAATCTATTGAAAACAAGCATGAATTTTAAAATTTAATTGAGAGTTGATTTAAATCAATATTATTAGGATCTTTTGTATTGATTTCTAATAGTTCAATCTCTGCCAAGAAAGGAGAAGCCAAGTATTTGAGCTTGACTTCTTTGCAGTTTATAATTTTCTCTTTGATTATTGGTTTAATGGCTTTAGATTTTTTCTTTTCTAAAGGTGTCAATTTGAAAGATGTAAATTTTGATAATTATTATCGAAATACTTTTTATAATTAATAAATCCTTAGCATCTTTTCTATGTTTATCTGTTCTACTAATAATTAAAATGTATTAAATGTGTAATTGACTACCTTAGGGTTCGTTTGCATTTTTAAATCTTTGATTAAACCATCAGTCTAACTAATATTGCTAGTAATTTCGCAATTGTCAAATTAAGTTCTAGATTCATTCAGATCTCCTTCGTTTGAAATATAATGAAATTTATTAATAGTGATTGAATTAATAATTGCACCATCATAGATTAAATTAATTTAAAATTTATTAGTAACTAAAAAATCATATGAATTGCTTAATGCACTGTTGAGATCAATATTCAAGAATTCACAACACATCTACTTAGCAATCCGATTATATTTTTTAAAGTATTTGCTTTATTCATAATTTTCAACAAATGCAACTCGAAATTCTGATGCTAATTCAGTTTAAATAAGTGTGAAAAACTTAATCAATTATGGAGACAAATTTATGATTAGATCTCCATATCTGATAAAATGTTTTGTATTATCATTGGAATGAACAGTGATGCTGGATATAGTGTCAATGTTCCATGTTATATCTTAAAATCTAACATCTTCCTGCAGAGTATTCACAGTAAACTATTTGCATACTATCATTCCTTTCTTAGTTTGATCTGTCTCAACTATATCATATAATCCATGATACTTCAAATTTTGCCATTCAAACACAAGCTTATTTTGAGTGTATTTATAAAACTTTTGAGTTAAGATATTAAAAGAATGTTTCTTATCAGCATCACTATCATTGAAGATACTAAATTCTATTCTAAATATAGCAAAATTAAGTTTAACTTCTCTTGGTTTCCCCAAAAACTTAAATCCTTTCTCATTAAAATGTCTCTTAAGAATTTTATTAATATCAGGTCTAGCCCAAAATTCATTTGCCAACACATCCATTGTGTAGAAATATTCACTTTTACAACACCATCGTACCTCCTAAATGTCAATATCTATTGAGCTATGTTCTTCCAATAGATCTATTATCAATCCAGGTTTAGTGATTGCATTTAAATTAATAACATTGATAGTCAAGCATTATTCCATCTTAGCGCCTTCACTAGTGAGTTTCCATTGTAAATGTCCATTCTAATTCAAATGCGATTGTACTGATGTTTAGCCTAACTTTACAACCATTTCTGGTAGATCCTTTTCCTTGGAATTGAGTTTCGGCAAAGTGACATTGATTACATTGAAATGAATATTTAGGCGAGAAAGCGTTAGAAAAAGACAATTGATGGCTGAGGATTCCAATAATAAGGTAAAGAATGGTATTTGTTTATTTTTGCGATGCAGTATTTTTTCTTGAGAATAAGGCAGGAATTTGGATTTCAGTCTTTCCATATACAACTACTCCTCAAATTAAAAGCCTATTTTGATTGCTTAGTTCGGAATGAACCTTATATTCAAATCGATGATGTTCACATTGAATCTCCATTAATTTGGAACTCTTGCTATCTGTATCCGCGCTATGTTTACAGTAACTATTATGTGCTTTTTGTATTAATATCTTAATTCCATATTGTAAAGGGAAAATGGGACATATGAATACTGGAGAGCAAGGACTTTCTTATGCAACCGTACCAACCACTTTATCCACACAGGGCAAAAAAGAAATGTTATAATAAAAGCATTGATTATGAGAATCAATGTATTAAGCATTTTTGTATTTTTATTTATAAATCTCAACCTTCATTTTTATTTTAAAATTAATCAGAAATTCCAAAAGAAAGCGAATGATTAAGTATCTCTTTTCTCTATTTTTGTCTTAGTCTGTATTGTCGACTATGTCCACCTTTTCTTAAATAAGCTAATTTCACTATTAATAAGATATATTATAATAAGATCAATTTCAGATGTAAATCCTTTGTCCAAATCCATCAGTTTAAAGGGAGAATACATATTTTCAAAATTGGACAGAACAAAGAGAGACCAAAATCCTATCAGTACAGTATCAAATTTTGGTACAATCACAAGTAAAATGTTCTTGCTTTACATCTAATTACTATATATTGCAACATTCTTATATTCTAGTCATTGATTTCAGATTCGACATACACGATAAAATAGAGTTTAAGCAGAGAATTAATATATCTTTTTATTGTTATTCATCTCAAGTATTTTCACTTTTTATATAGTCTGCCAAATGAATAATTACTGGCTTCTCTATTTTGAATTTGTTCCTATTATGATTTTTCTCTATTTTATAACATTAGATTCTTATTGAAACAATAGGAATTACCTTTTCCTCTAATTAAACCAAAAAAGTGGAACCATTTGGATAAAAAAAATATACTACAGTTTATCCTTTCTTCTTTTCCAACTTGTCCAATTTGACACTACAATTAATAATTTAAATCTTGTTTTAACAACAAAATAATATCATTACTCTATAAATAGAGCTCTTAAAAAGTTTAATTTGCTGTCTGAAGTAATATAATAAATCATCTTCAGATATTTTTAATTCATAAATCAGATAATTATTCTATATTATCCCTATAGTCTTTAGATATTCTTGTAACTTATTTCCATTAATTCAATCCTTCTTTCCCACATTAAAAATAATCTTATTAAACATTCTCGTACACTGGTTCCTCTTTTGAAATTACGATTAATGACTCTAAAAACTCTCTTATCAAAGAGAACTTTGTGAACTTGATATTGGCTCGTCTGGTTGGGTTACAATAAAATTCATCATTATTATTTTATTTATTTAATGTCGGAGAACATTTTGAAGTTATAGCACCTAAATTCACTTTTCAAATCCAAGAGAGAAACAAAGGTAGATGATAATAAGAAAATCCCACCTGAGTCTCTGATCCAGTATTCTAACTAATAAGAAGCCACGTTATAACAAATAAGAAAAAAACAATCTCTGCCTGTCCCTGCTTTAGAATCAAAACCCACAATGGATGTAATTGTTGTAATTCAAATTTAGGAACTATTAAACTCTTTAATTAAACCAAGAGATTGGGAAATTGATGGAAGACGACTTATGTAAACAGTTTCAATAGTCCCTCCATCAAGAGATGACATCACTAATTTGCAAAAACTTCTTGATGAAAGACTTGTTTCGAGGCAAGCTAGGGAATATCCTTTATGTCCAATAAGAGAAGAATTATTTGGCTAATGTTTTGATGAGATTATCAGATAAGTCACCATAGATTGTCAAGAAAGAGGTATTTCCTTCAGGCTATTCCATAAGGTGTAATTTTGGCAAGAGTTCGAGATGATCTAAATAAGACTATTGTGGCTTATAAATCTTTGTATGAGGGATCAATGCCCTTTAGTCTTCAAAAGTAGTTGAATGCTGAGGATGGACTCAACAAATTAGAAGTATAGATTACAGAATTGAATGAAACTAAGCAGTAATTGGAGTTGAGAGTAATTAATTGTTGTTATCCTATTAGAAACAACTTTTGACTAATAAAAAAGAGGCTCTTGAAAGATCAATTAAGGAAAGGAAGGATGCCAACGAGTAAAGGAGAAAGGCAGAGATTGAATTTTTGAAATATTAAAATTCTCATTTGGAATCATATCAAAAACAAGTAAATCCAAACAAGAATTAATGAATTTAACAATCATATTTTATAAAATTAAAATAATCTCTTATTTTTATATGATAATCAATTATTTTTAGTTGATTTTTCCTTTAGTCATTTTTTCTTCTCTTTGAATAATGTCTTTTTTTTACTAAGATTTATTAGGTTTGAATAATTACTTTAAGACTTTTATTTGGTATTTTTTTAATTAGCTGAAATTTATTGTGGTTCAAATTAATAAGTGTCCATACTTAAGAATATCCATTTTCTTTTAAGATGGATCTATTTAATCTTTAACTTGAGATTATGTGAGATCAAAGTCTCTCTTGTTTTTACAGAGCCAGTTATTGCCAGGTTGAATTATTAGGAATTAATCTCTCTTTAGGTTTTCTTATTTTTAAGATTGTTGTTGTTCTGATTGAGCTAAAGTTACAATTTCTACTTACATTATTGGTTTCAGATTCCTCTTTTGATTCTGAGATTGAGACATTTTATGCTTTAATTGATTTTTCACCAAACACACTGGATTACAATTCAGCTTCCTTTCTATTTTTCTCAAATGTTTCTGGATCAAATTCTTTCACTTAATTGATACTCTGACCTTCAAAAGTACTCCATTTAAGGTAGATGCTCTTGGTTTTCAATTTTTTAGCCTTTAATTGCTAAATCAATTTCACTTCAAATTACTTCGGACTATCGCCGAAAACACTCGATTAATTTTTCGTCAATTTTCTATTGCTTGGATTATAATCCTATTATTTTTAAGTTAATTTTATTTTTTGAGGATTAGAAGCTTCTAGATTAACCTCTTTGGTGAGAAGATTATCTCTAGCAATTTCATTCCCATAAAGTTCTTTATTTCTCCTGTTATTTGGATCATAAGCAAGTTTTGGTTTGAATTCTTTTAATGTGACTGCTCTTTTTAATGATTTATTATATTCATCAACATCTCATAATACTTAGTTTCATTTACCACTTTAACCAAATAAGAATTCTTTTCCATGATCTACTTATATAATATTATTATTCTTTTTTTGATATCTTTTAACTTCTTACTGTGATGTTTTAAAAGTTTAAGTATTTCTTGCAGGAGGAGGAGCATTTTAAATGGGTTCCGATAAGAAAATTTGAGATCAAAAGGTCTTATTTTATCGAACCTTGGATATCAAAATCTGGTACTTCTTATTGCTTGGTTGCTTAGGTTTCCGTACTAAATATATCTGTTTAGGACGAACACTCTGTCTTGATGGTTATTAAGCAGGAGCAGGAGAATTGACTCCGAAAATATTAGATTTATTTTAGATTCTCAATATAAATGAATTATTTACACATATCTTGTAATAGGTGCTTGATCAAAGGTTTGTTTAGTTGGTTTTGATCCAGCTGCTAGTCCATCATATTTAATGTCAGATTTACATGTTAGATGTATCCATTAATAAATAAATAAAATCTAAATATATTTTATCAACTGTCATTGATCTGCATGCTTAGTTAATTTTTGTGTAAAATAATTTAATTGGGATAGATGTTGTAATTATGAGCTGATATTAATTTTATTATAATTTCTAATGCAGATTATTAATGCTTTTAAGACATATATATGGGAATATACAATGATAAATTCAACTAAGATTTCAGTATTGAAGCATAAAAAAAAAGAATTGCTTAAAACAAAGTGGCCTTACTTTATAAATTTATGTCGGCTCCAAATATTTTTGGCTTTAATACAGTTATTGATCAATTTCTTATTAATTGGATCAATTAATAATTACGAAACTTTCCTTATTGATACAGGAATATCTCTAATAATAAATATTATTGATAGATGTTTTTTATGTAGACTTAACAACAGAAGGAAATTTAGAGTAATCATCCTATTAAATTTCTTTTAAGGTATATATATTGGAATTTCAGAGAAATTTATACATGATAACGAATTATTGTAATTCAACCAACCCTTCTTAATACATTTTATGACTAAAATAATGTGGATGGTTGCTTTAATCAGTACACAACCCCTTTTTACTTGTAAGATAATAATCTTTCTATTTTATTATTTCATCATTTGTTACTCTGTATAATTATGGAAGACTACACTATACGATCTCATTATCGTTATACTAATATTCATATTCTACACAGTTCAAGAGGAGGAGAAGTTCAGAAGGCTCATTTGCAATTAAATAATTCCTGAATAAATCATAAGTTAACTCCCATAGCCGATATTCTTAATTGACTTATCCACTCTTGAATTTGTCATCTACAATGATATGTTTAAATAATATCTTAATTCCCAAAAATACGAATCTGATATCACTTCTACTAAGAAGATGTTATCGCAGTTTTAATCTTATGGAAACTAATAAGTATTTAATATAATAGATGCTGAAAGACTGAATTTGTTTGAAACAATCTAGATAATCAAAATCTAAGGTCAAGTGATCACCTAAAATCTGAATTATCAATTTATTCTAAATGATAAGGAAGTTTATGATGTGCGATTCCACAACAATATTATGTATAACGAAAAGAGATGTTTATTGGTTTGTCTATCAGATATTTCAGCGATAATTGAAAAAACTAAACTCTCAGAAAGAACCATTCTGAAAAGTAAACTAATCAAATCCTTATCACATGAATTGAGAACTAGGAAGAACATTATTCAAGGTTTATTGAAACTATATTTGGATAAAAATAATGACGATTCAAATAAAGAACTGATTTGTCAAGCCTATAACAATTCAAAGATAGAATCCAATATCATTAGTTCAATCATAAATTACAATTTATGTCTTGATAATTAAGTCATTATCAAATATCAATTTGTTAAAGTCAACGAAATCTTAGACAAAATTATTGATAATTTTAAATATGAAATTAACTCCAAATAAATCAAGATCCTAGACAATTACCATCCAGAAGATAATCATTCTTTATTTACTGATCCAGATATATTTGAATAGATAATTACTAATATTGTAAGCAACTCTATAAAACATTGTGATAAGCAGAATTAATCAATATTATCCATATCTATTTGTAAAGAGACCAATCCTATTGCAAATTCAATTCCAATTCCAAATCCAAACAATCCTTATATACCCTACTTGTTAAAGATGTCAAACTGCTCTTCATTTTAAAGTTTACAAGAATTACATATCCCTTAATTAGAGAGAACATTAAATATAAAAATAGTAGATAATGGATCTGGAATTAATACCTAAAAACTCAAATTGATAGAAGAAATTTTAAATAATGATAATTATTACTAATTCACCACATCATCATCTGACGGGTTCTATTTAGGTTTAAGATCATGTAATCTACTTCTCTAAAAATTAAATTAAGAGACAAAAGTAAATATTCACATTCGCTCAACAGAATATGAAGAAACGGAAGTGGTATTGAAGTTTCTAATTCATAATTAAACCAAAGAGTACGAATAATCTATAGAATCAGAGGATTGTATTCAGTAAATAAAGATTTAGAAGAAGCTCCAAAATAAATGTAATTGTTTAAGGCAGATTATGATTGTTGATGATGAACCCTTTAACAATCTTGTATTGGAGCAAATTCTGAGGTCTCTTAATTTCAAGGTGATTAAAGCAGAGAATGGATTGGAAGCTTTGAGTTTATATAGGGAATAATATAATCTTTGCGAAATGGAGGAGTGTAAATTGTTTTATGCTATTTTTATGGATTATCAAATGCCTATAATGAATGGGTTGGAGAGTACGAAAGCTATAATTGAGGAATGCATAAAATTAAAATAAATTTAAACCAATATTATTGGATGCACAGCATTTTCTGCAACTGACGACATCAATGAGCTATTGAATGCTGGAATGAAAAATGTATGCATCAAGCCAATTAATAAAGATTCGATAAAACGAATATTATCTCATTTATAATGATCATAATAATGTATGAATTAATTTATCAACAACAACACTTTTTTATATAATTCTGATCATTCTTTCACCTTTACTCCTACTTAACTTCGAGAAGTTAGCACAGAAATTCTGCAGAAACCATCAAAAAATAGAAATCAAAATGATATTAAGGTATTCGTTCGATTTTCTAATTATTCCAATAGATTCTATAATTAGCCACTCAAAACATCAAATTTTTTCAAGAGATTCTGCAAGAGGAGAGCATAGCTGTGTTGCATAGATGTTTATAAAGAATTCAACTCGAAATTTATCCTGAAGTAATATTATTGATCCATTTTTTAGAGCACTATAGTTTTTGAGAAAGGCGATAAAGGCAAGGATTTCTACATCATTCTTTCTGGTAGTGTTGGAATATATATATATTCAAATAATATAGAATTGCATCAACAAAACAAATTGCCTATTCGTTAAGCGATTAAGGAATAAGTAAATCAGCTTATTGAATCAGGGATCCGCCCTAAAAAAGAACATCCACTTGAATTAAGGAAAATCTTATTATATGAAAAAATCAAAAAGTATTAGTTTTTTAGAAAATAGGTTGTTCAAAGTAAATGAGTTGCATGATGGAGATTCTTTTGGGGAAAGAGCACTAATAAATGAAGCGGCTCGTTTAGCCACAGTAGTTTGTGAGACTGAGTGCTTTTTTGGAGTGCTAAACAAATAAGATTACAGAGAAATATTATAATAAGCATAGAGTGAAAAGATTTTGCAGTAAATTACAGAATTGCAATCAGTTTAAGGATTCTAAGGCATGTCAAGGAAGTTATTGACCATTCTGCTCTATGCATTTTAAAGTCAAGAACATAGATATAGAGATATCATCTATAAATAAGGATCGATTAATAAAAATGAAATATATTTAATCTTGAGTGGAGAGTATATCATTACTCAAGATCAAAAAATAACAATGCATAATCCCCTGCGAATAAATCATTAAGGAGTCAAGCAAATAGCCATTTTGCAAAAAGGCTCAATATTTGGAGACAAAGAGTCCTTTTAAAAACTTGAATTTAGAACTTAAACTATCACGTGCAATAGCTAGTATGGCAAGGTTCTATGCATCCAATTAGATTGCCTATAGCAGAGATTACAAGTAGTTATTTATCATTATGTCTAAGGCTAATAATGAGTTACATCTGATTAATGAATTGAAGTAACTATGCGAAATAAAAGAATAAACAAGGGAAAAGAGAATATCTTGTAAAATCTAATCACCTAGGCGATCTAAGAGCTTTATGGTTTCAACCTCGCCAAATCAAAAAATAGATTATATTGTTAAATCGAAGAAAGAGATATTTAAATAATTAAACAAAAATCTAAAATCGAGAATTCAATTCATTTTTGATATCGCTTTACCTAGAGCTAAGACTCCATCCAACTATTCTTAAGAAAGTCCATCATAACCTATTAGAAAAAGATCTGCTATTGATAGAATCTACTTAAACACGAGAAATAACTCAAGAATACAAAAGAGGTAATCATTGCCACTCTAAATGTAAACGTAATACCAAAATCCTGAATAAAAAAGATTCTCATTCATTTGATAACAAATTAAATTCTATATTATATTTAATCCGTTCATGTAATATAAATTCTAGCTTATTAGTACGAATTATACATTTTATTAATGATAACAATTAAAAATACATTCTTATTTATGCAATATTTTTATAATTTGTCTATTTATAGACTCACTTAACTAAATTGTGATATCATATTCAAGTATTAAAAGATGAAATAAAAAATAGTTTATTGTGAATCATCAAATTCTTAAATAAATAAGTTCTTATACCTTAAAATGCATTTGATTATATACATAAAATTAATATGTTGAATCAAAGAATAATAATTGGGTGTTTAGTGTTTGGATAGTAATCCAATATCATATTAAGTTCAATAAATATGTTTATATTTAATATTGATATTATAAGGTCATATATTGATAGGCTTGATTTTCTTCCAACTCAAATCTGCAAATCCTCCTTGATTGATGATATCAATTTCCTCTTATGTCATCTTTCTTCTTTAATAATCCACAACCTTATGTACATATTTGGAGGCTTATGCAACATGTTGATGAGAAACTTAATTAGCTCTGCTGCCAATAAATTTTATTTTTGGAACATATTTCAAAGCTTAATTCATCTCCTATATTTTATAATAATATTAATAATAAATATTAGGGTAAAGATAAGTTAATAATCATACAATTAGTTAAAACTTAGTACTTTTTATGACTATTGATCAATATTTTAAATTAATAGATTGTTTAATTTCTATTTTCCTTAAATCTCATTTTTATTTAAGCAAATATTATCAGTTATTAACATTTAAGAACATTCAAAGTCATCATCCTATTTATGTAATTATATCAAAAGGGATTCTACAATGTTCCATGGATGACTGATTTAAATATTTAAGTTGAATCTCATATTTATCAAAATTATTGCTCATATTTATTTGGATAAAGGTATATTAATGGCATAATATGTTTGATGAATCAAAGGACACTTACCTAGAAAATTTACAATTTATATCATATGAATATTAGATAACAAGTTAGTAACATAGTATTGGATGAGTATATATTTAGAAGCAGAGTTATTTTTTTAAGAAATGATAAAATAATGCTTTCTATAATTATTATAATGATTAAATTAATTATTATAAATGTAAATCGATTTATTAGAGTAATAAATAGTAAAGAAGAAAAGATCACGATCAAATAAGGACAATGGGGATTCCATACCTGCATTTCTATTGAAAACCTATGAAATAATAGATGTATTTAAATTTTTAAATAATTAGAATCCTTAAAATCACGATATAATCGGTTGGAATGAAGAAGGAACTGCCTTTATTGTTAAGAAAGTTAATGAATTCTCTGACATCATCTTGCCTAAATCATTTAAGCATAGTAACTTTGCTTCGTTCGTTCGATAATTGAACATGTATGATTTTCACAAAACCAGACATGATAATAACGAAAATGAATTCAAGCATAAATTGTTTTAAAGGGGTAAAAAGTAAGATTTTTGTATATTTTAGGCATTTGCTAAGTTAAATCAAAAGAAAGACAAATGATGTCAAAGAATAGAATTCATTAAGTTTAATAAAAAATGAATAGGTAAGGACTGGACAAAGTGAAATTCCAGAGGTATGCAATATATATCATTATAAGATTTTGATGTAAATGGGAAAATTATCAAACAAATAATAGGAACTAGAAAAATTAATGAAAATTTTGATCAAGTAAAATGAAAAGATCATGAAGGAAAACAAATATTTATGGAGCGAATTAACTAAAAATAAGTACTATATATATTAATATAGAGGCATAAAAATGAAAACTCAGAAGAATAAATAATGAAATGGGTATTGTAGTCATTACAAGGAACTAAATAGAATAATAAGCACAAGACTAATTTCTAAACAAATAATTTGTTAATGTTGAAGTAAACCAGCGAAAATGATGATGAAGTTTAACTTGAAGCATAAAATTAAAGAAATTTTGAAACTGATAAATTTTAATTTGATTAATTGCCATCGCAAATTATCAGTTAAAATTTAGAATAATAGATTGAAAAACTATCAAAAAATCAAATTATCCAAGTGCTTATGAGTGCTATAACAAACAATTAAAAATAAGAAAAAAAAAATACTATGAAATTTGAAGATGACATTAGCTTTGATGATGAGTATCCAGTTATGAAGAAAATAGATTTAAAACAAGATAATTAAGATAGAAGATAAGAAAATCAACTTATGGTTTATAGTGAACCCTATTTTTTCCATAAATTAGAAGATAATTATATTATTTCAGAATCGCCTAATCCAAGTCGCAAAAATTCTTATTATGATCAAGATCCTATTCCTTAATTTTTAGAAAGTGAATTATGATATTTAATCAAAAATAAACTTCTTTATTTATTATTAAAATTTATATCGAATGTTTACAATAAGGAACCTAGCCTGGATAAAAAAATGTGATATATTACTTTAATATGTAAATAAAAAACTATATCAAATTTTATTGTTAAAAATATAATTACATGAGGTGCTTTATAATCTCAAAGAATAAATTTTATTATGAATTTATTTTTCGCTATTTTTATGTTTAACAATAATTTAAAAGATTTGTGTTTTTTGATTCTTTGATTGCTATATATTTTCACAATCTTAAATCCCTAATAAGGAATTGAATAAACATTGTTAGGCGGATTGAAATTAATAAAAAGCTGGGTTTCTCAAGACAATATAATATAAAAGTTCATTTCATTAAATTTAATGTTTTCAATTAGTATATTGAGATGCATTCATAATTTTGAATTTGCTTATTTTAGAAATTAAAATTAAGATTTATAGGGATGAGATGATGAATTTAAAGAATTCAAAAGCCAATCACTTTTAAATTATTAATATAATGATTGAATCGTTAAAATAGAAATATAGACTAATATAAAAATATCCTTAAGAGTAAATGATATCCTTATGCAATTTAAAAATAAAAAATTTAATAAGGACAATAAAATTTCCTGAAAATTTAAAGCAACATTTACTTTAACTCGCTAAATCGTAAAATCATCTTTAACAAATGAGCAAATTAACTTAAGAACTCAAATTTGTTATTGATGACTCCTTTGAAATCTTTTCTTTTTATAAATATATTTAATATGATTTTATATAATGTTCTTTATATATATATATATAATATCCAACCCTCCCTCCCTATCTTTTGAGTTTATGCAACTCAATGTTGTGCAAGAACTTCTTGTTCAAGCACCATTTAACCTTAAGACTAAGCTTATGGTTTCATTTGGTTTAGCCACTAAATAGCAGATTCAACGTCCCCATTAAAAATGGATAAGAATTTGTATGCCTTCTTAGGATTAATATTCTTTCCATTTAAATGAGCGAACTTTTCCTTAAATCCACCTCTATGTTTTCTAAATTTTTGATACTCTTCTGGTGATTTCCTAGTTTTGTGTTTTTCAATTGATTTTTTGATTGAATGACAATTATCTTTGTTTTTGATCCTTAAAAACTTATCAAGTATAGGTTCTAAGTTTCCTTCAAATTTCAATAATAACTTAGCTATTTTCTTTTCATTAGTGTATCCCAATTCCTTAAGTTTTTCAAATTATACTGTGAATCCTAATTCTTAGATCATTAATTCAACAGGTTTATCAAATTTCTTAAACTTTTTCTTACTTAATATTTCAATTGATTTTTCCACATCTCCATTAGTTATTAGTAGAAATTTCAAATTTTTGTTAACATGATTGAATCCTTTCTCTATTAGTTCCTAATTTTTATGAAGCCATCCCATATTTTCAATTGTTTTTAATGCTGTTTATCTCTTGTCTTCATTTTTATTTTAGTTCTCATTGTAAGCAAGGATAACCTTATGAATATCACCATTATGTTTATTTAATTGATGATAGTTAAACCATGGGTTTGTTAACCCTTAGGCAGTCAGCTGATCATGCTTCTCTAAGTAGCCAGCCTTGATTAATTTATGAATGACCTTTTGTTCTTTAAAGTTCATGATAATAATAATAAAATTATTTTATTGCTTCTACTTTTTATAAAGGCAAGGTATATTAAATTCTGACAATTTTTCTGAATAATTCGGACCAAATTATCTGTCATAATTGTTATCATTTTAACGCTTAATTCATCAACATGTTATTATGTTAATTTGTAATTAGCATAATACATCCTATAATAAGAATATTTATTTTTATATATATGCATAAATATTTGAGATATAAAGCCAATTTAAATAATAGGTCTATTTGAAGCCAAATATTGTATTTTTATACAATATTTTAATTTTAGACTTCAGATTTATGATCCTAATAGCAAATTCTCAATATTAATTTATCTTAATTAGTTAATAATTAAATATTAATAATACGAAAAAATCAGATTGTGAATTCCGATCAATGCCCATAGGCTCAATCAAGAGGTGTCAGTTTTTCATCACATATATATATATAATAGTATAATTAATTTCAGACAGCCAAGGGTTGTAATTCATGTATAGTCATAGACTCTAGTTCTTATAAGTCATCATATATATAATATTTTTAATTTATCAGATAGGAGCGAAAGATTGGAATCATGATAAATCATGGACTACAAAATCATCACTTTATAATATAATTGCATTTTAGATCAGAGATCTTGGTGGTTAATTTCATCATTCTATTTCTAGATTAACAAATATTTTGCATCATTCTATATAATTTTATTTGATCAGACGTAGCCGTATCATCAGAGTCTTTAAGACTGGGGCGGCAATAAAATTCCTCATTATAACAATTTTATTTTTTTCAGGCAAATGCCTCAAATAATCATTTATGTGAGAATAATAGATGGATGTCTATTGAATCTCTCATACTCGTCATCGATTCATCACATATATATATATATATATTTATTATAATCAGATAATGGATAAGTCGTCTTTAATTCAGAAGCAGAACTGTTATGAATTCCTCATATATATTGATTTTATTGATAACTATTATAATTAATAAAAATAATCCCAAATTAAAATATGGGTTTGGAATAATGTTTTTTTTAAATTAAAAAATCCAATAAACTTACTAATAATTAGATGATATTGTATTTTAAAGTTGCATTCCATTAGTGCACAATAAAGTAAAAATAAATATGATTAATATTAAATAAAGCATATAATCAAAAGTATAATTTCTATAATTATGCTATTATTTAAGAAATAGCATGCTATTCTGAGTCTTATTGCCTTTCATATACTATTTACTTGAATATATTTGCTTCACTTTCTTGAGTAAAAACCAATTCTAATTTTTCATCATCTATTAAATTCATAAAGAGTATTATTTATTTTTGATCTTATTAGGTAATTAGTTTCCATTCATCTAAATGAAAGTGCAAACTATTAGTAATAATTTCTAAATTGCATAATTTAATTAATCCATCATTAAATGATATTTCATTGTAATCACGAGGATTTTTTGTTTGACCGAAAGGATTCTTTAGCCAATTTTTTTAAAAACTTAAATCTAAAATTAGCAAGAATTTAATAATCTAATGAGTTACTGGAATCTTGTAAAGGATTTCTACATTTTTGGCTTGTAGAGATAATACAATCTAAGAAAAATATCTATAATAGTCAATAGTTTGAGATTGAATATGTTCTTCCATTTGCCTTAATAATTTTAATCTAATATATGAAATGAAAAAATTCTAATCTTAATCTTCAAGCAACTAATTAATGATATCAATTGATTTCAAGCAATTATTTAAGGTATTAATTGATTTTTATTGTTCATCCTACATAACGTTTAGTAAATTTATAATAAACATTTGTTTTTGGGATTTAGAAATTATAGATAAAGTTTCTGATGTCAGTACCGTTTCTAATAGAGTTAAAACTGAATGATAATGTTCTTCATTAAGACTATTTTTATAAAAGAATATATTTACAAATGATTTGTATATTCATCTTAAAACAATAGATTTTCCTTAAATAAAATACTTGAATTTAGCTTTTATATGTATCCTAAGGTTTGCAATGCCTCATAAAGATCCTGTTTTGGAATCTCTTTGGCAAATAACTAATTATATGAAACATATGATATGGTTTAAGTGATGGATTATAAAAAACCATTTAATCGTTCTCCATCTTTACTCTCTTTTTAATTTGTTTTAAAAAACTTTGCGCATAAGTTTACTAATTCTGGGTCTTTGGTTGGCACATAGTTTAATTCCAATTAAATAGATTGATATTTAGGAATTTCCTGTGAAAATAATAGTATGAGGATGCTTATTAGTATTCTCTTGCTAAATTTAATCTCAGCATTGAAAAAGCTTGTTAAAATCAGACTACTCTATTGTTTAAGACTCTCATCTTTCTATTATGATGTTTATAGAAGAGGTAAAATGATGATATTAAAAAATAGATTATCTAAGATCTAAGGAATAAGCTATTATAATTACATCAACCAAATATGGTGCTATTTGATACAAATCTTTAAAAAAGTAATACATATTCTTTAATTCTTCATGAAAGTAATCTTGATCTTTGCTCCATTTATATAACAGTTCTTTCATAAATGCAATGTGATTTGTTAATACTTATAGAAATGGATAGCATTGAAGATATTGCAATAATTCATTCTCCATCTAACTGTTTTATACGATTTAAAGTATCGATAATAATATATGTCTTGTATACGTTCGAGTTAAATTATCCTTAGCATTAAAAAAGCTCTAAGAGTATAGCAGAAGTGGGAATTATGCATATCTCTAAAGAAGTTATAATCAATTGTTACTTAATTAAAGAATAAATTGATGTTATCTCTTGTTACCTTATTTGATAGAATTTTAATAAAATTAATATAGTAATCCTAAGTTTCATCATTGGTTAGATCATAGTTATAAATAATAAATTCGTTTAATTAAGGCAAAGAGAGAAGCACAACAATGTTTTTTCCAATGTTTGTTCTAATCAATTTAAATAATTTGTTACATCAGCATTGAAATTTGATGCAGGATAGTATTTACTATATTGGTATCCTTAGTTGATTTTAATATTCTCACAAATTCTTCTATAATCTTAACTTCAATGAATTAACTAGATATTATTCATAAAATTACTCAAAGAGATCTGATTCTTTTTAATCTCCTAGAATGGCGAGTTCCGAGAGGGAAGAGACTGATTCTATTATGTTAACATTCTGCTTTAAATTATTAGAATGACGAGTAAATAAATCCATGATGTTATTAATAATAAAGCATATAAAATAAATTACATAATAATTCAATATTGTATGTGAATACAAGGGAACATATAGGAACTGCAACCAAGTTTAGTAAGGCTATCCTTGCGAGGAGACTTAAAGGAAGAAACTTAATACGGCAACAAAGTCCTAATTAGAAGACATGCATTCATCATTATTTTTAAGAGTATAATTAATAGAATTAGATGAGTATATGAAGGTATTTAATTATAAATTTTTGTTGTCAGATTATTGACATAGGTTGATTGGTCAGAGAAGTGAAGTTTGTATTTGATATTGGAATCAGAGTTGAAAAATTATTAAATGGATAAAGAAATTTAGAAAGAATTGTGTGGTTATTAATTTAAGGGGGAAGAAATAATAATTTATATAAATATTTTATCTCCAAAGATTTATTAATTAATATAAATTTCTAATTTCCTCAAATTTTCCATGGATAAAAACAAATCAAAATATACTATTCCGTCATTCATTATTAAACTGCATGCTATTTTGGAGGATTTAGTAATGAGTAATATATATAGCAAAAGAATAATTCATTAATTATTACCTGGGCCCCCCAAGGAGATGCATTTATCGTTTTAAATCCCGAATTGTTGGAACAAAATATACTGCCTTAACATTTTAAACATAATCACTTTACTTCTTTCTTAAGACAGTTGAATATGTATGATTTTTAGAAGATTCGAAATCAGAATAATTAATAAGTGTTTTGGCATCAAAATTTTTTAAAAGGAAAAGAGTATAATTGAATAATAAATTAGACATCTCTTAGTTTTGTTAAAAAGAAGCTAGAACAAAATGTAGTAAAAACAAAAGTTAAATCATCAATGTTTTTAAAGATTCTTAATAGATGAGATTACTTCAATAAAATAAAATTTGAATTAAGATGAATAATAATTCACGCACATAATCAATTAACACGAGGTCATACTATAACAACACAAATAAATATATTTAGATCTACAATAACAAAGGGAATAAATGGAAAATAAATATGAAAAATTAACTGGATAAGTTTAAGCAATAATAAGTTTGTAAAAAGTAGATTCGACTAGTTAATACTTAGAAGGCTGTTCTTAGGAGGAAGAACAATCAGAATTTTTCTATTCCTAAAATCTCTGATAATATTCATCATATTACGTATAATTAAATTTAAAATTGAAAAAAAGATGCAAAATTTATTATAAGCTTTGAAATGATTTTTTTGTCTTCTTAATTGATGGTTATATGTGATAATTTGCTATTTCTGTAGAAGTATACTAAATTTAAGGATAAATTTTGGGTTATTTTTAATAATTAAATTTATGTTTATTTTTATTGCTAAATAATTATAACTACAATCTACCTCTCTAAGAATTTTAGATTACCTCTTAATTATTAGAAAGAGTAATCTAAAATCAATTCTAGGATAGATTTTAAAGATTTTTCCCACTATTTTTTATAGACTTGATATTTAAAAATTATGTGGCTCTTAGAGAATCAATATCCTCAGGAGTACGAGATTCCTCATTAAGTGAGTATAATTAGAGTTTTTAATCAACATTTGCCTATTAATCCTTTAGTTATTTATTCAATTCATCATAAATCTTTCTCAAATGTTTAAGATCATATTATTCAATCCCTTTGAGGTCTTACTCTATATTTTTCTCCAAAATTTATCGATAATGTTTTTTCTAAATGTCTGTATATGTAGATCTCGAACCTTTATTTCTATTTTATAACCTAAAACTTTAAAAAATAATATAATTACAATTCAAACAGCATATTTTATTATGACTCAACTGCATTGCGGTATATATCAAGATTTTCAATCAGATAATCAATATTGTCTTAAGATTATAGATTTTCATTTTTATTAAATGATTAATCCTCTTCAGATCCAGAGTTCTTCTTGTAAAGTGGTTTTGAGAATTTTGATTATTATAATACATCAGTTTAAGGTTGAACCAATATGCGTTAGCTTCCTTATAAAGAATCAGATAACAATTATGATTATTCAAATTGACCTTGCAGATGGGAGTCTGATTCTGGATTTTTAATCTGAATTTTGAATTGTTGTAAACTAGTTTTATAATGTTGATCATCTTCAATTAATTCATCCTATTCAATATTTGCAAGACTTTTGATATGAATACCTGTTTATCCTCTATGAAGCTAAGATGATTAGTAGAAAGCAACAGATGGATGATGTTGAGAGACATTGACTGCACTTTCTTGAGATTTCCCTAGATTTTTCATTGTATTAAGTTATTTCGATTTCAAAAGATGAGATTTTGATTTTTCAAATTCTTGGAGTATTTTATCTTCCATTTATGCTACTTTTTCTTTCGCTTGTTATTCTCTTATTTATTCTTCTTTTTCGGCATTAAGTTAAATCAAATTCAGTTTATTGCTGATTTCTTCTTCCAAGTTCTTTATTTCTTTTGTATAAGTTTGATCAATATCTTTTATTTTTCCAGTGACTTCTAACGTATTTCCCATGAAGTTTGTTGTTTCTCTTGATAATTGATCTTTAGTGAATTAAAGCAGTTGATAATTTAAGGCTATATAATTTTGTTGATTTTATTAGATAACTTTGTTACTCAATTGCTATGTCAATAACTGATTTTGCAAAGCTTGATTGATAGTATTGACCTCTTTTTTATTGAATTCCCCTTTATGATATTATTTCATATGTAAATCAAACTAAGACTCGTTTGTGACCACCTTATCACAATAAAGACATTAGATTAATTGGGTGTTTATAATTTTCTGCATAAATATTTCCTTCTGATTCAATTCTAATGACAGTTTTTTTTGTGCTGCCTTTATATTTACTTTGCTCTCTAAAAGTTTTTTTTCCGTTTTTCTGATCTAGAAATTATATATATACTCACTTGTTCCACAATGTCTTATGTCATTTTTTGGTTGTATTTTTCATACTCAATCAACTCTTCAGTGGAATGTTCATAATATTGTATTGCTAATTAGTGTATATGCAGTAATTTTGCTAGATACACAGGGTGCATAGTTTAAAAGTCCTCCAATTAAACTTGATACTAAACTTTTATTTAATTGTACTTTATAGATGAGGTTGAGATAATACTGTAACTATTCGAAATCTGTGCATCCAGAATAGTTTTGGATCTCTTTCCAAAAATTAGACATTTTTATAAAAGATTAATTTTAAATAATTTATTATTTAATATATTATGGGAAGGAATAAGATTGACATTCAATATCTTAAAGATGATCGTATAAGGAATGTAAATTTATTATTTTAATTACTTATTCTACTATTTTTAGAACCACTATATAATTTAAATTACTACTTAATATTATGTTAGATTACGTTCAATAAAAGGAAAAATGGTTTGTTGAAAAAAGCATGCGAGTTGGCTGTGTTGTGTAACATTAAAATGCTGTTGTGTTTTACAGATCTAAGTGGAAATGTTTATTAATTCACCTCTACTGAAAATATTGAAATGGAAATGATTTAATCTAACCATAAAAAGGTTTTCACTAAACAGGATGTATGTTAAATATCAAATATGTTAGTACCCTGGATTTCAAAAGAGAAAAGAAAGTGAATCTTAATCAGAAGCAGAAAGTGAATAAAGTGTCGACTAAAAAAGAACCAGAGCTTCAAGTAAATAACAATAAATTTAATAATTGAATCATTAGTAATAACAACCTAATGGATAATAGTAAATGAGGCTCAGAAATAAAATAGAAAATGGTGAAAAAATACAATAATAGTAATAATAATAATAATAATAATAATAATAACAATAATTATAATAGCAAAATCAGTTTTAACAAGATTCAAGGAAAATGGTTAAAATGGAAAACAAATAGGAGGATTAAGATTTGTAGAAATCCAAAATAAGAGTTAAAAATAAAATGAATAATAATGATGAAATGCTTGTTAATGACATTATCGACCATCAATAAGCTAGAAATTTTGATGATCTATATTAATGTGGAAATTATAATGATGATCAATCAAATTCCTAATAAGATCACTAGGATTATAAGTAGTAACTATCAATGTTTACTAATTCTAATCCAATTAAACTTATGAAAATGGACAGTTTACTAAATGGTCTCAATAATAGCAAACCAAATAATAATTTTATAAGTGAACAATACAATAAGTTCTTTAACAAAGAAAGAGTACTTATTCATTATTAATAAAGATTGATTCCTTAAACAATAGTAAAGTATTACAACCTAGTGTTTAATTTATTGTTCCACCCTAAGTGTATTTTAATATTCCTCCTTCTCCTATAAGTTAAGCAATGAACAAAGTCTATGTTGGAGTAGATGAACCAATGGAATATAATTTAGGACAGTCTCAATATATGGATGGGTTTAAAAAATACTCTAAATGAAAATTTAATAATTTAAACATAATCATATCCTAAAACAACAAAAAGGTTATTTTAATCTAATTTCTTATTGTAAGTAGATTTCTAAATAGAGTGTTTCCATCGATTATAAAATCTACTGTATCTATTAAATGTTATCGAAATGTTGAGCCTATATATCTAAAATAATTCTTTAAATTTCATCTTATTTAAGATCCTCCAAATAGAAAGAATAAAATCCTCAACTTTTAATAACAAATCATAGTTAATTTCTTCTCATTTTTTGCTTATACTTAATTTTCTATAGCAGGTTTAACTGTTGTTTTCAGAATTTAGACATAATGAATTCCTAAAGATTTTAGTTTGCTGAAATCTTAAGTGCTAATCTAGTAACTTGACAAATACTATATGGACAGTAAATTTGATTTATTTATTTTATTAGCAGTTTATATAGAATTTTCTAATTATTCAAGATTAATATCAAAAGAAATGCAATGCTAGTTGATTTTAAATCTTCTTTTATTCATATGCAATTAATAAGATATGGTTATTCTTATTTTTCCAAATGAAATACTCTCTCTGTATTAAAATTAATATTTAACATTCTAAAATATTCATTATTAAAATCAGCTTTCCCAATACTATTGATAATTATTTATTCGTTTATTAATTTAGCTTAAAGAAAGCATAAAAATTTATAAAAAATTGATCCAGATTTCATTTTAATAATAATTTAATATAGAAATCTAATTTCTACCAAATTTAGATACAATAGTGTAAAACTTGAATTTTAATTTAAAATTATGTTATTTTCATAGTTAAATAAATAATTGAGATGCATTATAGTTTTAATAACTAAAATGTGCAGCAGAATTTTGTTTTACCTTAAATTAGTTCCTTAGGATTGGATGTAAGATTGGAAAGTAGTAGATAGCAAACTCTCTTAATCATTCATACAAGAATTCGTTAAAATAATAAAAATAATATTATATATTCATTCAGATAAAATGAAATTATTAGTTTCCTGTTTCTTTTGTTACTAAATTTGTAACAGTATATGAGTTTCCAATTGTTAAATTAATCAGATTTTTCAAAGTATCAGAAATCTTTAATTTAAGCAAAATTTCATTGTTTATTTTATAAACTACCTCAATAGATAAGAATATCCAAAGATTATGTATCTTTTGGGGTTTATTAATATTATTAATATACTCTGGTTCAATAGATCCGAATTATTGGTGTCACCCCAAAACTATCTCCCTTCCGTGAAAATTTGGAATTATTGTATAATACTCTTGTTCTTAAAATATACATTAGTATATGATATGATTGATTAAAGAACAAACTTCTTAGTAGTGCATTCTAGAATTTAAATTAAAAAATAGAACTTTAGCTTTATTTTAATATATTTATTTTAAACATCAAATCCACCAATTAGTAGATTATCATTATTAGAATTAATTGATTATATCCTCCCCCTCATTACTTTAAAGATAATAATTATAATTAGAAGTATCTCCAAAACCACTTTATATATATATATTCCTGTACTTAATCTTTGGTATATATGGTGCCTTGATATTTTTTTGAGCTAATTCTTTCCAATTAATATTTTTAAACCACTTATGCTTTTTGACATCATTAACTCCTCCTTTTATGTATCCAAGCCTGTTGAATGGTCTAACTTATAGCAATTATGAAATTAAATCTTTTGCTTCTCTATTTAATAGAAATGATATTTATTTACTTTGAAAAATAATCTGGGTATTTTATTTGCCCTTTTTAAATTTAATTAAACAAAATATGAAAGTCACCATAAAAAGGAAGAATTCCAGCCAAAAGTTCAAAAATCAACACTCCTAAGGCCCACCAATCTGGTGATAATGCATGACCTTAATTATGGTAAAATTCAATATATACCATGTTAACAAATGACCTCTGGGGCAATATATTCAAGAAAGCCTGCTATGGTATAAGTTCTACCCTTTTTTTACATTTGTTTCGCATGGAAAAAATCTGATATTTTCAGATAACCATCAGAACAAATATGAAAAATTTCTGAATTAATGCACCGAAATAAGATATTTTTGGAATGCAAATACTCGAGTAAAAGAACAACTTGAGCAGCATAAAATCTCGTTTTATTATAAAAATCTTACACTGCCAAATCATTATCCGGTCTGAATCTTGATAAAAGAGAAATGAGATTTCCCCCTTGACAATACTCTTATAAAATATAATAATTATCTTCATCTTCAAAAGTATCAAAGGTTTTAATCTAATTAAGATATTATGTACAATGAAAGGACTTTTTAAGGTAGATAAAAATATTTGTTCCTATTGAACCTTATTCCTTAAAGAAATGTTAGAAGTAAGAGATTTTTTAGCATAAATTTTTATTAAAATGTAATCCCCAGTTTTTTTGTTTTTCGCCAATTTGTAAATAGAGAAATCAATTTAGCATAGGGTTTACAAAATTCTATAATCCTTAAGTTTCTATTTGGCTTCTATAAATTTTTTTTAATCCATTTTTAATATTAATGAATTTTATAAATTTTCAGAAGTTTAATTAGATAAATGCACTAAGTTATGTGCCTTATGATATTACCAGATTTCGTCCGAATGGCAGAAAAAATCTAATTGGAATAAGGTTGAGCATAAAATTAGTTTCTATATCTTGCAAGCTTACTTTAATATAGTCAGCATTTATATTTCTGTTGTGTTGAGTTAAGCCTTTTAAATATTTTTATTAATTTGTTCATTATTTGTAATTACCCAATTTTGGTATTTTTTAAACCGAGCAAGCAATTAGTCCTTTTATTTCTATAATTCACTATCTATTTTTTAATATTGATAATTTAAATTTGTCTAAATTTATGTATTTCTCTTCAAAATTCTTTCTAATTCTTGTTTCTGTGAATCCATCCTGTTTTCAATATCCAATTCAGTAATATATTGATATATTATATGATAATTTTATTCAAATGACAGTAATAAATTATTCGTATCAAAATTAAAAAAAAAATGATTCAGTTATCTTTTTCTACATATATTTTTGCTAAAATTATAATTATTGTGATTAAACTTTAATTAGCTATGAAACAATAAAGAGCGATGATAAGATTAAGTGGGGAGCAAAAAGCATTTAAAAACTGATTCTTTTGAAATATACTTTTATTTAGTAGTAAAATTCATTAAGTTGATCTTAAATTGAATTATTAGATTAAAAATGATGTTATATAATAATCAAAATAATAAAAAATGTTCAATTATAGGGCAACGAATGAGTAGTAAGTAAGTGAAGGAGTACAAAAAATGAACCAGCTGTAGGAGCTATGAAGATTATAGATAAAGAATATTAACACGCTTTAGAAACCCTTAATACTGAAATTTATGTATAAAAATACAGAATAATAAGATTACTTATTATTTTGCAGAATAGAAATCGGAATGTAGTAGAATAAAATTAATTTTAATTATGTTTATTTGAGCCTTTTAAAATTGAAAAAAGCATATAACATGACAACTATATTAAAACGGATTATATTAATATATATTAAATTAGCTAATGTAAAAAGTCTTAGCTTTTATAATGACTATTTATTTAGTCAGCTGTGTTGATCCAAGTATGGTGCAATTGAGCACCGAGAAAATTGATGAGCTTTCCTAAAGTAATTTGGGGAGATTTATTATTGAGATGGCTCAGACTCATGCAGAAATGAGAGGTCCATTAGGTATGAATGAGAAATAACTATAAAGATGATTTGGTGACGGCAATTGGAGATTTGGAGAATGAACTGACTGCTGAATTGCAATAATTAGAAGACGATTTTACTAGATCAACAAATCAACATCAAATAACTTAAGAAAACTTAGACATTAACATTGGTCAAACAGAAATCAACATTTTCAACGAAAAGGACTTTATTGATGCAATATTATTGCCAAGCATTGATTAAACTAATTAAAAGATTGATAGATTGAATGGTTTTATAAATGACAATAGAGATTCTTTAGCTAGAGAAACATTAAATAGATAAAATTAACATTAAGCTTATCTAGACAGAGGTAATATAAATAAAGATTGTAGTGAGTGAACACCAAGGAGCTATCAGTGCTGTGGATGAGGCTTTGTAATTGATCAACTCTTTAATTAATGGAAATATAGCATTCACTGAAAAAGCAACAATCCATTAGGCTGTCAAAAGAGTCAATAATAAAATCGCAAAAACCAGCACTATTCACCCAGTCGTTGAAGCCTTACTTTAATTGACACAGAACTTCTCAGATTAAGGATAAGCCAAGAAAATTAGAGACTTGTTATAGGACACAAGAAACTAATTAGTTAGTAGTCTGAACTAAGTAAAATGATATGCTATAAAATTAGGAAAATACCGACGAAAAATAGATTGAAGAGACTTGGGCAGAGAGATAAAAAACATTGAACACTGAGTATTAAGAATTCAAGAGATCACTCCTAGAAGCTACCTATGTTTTGGCTACCTATTAAAGTATTTACATATATAAATTTTATTTCAGATAAATTGAAATCAACTTAAGAAGCCTTGAATTAGAATGAACTTGATTTATAAAATTACAACGAATCTTTATGTAAACAATAAGATGTATCAATTAGAATAGGACAAAGACGCTCAAGCCTAAGAGATCCAAATTTACAATGAATTGAAGGCTCAATATTAAATTCAACTCTAGACTACTAGAAATGCTAAAGACTTTGTGAACTCTGCAGAATTTAGCACAGTCATTAGAAACAAATTAAATTAAGGAGGATTGGCATGATTAGTGAGAATTAAATATTAATATGTAAATTACATAAAATTCACACTCACCACCACCTATAAAAAAACAGCATCTCAAATTGCATGTCTAGCCTATTTAATTGCCAGATGCAAATGTGTTGAATAGGACTGTGGGCAATTCAGATCCTGAGATTAGTAGTAAGATAATTAAGACAGAAAGAATTACAGCATTTAAGCAAAGCAAAAAGTTTCACATTAAATAAGTTTAAAACAACACTCATAATCGATTATAAACAAATCATCCAAGGCTTTTGTTATAAGAGAATGATGGTTTATCTCTGATATTGCAGAAACAATCCTTGACAACAACATCTGAGAAGATTATCACAAGTATCATCTTACATATAGAAAATAGAATAATTAGTCACTGAGTTGAAAAACAAAATAGATTAGTAGGACTCCATCATTAGATTATAGGAGTTCAAAATTAATAGATTATAATAGGAACTGTTATCATAAAAATACTATTGCTCAAATTTATTAGCTAAAATATTTTAAAATGATCCTAAAAATTAATACATAAATACACTGAAAGTTCCAAAAATAGGATTTCAAATTTAAGAGAATACTTAATTAAGTTCCTTATAGCCATCTTTATTAAAGCCATCCAATAATCTTGATTAAACAAGAATTAAAAATTTGCAAAATCAAATTATATCACTCAAACTGTAATAGTAAGAATTCAAAAATTTTATCAAAGATGCTTTTTTCTCATTTAAAAAGATTATTTAATCCTTTGAAACACAATCAAGAGAAAAGATTTAAGGAGTTCAAACTGAGCATAAATTACTTTTGAACTCTCTTGAAGAAATTATCAAAACGAATAACATGTAAATTACTTGTTTTATAATTTAGAAATAAAACAGAAGAACTAAGCAAAATCAATCAAAAAGCTGAAATTATTTGTTAAGAGTATATTCTTTCTGAAGCATAAAAGGAGGTCTACTATTAAAAATGTCTTTCATTGTTAGGTTGATTTTTCATCTTATTTATTACATCAAATTAGTATAATTAGTATAAAATTTAAGAATATATAACCTGTGAATATATCTTTTTCAATATAATTAAAAAAGTCTCTAAATCTCAAAGAATAATCGTCACGAACATTCAGTGATATAAATCGAAATAGTTATTGAGATTAATATACTTGGATTGATATTCTATTGTATGTAATTTGCAATTGTTTCATAAAATAATATAAAATAATATAAAAATTGATAATTTTGCAAGAGAAATGGATTAGGGATGGGAAGTAAGTGAAGAACACTACTTAGAACATTTAATGTAAAACCCTCTATTTTTAAAGAGGTAGGGATCTTAATAAATTGATAAGCCTGCCATTTTGGCATCTCAGGAATCACCGAAAACAAGAATGAGATTTAGAACAACCTCAATGGCAAAATTGGATGAGAGCAGCAAGCCTAATTCCCCTAACAAGAAGCCAGCTATGGAACCACAAGTAAAAGTAGACTCCCAAATCAAATCATAGCAGTCCTCATTGATATTGAAAACACCTATAAGATAACAAAAATTTTAATTATATCCTCAGAAGATATCTCTTAGATCTACCCTATTTTAAACTCCCTTGGAGGAGTGTAGTCCAATCAAACTGGGGAGAACACTTTAGCCAAAATAATTTAATCCTGTATTATAGAATATCAACGACATTCATTACAACGGAATGAAAGGCTAAACTAGATCTGTAAAGAGTGCTTCAATGAGCAATCTCTTAAATAATGATGAGCGTATAATGTAAAAGAAGAGATTAGAAGATTTCGTCTTCAAAATTAGACCACAAAGAAATGCTAGTATTCTGTATGTGAACTCTTAGAGTTCTCTCCAGACTACTACAGATGATATTGTACTTAGAAAAATCTAAAAATGATTGAAATATTATTTATATTTAATGACTAATTATTTATAGTAACAGATTAAGGGTAAACAAAATAAAGATTAACTAATTAATGTCCCTAAATCAGAGAGACATCCTATGTTTAAAATAATGGATTAGGAATTCGCATTGCCCTCTATGCAAAATGAATAAAAATATAATGAGTTTATGGGCCATATTCGGTAACTTTTGGATAGAAACAAAGTTAAGTCTCATAACAATATAAACCCATTAAGAATTCCGAATAATTTCATATTGAACAAGGGCACTAAACAAGGTTCTAGGAGAACATTGTTTGAAACGAAAGTAAATGATGAGTAATCATAATAAAAATAAGTGCAAAATTAATAGATTTTGAGTGATCCCACGGATTCATAGACTTAAAGAGTATTATAGTATTAACAACGGATTGGGTTGGTAAGGAAACATGATAAGACCGAGATGTAATTAAGATAGATTGCGTAGAAACATAACATAAAATGGTGAATTGATTTATTAATTATATACTTATGAATCAAATAGTTTCTGGCATTCAATTCAACGTAGGCGCTAGATACGAAGTGAAGAAATTATTAGGTGCTGGTGCCTATGGACATGTAGCCCTTGCTATTGACAAGAAACAAACTGATCCAGAGAAATAGAAAGTGGCTATTAAAAAGCTTCATCTAGTAAGAGATGAGATCGACGCAAAAAGAGTGTTGAGAGAGATTAGAATTTTGAGAACAATGCAACATGAGAATATCCTTCATCTAGAGAATCTCATCTATGATGATTCCAACAAAGAGTTGGAATTTGGAGAAATCTATTTAGTTACTAATTACTTAGAAGTGGATCTCTACAAGATTATTAAGAGCGGACAAAATCTTACTGATTAGCACTACCAATACATAATGTAATTACCATATTCCTATTTAGATATCAATTACTTAAAGGGTTAAAATATTTGCACTCTGCAAGTATTGTCCACAGAGATATAAAGCCAAGCAATATTTTGGCTACTGAGAATTGTGAAATATGCTATTGCGATTTTGGATTGGCAAGATAAATAGAAGAATTGGAAGCAGAGGATAATAGATGCCAGAACATGTTGACAGAATACGTAGTAACAAGTATTAAATATATAATCAATTAGGGTATTATAGAGCTCCTGAAGTAATGTTATCATCTCATGAATATTCAACAGCAATTGATATTTGGTCATTGGGATGCACATTTGCTGAATTAATTACAAAGCAAATTTTATTTAAAGGAACCAATTACATATAAATGATAAAGTTAATTTTTGATACTCTAGGTAAACCTTAAGATGAAGACTTATAATTTATTACAAATAGCAATGCAAAGAAATATGTGAATAGTCTCTAGACAAAAATGAAATGTTCAATTGGTAGTGTAATCAAATATACAAATCCACATGCAATTGATTTGTTGGATAAAATGCTAGAAATTAATCCTAAGAAGAGAATTACAAGTGCTGAGGTAATCAATTTTATTTAATTCACAGGCGTTAAATCACCCCTATTTAGAATCAATTAGAGATCCTGATGATGAACCTTCATTTGAAGGACACCTAGATTCTCAGTTTGAAAATGATAGCACCATATTATTGAAAGATTTGAAAGTGTTAATCTTAAATGAACTCAATTTGATGAAATAAATTAATAACGAACCTCTGATTAATATTTAATTAGAAGTAGAAAAAAGAGAGTAGATAGTCAAGATAAATTAATAAAAGAAACAATAATTGAAACAACAACAGTAATAATAATGAAGAACTAATTGAAACATAAATGTTATTAATTTGTTTAATCATAATATTTATCTAATAGTGTATAATAATTTAGTAAAAATATAACTGATTGAATTCTTGATGTAAACTAGTAATTGAGCTGTATTTGATATTCTAAATTATATGATTCATTGAGAAAACAATGTTATTGTTTTTGGTTAAAAATAAAAATAGAGGTGGTTTTAGATTTAAAACCATGTAAAAGGTATATTAATTTGATGTAAATTCTTGGTGTAATAAAATTAACAGAAAATTTTAGTAGTATTATTAAATTAAATTTTGAAATGGCTGATCTAAAATTCAAAATTCCTCCATCTAAATCCTTGGAACAGGAGAAATAAAAATTGCTTAAAGAGAAAGATGAAATAGTTTTTAGGTTTGAATAATAATGGATAAAGGATTTAGAAGAACCAGGTAAATACAAAAAAGGAATCAGAATAAAAAACTATGTTGATGGAAGTAAGTATGAAGGGGAAGTTATTAATGAAAAAAGGAACGGGAAAGGAATTTATCATTATAGTAATGGAGATAAATATGTTGGAGAATGGAAGGATGATAGGTAATGTAGATTGAATAACATAGATTCCATGGAAGAGGAGTCTATATATTTGCAAATGGGGAAAGGTATGATGGGGAATTGAGGGAGAGTGCAAAACATGGAAGAGGAGTGTATTTGTATGTGAATGGAAATAAGTATGAAGGAGAATGGATGAATGATAAAAAGAATGGAAAGGGTTCTTATACTTATTTTGCAACAAATGAGAAATATGATGGACAATGGTTAGATGGAGAAAAACATGGAACTGGTATGTACATATATACTAGTGGTGACAAGTATTATGGAGAGTGGAGAGACGGGGAAAAGTCTGGCAAAGGTGTTTTTGAATATTAAAATGGATCCAGATTTGAAGGAGAGTTTTTAGAAGACAAAGCCAATGGGTTTGGTGTTATGCAATATTCAAATGAAGATAGATATGAAGGAGAGTGGTCTGGAGGATAAAAATATGGTTAAGGTACATATTTTTATGCAGATGGAGCTAAATATCAAGGAGAATGGAAAAATGAAAATTAGAATGGACATGGAATATTTTATTATGTCAATGGTGATAGATATGAGGGAACTTTTGTTGATGGCGAGCGTTGTGGCAAAGGAATCTATTATTATTTGAGTGGAGATAAGTATGAAGGAGAATATAGGAATGACGTTAGAAATGGTTAAGGAGTTTTGATGTTGACTAATGGTGATGTGTTTATGGGAGAATGGGCTAATGGAACTAAGAATGGTTAAGGAAGATATGAGTATGCAAACGGAGATTATTATGAAGGGTTCTTTTAGGATGGTAAGAGATAAGGAAAGGGAACTTATTATTGGAAGAATGGGTAGAAGTATGTTGGCTTGTGGAAAAATGATAGAATGGAGGGAGAGATGGATCCTATAGTTGCCATCAAGTAAAGTAAATTTTCGAATGACTACTTAATTGATGTTTGAATTAACTTATAATTAAAATCTTTACAAAAGTTTCAATATCAGCTGCCCTCTATGATTTTTTGACTTTAGAAAAGATCTTTACATATGAACAATAAATATATTCTATCCCCGACATCATAATAATTATTATTGTTTTTACAAATTAAATAATAATCATGTATTTCAGTCAATATAACGAACCTTTTATAATATTTGTTACTACTTTTGAATAACAATAACAATTCCATTTTGATTTACAAATGCCATTAAATTTTCTCTAAATTAATATGATACAAATAGCGCTCTTAAATTGATAAAACTTAAATAAAACAGTTCTTCAAGAATGTCTTAAATTATAGCTCATTTTTACGAAAGATAAATCTACAAAGTTAAATCTCTACGAATAAATGAATAACTAAAAAAAGTTCTAGGTTTGAATATATTATTATTATTATTAATTTTCATGAGTCTAACATTACTAAATAAAAAATATTAAGCGTTGATGCTTAGGGAAAAGCAAATCGAAGACCACTTTGATCCTGTAGGCAGACACAAGAAATAACATCATAATATTGAAGATCTTCGTTAAGATTATTAAGAAGACTTAGAGAACTACGGTATTTATTTATTGATATGGTTTCTAAGGATTTTCCAAATAATCTTTCAAGGCCAAAAAGGAATAAGAATTAGAAAACCTATAAATAACTCCTGAAAAATAACTAAGGCCAATGACTGCTCTAATATCGCCTGTTCAAAGTTCGGCATAAAGATAAAGACCAATTACAGCACCAGGTCTCAACACTTAAACAAAATAAATGATGAAAATAGATGAAAATGAAGAAATGATTTAATTGCCATATCAATCAGAGACCAAATATTGGAGAAACACAAAAAAATATGATAAAAGTTTCATATTATTAATAATTTAATAGCTAATTAGAATGTTGTTAGAAATCATTCAGCTTTGAAGAAGGTGTCATTAGGAGGTGATTGTGAAAATTTTAATATTGAAGAAGAAGAGATCAAAAATCATCATATGATTGAAAAATAAATTGTTAAGAATCGCTTACTCTCCCCAACTTTTGTTTCATAAAGACATCAAATAAATGATAGAGACATCTAATAATTAACCGAAGGCTTCTATTAACATGTGGCTTTAGTAAAAGGCACTTCCAAAATATAGGCTAGTAAAGCATAACAAGGTTTCCAATTATATGATAATCTGCTTGACTTGATGAAAATTATTCAACAAGAAAACTCCAATAAAAGTCCAATAATTACAAAAACATCTTCTTAGGGATTCAGACCTTAAACTGGTGTGAGTAGATAAATCAAGAGCAATCAAAGATCTAGACCTTTCAGCAGTAAACTTCAATCAGTAGGTGTTAGAGCATTTTAATAGTGAATCATTTTTCTCCTAATATTTAATAATCTTTTGCTGACTTCTATTTTATAGAATAAAGTCAATATTTAAAAATTAAATTATAATTTTATACTCATTTAAAGTAAACAATTAGATTGTTACTTCTAGTTATTAATTTATCAATTTTAATAAAACTAATATCATTCTCATATTTATTTAATCAAAAAATGTTAGATGTACATAGAAAAATAAAGTTTTTATTTATTAATTATAGAGAGACATTATTGAAATTAATAAATAATTTAATGAACTTCTTAGATAAGAGAAATAAAATAGAGATTCTTCAAGAGAGAGCTGCTCTTTATAATAAGGTGCAGGATGAACTTTATGAAAAGGAAGTCCCTGAATTCGAACATACAAAATTAATTAAACCAGTTTTAGATTAGCATATTGAAGAGTTTGCTACACAATAACCTCCTGCAAATCTTAATAGTCTAACTAGATCATTGCCTAAACCTCCTGTATCAGTTTTGACCACTTCTGCATTGATTTCATTAGGACTTGATAATTATGGGACTATGACTACTCAAATGTAGGATGTGAATCGTAAAAGGGAGGACGATTTTAATCATTATAAATAACTGAAAAAGGAAGGGCGATTAGAGGAACTCGTGAAACCACTAAAATAACAGAAGGAAAAAGATTAAGCTACTTAAGCAATTCTATTCAAGGTAGATCATATTAAAGATTATGAAGATAAAACTCACACAGGATATGGTTAACATAAGTCAGCACATAGAACATATTATGGTATTGAGATATGCTATATGATGTAGTTGTTGATGAGACCATGAAGGAGATGATCAATGAGCCAAACATAAAAAATCATCTGATGAAAAATGACTTAAATACATTTTTCGACTCTTACCTCAAACACAAAAATACTTTAAGAGGGGCGGTGAAGCAACCTGCTCGTGCAAAATGAATAAAATTAAGTTCATATTATTATATAAATGTTATTAAAGAAAGTTAAAACTAAATTAAAATAAATTTAGAATGATATTAAACAGTTGTAAGTAATACGAACAATTTGTTGGGCTTTGAGAGATTTTAGATTTGCTATTGCAGTAATTTATACAAGTTAATGAAAATGAATGATAAAAATTCACAAAATTGTACAAAGACAAGGAGATTCTTGAGTTGCCATATCAGTGTTGTATTATTTCCAATTTTCGACTATTGAAATCAATTCATCTAATACCTATAAACACTTCGTTCTTCTCTCTAAATTAAATTCGATGCTGTTTTTGACCATGCTTTATATAATTCCCATAGCTGTCCTTTCTCATATCTATATCCCCATCAGATAATGAGTGTTTGATTTTAAGTATAGGAGTCAATTGTTTGGGTGACTCACTATTATAAACTGATTGATTTATTCCAAATCTCTAATAATAATTTGATTCAGACATTTTTTATTATAAATTATATGATTTATTCATAAATTTGCATTCTTCCACAATTTATCAATGTATGGCTTGGATAATTCCAAAAACTTCTTCAAATAACCTTTCTTTTAGGCTACTTTCATAGCAATTAGGAAGGAAAAAAAGAGTGTGGCATTAATAACATGTCTTTAAGGCAACTCAGCAAATTTGAAACTAATAGATAGATATATTTTGAATACAATAATGATAAGGTCTGTAACTTATGTTTGGTAAATGGAGGGTATCTAATATTGAATGGATAGATATTTAAAGTAGACTTACTAAAAACAGGTTTAGCATGACTACAACCTTTGAATCCAGCGATTCCATGATAGGCTCCATATCCACTATTTCCAACACCTCCAAAAGGTAAATTTGGATCTAGAATGAAATTTAAATTTACTCAAAAGATGGAAAACTGAATCATTGAATACTAATGCGCCTGAGGATGTTTTTTATTCAAGCAGTTTTTTATGGTGGCTGTTGCTTCCATAATAATATAAAGCCAAAGGTTTGGGTCTTGAATTGATAAATTCAATGACTAGATTGATATTTTCAAATAGGAGAATAGGGAGAATTGGGCCAAAGATTTCTTCAGTCATTAGTTTAGAATCTACTTTTGGTTGTAAAATGATGGTTGGTTCAACATATCTTTGGTTGACATTTACTTAACCTCCTACGATTACTTATCCCTAATGGTCTTTGAGGAGTTCTTATAATCTTGAAGTGTGGAACTCAGTCACAATTTTTGAATAATCATTTGAATTTTAAGAGTTTTCTCCAAAGAATCTTTTTAGTTCAGTCTTTATTTCATTAATAAAAGCGTCTTTAATTGATTCATGAAGGAACACATAATCACAGGCAACACAAGTTTGACCTGCATTTGTAAATCTACCTTAAATAATCCTTTGAGCTGTAACATTCAGATTACAATCCTTATCCACTATGGTAGGTGACTTACCTCCCAATTCTAGTATACATGGCACTAGATTTTCACTGGCAGCCTTTGCAACCAACTTGCCTTTCTCTGGACTTCCAGTGAATATAATTAAATCTAATGGGAAAGTGGTAATCTTTTTTGAGACTTCTACACCTCCTTATATTACTGCATAGAAGGATTAATCAAGATATTTTGTAACTAAATCGTACATGGCTTTTGAAGAGTGTGGAGCAAGTTCTGATGGTTTAAGAATCACACAATTTCCAGCAGCGATTGCAGCAGCCATGGGTGGGATTCCTGTGTAAAGAGGATAGTTCCATGCAGCAATAACCAGAACTACTCCAAGAGGTTCATATATTATTTTGGATGACCCAGGACCAATGACCTATGATATATAATTAGAATATTACAAATGGTGTATCTACGTTGACTTCCTTACTCCATTCATCAATATGCGCCAATTGATTCTCCACTTCTGCTTTGGTGATGATGGTTGAAGTCATTTAACTACTGAACATTGTCACACCTAGATCCTTTTCTAAAGCAGTATGAAATTGCTGTTCCATCTCTTCAAGACCTCTTAGTAAATTTTTGAGTTGAGCCTTTCTAAATTTAACACACTTTGTCTGATGAGTACAAAAAGAATCCTTTAGCTTTTTGAAAATTGGTTCAATAACATCGGCATTATCTTGTATTTAATCCATCAAAATAATTAATTTAATGATAAATCAGGTTGATGACTAGATTTTTAGGAAGATGATTGATTAAACAAGTCCGTAATCAATAACAACCCAAAAATTATGTTTGAGATTAGGATACGATCCAAACGATCTCATCTATAAGTCTATTCCAAATTCTATCTTTTTAGATCCATTGAGTAGTTTCCATCGGTCTCGCCGGAAGTCCAAATGATGAAATACAATCATTATAAAAATAGGATGATGAGTATAATCTTTGAATATAAAAAAAGGGATCATTAATGAAATATAGGCAACGAAACAAAGACACAAATTAGGAGATCAATCTCTTAAGTAAATTTCTTTCAATCAATAAGAGAACAAGTTTTAATACTTCATTATTTTAGTTTCTCAAATCTCAGTGAAGAGAGTGTTATGATTGAGGAGAAAAAGGAGAAAAAGAGTTTATCGAGATAAAAAATACTGCACAATCTAATTTATTAATAATTGCAGGAGGAAAAAAGGAATGTGGAGTATTTGTAGAAACAAAATTCAAAATTACAGCACCATTAAAATCTTTAATAACGAAAAAGCGAAACTAGTTTTACAAAAAAGAAGGAAAGAGAAAGTAATAAAAATAAATCAAGTGAGGAGGTGGATGAATTAGAGAGAAGGAATCAATACTTTATTACATGCGTTGAAAATGAATCCAGGATCCAAGAATAATTGTAAGGCAGATTTTTAAAAAAGAATTTTAAGCATGATAATTATACTGAAAGAGCACATGAGAAAAAGAAACAACAAGAGACTTTATTTCAGTAAACTATTACTGAAAGATTGAATAAATTGTAATTAAAAGGTATGAATGTTCTAATCAAGAAACCTAGGCTTAAACAAAGGTGGAATTATACAAAAAAGATATGAAAAACTATTTTGCCTTAAAAAATAGTCAGATCATCAATAAATAAGAAAAAAGGTCTTAATTACTTGAATTTGAGCAATAGCAATACATTAAAGAATAATGTGAAAAAATGAAAAAGTTCTAAGAAACAAAATCCTAATTGATTTTAGATGAGAAAAAGAAATTTAAGGAGAGAAAAGAGAAGTATAACAAAATGCTAAGAAAATGTTAAGAAAGCAATTTTGAATAATCAAATGTATGAATATTGTTTAAATAAGAAACATTAAGAAGGGTTCAGCAATACTTATTAACAATTACTTTAGAAACAAGAATAGGTGCTTTTAAATAAAGAAAGGTTCTTAGAGTAGAAATCTCTTGTGCTCAAAGATAAATTATAATTGAATTTCGAAGATGTTGAGTTTAATAGAGCTCATGCTTAGAGGATTAAATTAAATACATAAGTTAAAATAAATGGAAATAAGGATACCAAGTCACAAATATCAAGTCGGACATCTGATACTTGGAGAATGAAAACTTAATTGACTTAAAAAGAATCGGAAAACTCATTATGGGAAAAAGCCAAGTAGGCAGCCTCTTTGTTTAAGGATCCAATTCAATATGAGCAATATGTTGAACAATAATAAATGATTTTGTTAAAAAAAAAAAAGTCGTTAGATAAAAAGTTCGCTACAGCTGCTTCAATAATAAAGGAAATATTACCTTAGCATGAAGCAGAGAAATTACTTATGCCAACAGGGTTGAAAAATTTTATAGAGCAATAAAGTCGTATCAAAACATAAAAATGAGTAATAATTTTTGTTTATTTCAAAAATATTAATGATTAAACTAACGGAAAAGTGAGCGGAATCCTTAATTAAGGCTCAAGTATAAATTTATCATAAATGGTTTTAAATAAAATTATATAGGTGTAGTAGTCATTTGTTAATAGTAGTGTCATATCTGAACTTAGGTATTTCTTTATTGCATTTTATTGTGGATTCCTTCAAAATAGGCTATTTTAAAATGGATAATAAAGTTCCCTTCTTTTTGGTAACCAATGCGAAGGACTTACATTCTATTTCTTAGAGTAATTATTCTGTCGTAAACTTTGTTTTTAAGGGATTCCCTTTTTGATCTGCAGAGAATACTTCGTAAGTCTCAGCATTTTCATTTATATCTTAATCATAATATATTTGAGTGAAATAATCAATAGCAGTCTCGATGGCCTGAATCATTAAAGAATCAGGAGTAATTTCAATTTATACTTATAACAGTTTGTTGGCAACTTTCAAACTAAAGTTATATTAGCTTAATTGCATTTCAGTCATGTATGCTGATTCAGCAAGAGTTGATGAGGTGGCCTTCAAGTTTTACTTAGACATGTTTTAAAAATTGATAATATTTTTATATAAATAAATCAGTCTTATTATTCAAAATTAGAAATAAAGCTTAGATCATTATCGATAAGTCGTTTTTTATTTTGTTTGATATCTATTTTTGAAACATCAACACTAAAAAGATCATTTCCAAATTCTTAATGATCATTTTTATGTTATTTTTTACTCTATAATTCAGCTAATAATAATTGAATTTCATTTTTGGTCTAATTATAATTAAAAATATTACGATGGCCACAACTGATTATTTGGGTGGTTAATTAAAAGCAATATTATTTGTATTTGAAAAGTATAAGAATGGATTGCTATATGATCTTTTGATGCCCTTTTTTTCAAGAGGCTTTTCTTCAATTTATTTCATTAATTGCAACTTTTTAACATTACTGAACTATTACTATTTAAATAGTTATTTACATCTAATTTCTTAAAGTAATCATTAAACATAGACATTAAAAATCCAATGCATTCCTATTTTGTCATATCATAATATTAAAGTATTTATCCTTATTATTATTGATAGTTCAATTTTTTTAATTATTGAGTATCTCCTCTGGCTGTTTGACAAATATATTTGGCATGCTCTTCAGAGGAGGAATCATTGATTTCTAATTGTGGTAGAATAGGTTTTTAAGTAATAACATTTTATTACTTTTAGGCCTATTGAGATTAGTTATGTTATTATTAGAGATCTTTTGAAGATGACTTAATGTCACATTCATTAATTTTTTACTATTAAGTTTTCATTGTGGACGATTATTAAGAATTGGGTTGTGTCTTCTATTGAAAGCGTGGACTGAAGATATTAACAGCAATGTCCTATTCTTAATTAAGAACGATGGAATTGAATGTAGTTTTTCTATTTCTCAATTGCTCCATTAAACTTTGGGTTTGCTTTTTATAAAAATGTAGCTCAATCTGTTATTTTTCATTTCTTTCATCTTTCAATTGGTTAGATTTGATGATAAGTTCATTTGTATCTAATATGGATTCATATTTTGAGAGTAGTGTATTGTACAATTATCGAATATGAATGTTGGCGTTTTTTTCTTTTTCAAACAATTCTTTAAATCCTTTGACCATCATTTCCATCTTATGCAATTTTTCTTAATATATCATTCTCTCATTTTTGCTTAAATATTTGAGTTACTAAGGTTCTGGAGAGAATCCATATCCCAAACCATTAGTACCATATAATTCTTGATGCAGAGACTCTAATTTTCCTCTATGATTTTAAACTTCTCTGTTCAGATCCAAATTGTCATCAGTCTTATCAAGAAACTCTTTAAAAACAAAATCTACTCTAAATCCAATGATTATTACCTTTCATACACTAATAATTCGTTTAACTGCGTAGGACTATTCTCATTTTAAAGATTTCTCTCTTCAAATGCTATTTAATTAGATTAAGACTATACGTAATTGACTTCTCTCAGTGTATTATTGGTTTCTGTAATGGATTAAGCTTCGGTAGTAATTTTGTTAAGCAAATTTCGAACATTTTCTAATTCTTCATGCAATTTTAAATTCTGCTCTGATGGAGTGACAATTTCAATTGATTTTACTAATTATCCTTCTCTTTCTTAGATAGGTTTCATTCTCTCCAATTCCTGGATTGCATATTCCTTATCATGGATATTCCTTTTCAAGTCTATTAACTTATATTCTAAATCGCCTATTAAATCTTTGTAATAGTTTTGCTGTTCTTCTGATATCTATTCTTGTAGTAGTAACTTCGTTTATAATTATTAAGCTATTTTCTATTGATTAGAGAATCCTTTCATGAGTTTCTCATTTTCTTCATTCAATAATTTTATTACGCCTTCCAATTGAGAATTCTGATAATTCGTGTAACACATCGACATTGTGCTGGAATCACTTGTCTATTTAATGATTCAACTCATTCGTACCTGACCTCGCTTGTTCATTCCGTCCATAGTAAGAGCCATAGCTTACTTATTTAGTTTTAAGGCATTTTCAAGATCAATAATATATTCCTACAATTACTTATTCTCCTCTTAGAGATAATGAATTTTAGATTATTGTCTATTAGAAACAAACTCGTTAACTTCTGTTCCCAAAATCATATTTTTTTCTATTTAATTAATTAATAACAAATGGGTAGCATAAGTTACAACAACAACATAAAAAGAGGGTAACTTGTTAAATGCAAGTTTTAATTGCATCCAACCATTTATTTAAAAAAAATCGATTATTTTACAGGTAACTGCTTGTTTTAATGTGGATAAACATGCAATTATATAAGCATAGAGGATTATTCTTAACTTCCCATTTAAACATATCAAAGGCTATTTGAAAGATTGTTCTCTAAGGATGGGGACTATTTTTATAAATTAAGAAATAAAATTTGTTGTAAAACTTACAACATGAGGATAGTTTTATAAAAAAATGCACCTTCAAGAAAACAAATGAAGTCTGCCTTAGCACTTTTAGATCGGTTAAATCTGTATGGTTAAGGATAGGATATAAACAAAAAGGAAAAACTTTAAAAAGAGGTCTTTAATTAGAAAGATTTATAGCACATCTAGGTCAGCTAATAGAAATAAGCTAAATATAGATAAATTCATAATCAAGAAAAAAAAACACTTTTTGACATTATAAATTCATCAATATAACTATGTAAGTCCTGTTTTGAGGAACTAACTTAGACAGAGAATTTAAATTTTACCTTATAAGAAAACGATTTGAAGATATTTCAACATTTAAATAAAATCAAATTTTATTCGAATGCAAATCTATTGTTATTTCATTTAAATCAAATCCCTATGAAAAGTAAAAACTATTCCCTTAATCAATTCAATGAATTTTTAGGAATTGCTTTAAATAAAAATTAAACACAAAATGAATTAACAGTTCAATAAAAACCAAAAGGATTCTTAACTCTAATACATTCTAAAGAATAAATTCAAAACGCATAATGTCAAAAATAAGGGTTAGCAAATTAATAATAATAATAGAAACCCTAAAAATTTATTTAGAAAAAATAAAAACAATAAAGTAATTTTAAAAATAAAAATTTGATAAACCCTGAGACCTTCACATTTTAACAATTTTAGGTTGGCCCTCTTGTTATCACTATTAAGTATTCATATAATTTAATAATTTTTTAGAGATTTAGGTTAAAGTAGAGACATAATTGACTTTATATATTAGTATCATATGGTTGTGCATAATAGACCAAATACTGATGAGGAAATCATAAAATTATATTGTAGAAATTACTTAAATACTCAAACAGTTTTAGAGGATTTCAAACAAAATATTAAAATAAAATTAGGCCAAAGATGTATGGAGTATAGATTAAATGGTAAACTAATTGCATTGGGGACTATTATATTAACTTAAGAGTATTTTGTTTCGGAATATTTTTTCTATCTTCCTGAGTTGAAAAACTTTAATTTTGGAGTGTTTTCAATTTTAGTTGAAATTGAGTATGCAAAGCAGATATAAAAATATTTCCCAAAATTCAAATATCACACTCTTGGCTATACTTCATTTAGAACAAAAAAAATGGAATATAAACTGCAATTCAGTGGCACTGAAATTCAATGTCCAGATACATATATTTGGACTGAGTACAATGATTAGGTTAAAGCCAAAATGATAAGCTAAGATTTTAAAATCGATACTCCAATTCAAGTAGCACCATTAGACTTCTCAAAAGTCACAGTTTAACTATATGATGTGAATGTAAAAGCAAACCTCGTGTGCGATGATTAAAACTAGGATGAAATCTCGAAATATTTTTTATTCTATGCCAATGAATTAGGAAATGAACTTATGTATGATTTCAGATTTATCTATAATGAGGAAATATTTTAGCTTTGATACCATTATTACGCATTTATAATTAATATATAATATTACTTATAGCTCTAGACATGCAGTCGTTTTAAAGTAATTCAATAAATTATTGATAAAAAATTGTTAATTTATCATTTAAATTATGTGAATAAAAATTTACAATGTATTTTTAACCTTTCTCGTTACATGACTATATTTTATATTGATTATTTTGTGAAACAAAAATGGGATGTTGCTGTTTGTATACAAGTACATAAACATCGAATTCTCAGACCTAAAAGAATTAGCAAGAGAGTAAACATCATTGTTTAACATTATTGAAAAAATTGAGTTCAAATAAATCATCTTGCTTATATGAATGTGGCAAATACTAATATATCTATTATCTCAAACCAATAAATAATTTCAGTATTGAGACTATGGAACTTCTACTTGAAAGAGGATTTGTGAGAAATGCTAAGTATTATCGAAAATACAATCACAACTAGTCTTGTTGTGTAGGCTATAACACAAGAGTTAACATATAAGAAAATTAGCCAAAAAAAAAATAGAAGGCTATAATTGATACCTTTGTTAATTAGGTTATCAAGCAATATCCCAAAGTTGATTTGGAGGGTTATGCTCTTTTAAATTAGGAAGGTGATTATCCTTAATAAATGAACAATTAATAAAATAAAAAGCAATTGAAAAAAATTTAAAAACATATCCCTTTGGAGGATGTTCAAGACATAATGAATTAAGTCTAGTAAGAACTAATAACATGTAGCAGATTGATAAATGAAGAGATCGATTTGAATCTAGATTTTTAGATCAAAGATTAATAACAATTAAAGATTTTTGGGAACTCTGAGGATCTTGGTTATTACACAAATCACAACCTAATATTGTTTGATTAAAATATACGGGCATTAAAATCAATCTAAATGGTCCAATAGTAATTTAATTAAATGATAGGGGCCAAATTAAATGAGAAAGTTATTTTGGATAAGTATAAACTGTTGTAGAATAAGAATGGTTATTTTAATATAGTTCAAATTAGAAGTGAATAGGGAATAAAAAACAACAATAAGAAATAGGGCAATTATTCTGAATTAAAAAACAAATAAGCCAAATAACCTAAATAAGAATAGAAGGAAATTCAGAAATCAAAAGTTATTGATATTATAGATCATAAGACATTTACAGTGAATGATTTTAGGATAGGTGAAATGAGAGTGTCAATAGTGTATTATAAATGATTAAAATAGAGATCCCTACACAAGTGAAGAAAACGCGAAGCTTTATCTAGATTACATGGCTAAAGTTCATTCTTAAATTTCAAATCTTGAAAGTTTTCAAACGTATTACTCAACGCGCATTCTATTGAACGATTAATTCTTATATAATTAAGGCGCGAACGTAAAATTGAACTTAGGTTAGAGGTTTATGGAATATCGTATAAGAGGAAAATTGATTGGATGTGGAGTCATAATATTAACGAGATATCAATTATTGTCTGAATATTTATTCTACGATCCTAGTTTAAAGCATCATAGCTTTTGGAATTGTGGCTGCTTTTGTGGAAATTGAATATGTTAAAAAAATCAACAAGTATTTTCCAGATTTCAAATATTCATCTTTGAGTTATGTGATTGCCACTTGCAAAGCGATGAATTACAAATTGTAGTTCACAGGTTTGGAAATTCAGTGTCCTGATTCATATGTTTGGTTGAAATACAATAAGGAATTGAAGAAATTGATGTAGAGCAATTGTTCGAGGTTGAATAAGGAGAGATAAAATAAAATGAATTATAACTAAGATTTTTCGTAAGTTTAGGTATCAGTTTAAAATGAAATACATGAGATCGACCAATTGGATCCCTAGACTTAGATGGGAGTAATGGATATCTTGTTGTATAATAAGGATGTGCTTGGGGAAGATCTAATCAAGGGGTTGACGTTTTGTATTTGAGTGGATATTTTGAGGAAAAATCATTTTAAATATTTTACTACTTCATTTATTAATTAATACTTCAATCTCAGTATAGTATGGTAAAATTTGTTTACTACTATCCATCAATTAACATGTCCAATTTTAATGTTTAATTAAAATTTGATAATGAATGTTTTTTTTTGGAATTAATAAAAAAATCATTCTTTTCTTTTTCTCAATGCAATTTATCATAATTTGGTCTAAAGCAAAATATTAAATATGAAACATAACAAATAATAGAGTCATTACGTTCTGGACTTCTCAGACATAGAAGACATCTCGGATAATGAGTCAGAGAGTTCTAATAAGTCGAATCAACAATAATAAATTAATCAAACTACTCCAACTCCGAACAGAATAGAATTGCAGATTCCGAATATGCAAGTGAAAAAAGAGACAGTCGAAATTCCATCAATCTTGATACAAGAAGAGGAAGAACCTGTAATAAGGAGAAAGTTGGATTTTTAAAATTAACAATGGTAGGTTAATTTTGATGAATTGTCGGAATAAGATCAACAAGAGAGTGACAGGTCAGCGGTTGCTATAGAAATCCCGAGAGACCCAAGTCCACCTACAGTAGCAGTTGAAGAACCTTAATATATTGAATAATATTTTGAAGATCAGAATGTGATTGAAGAAATAGATATTGAATAAGAGTAATTGAAAATGGAGTAGAGGAAGGAACAATTGAAACAAGATCTAATAACTAAGAAACATTAACAATAAAAGCAGATTCCAAAGGTTCAATAGGTTTAAAAGGAGCAATAATAAGTCTAGGATGTAAACTAATAAAAAAATAAAAATTCTGAGGATAAATCAAAGTAAGTTTGTAAATAGAAATTTTATAATCCCAAAAATTCATTGATTTATTTGAGATTAAAGGGGAGGGAGGATTTATATAAAAAATAAGAGTATGTAATAGATGAATAGACTAAACCTTAAGATTAGGATGAATTATTAGAAGGACTGGAGTGCATTAATAATTTATTGATTGGATTGTCTAAAATTAAGGATAAGAAGGTAGGTGTCGTTGAAAAGTAATAGAAGATATTGCCATTGTAGATCTAAAAGCATCGTTTAGATGATAAAGGAGATCATCACAAAGAGTCTAAACTTCAAAAGAAAGATGAAAAAGAAAAAGAAAAGGATAATGAATAATAAAAATAGAATACTAAGGATGCTCAAAAAAAGGATCAATAAATAACTGAATTAAATATTAAATAGTAATAGTTACAAGAAGCTCAATAAGCTAGATAGATCAGACATGAAAAGTAATAGTAGGAGAAGGAAAAGTAGAGACTATTAGAATAAAGGCAAGTTTATAAGATTCTAACAAAGAAGCAAGTCAACTAGGGATTAATACTCTACAAGTGCTAATTAAGATAAAAGCAAAAGGACTCTATAAAATGGTTAAGATATTCAGAGATTGCTTTAATAAGCAAAGGTGAAAGTGAGATCTTCAATTTTGAAAAGAGAATATCAGATCAATTATTTATGTAATTGCACAAGGCCAATATGAGATCGGTGGTAATAACTAAATAAGCTATGTTTGATGTAGTAACTATACATTATGTGAAAGAATAAAAGGAAGTTGAGGAAGCCAAATAAAAGGACAAAGGATAAGTTGGGAAAAATGAAAGGGAAAATCAAATTGTTGAAGAAAAATAAATCAAAGAGAAGAAAGCAATACAAAATAATGATAAAAAGAAGAAGAATTAGGATTAATAAAAGAATGAGGTATAATAATAAAAGAGTGATAAATAATAATAAAAGGGTGAAAAGCAATAATAAAAAGGTGATAAATAATAATAAAAAGATAAACAGTTAGAATAGCTATAGACACAATAATTGTAATAAGAGAATGAAAAAGATTAATAGGATGCTAAAAGAACAAAAAATAAAGTTAGTTATTTGGAAAGTGATGAGGAAAAGAAAGATGAGGATCTATTAGATGCTGATTCAATTTAAATATTCAAAATTACTTAAGAGAGATAAAGAAAAATAGATAAGAAAGATAAAGAATAGAAATAACCACAAAGTAATTAGTAATAGGTTGAAGAATAAAAATAAATTGAATCAAATGAACTAAATTAAAATAATAATAATAATTAAAATAAGGAATAAAAGAAAGTTAAGAATCTGAAAATAAAAGAATGTCCATTGAGTAGATTGGAAACTAATGATGAAATTAAGAAGAAAGAGTAAATTAATTAAAAAAGAAAAGAAAAACGAAGGTAAGAATATCAATAATATTTGAATGAAATAGAGCAAGAACAATTAGTTGAAGTTACTCATTCAAAACACAAAAAATAATAAAAAGAAACAAAATAATAAGAAACCAATAAATAATAAATCAAATCAAGTAATAAAGGTTAAAAAATCAATAATTAATAAGAAATCTAGAATTTGGATGAACAAACTAATTCAAAAGATAAAGAAGAAACTAAACAGTCTAATTCTACAAAAAGAATAGGAAGGTAAAATACTAGAAATCATAAATCACCATCTCCATCGAAAGAATCGATCGAACCAGGTTATGTGTCTTCCAAACGTATATATGAAAATAGAGATCAAAAGAAAAAGAGGCTCAAGGTTTTAGAAGATGAAGAATCTGAATTTAGCTAACAAAATGTCAAATAGCCCCAAGTAAAAGAGCAAAAAAAAAGAGTTAGATAAAAATGAGGATATATTTTATATAATTATCAATTTTCTTGTAATTTAAGATAAATAACAAAGCATAATATAATTAGTATTAAAATGTAATGAGGATTAGAAATCTATTTGAAGAATTTAGTAATTAGAATTGAGTTTCAAAACAAAGAAGTTAATCATTCAAATAATGATAATTGTAATCATTAAAGCATACAAAAATGGATAGTATAAAGCAAGATGCTACAAAAATAGTATTCAAATTAAAGCAATGAATGATATGCATCATATAAATGGTGATAGTATTTTAACATCTACTTTAAATAGTGAAATTATAATATTTAATTAACATAATATTTAAAAACAATGTAAAGCTAATTCCCTAGTTAATACCCCTAATTTGATGATTTAGAGGAAATAAGATAGTTCATAACAAGCAAAACAAATGCTATTGATCTCGGCCTTCAGATGCCACCCTACTTGTCATCCTTTTACTAGCCATTGAGAAAGCAAACTTTTTAAAATTATTTAGTATAAATTGTGATTTTAAAAATGCTAGGCTGCCAAAGTAAGCGATCCAAATTAGAGGAAGCAGGCAATCTACAAATACATTCAATTAGTCGATATCGAAATATTGAGTTTATTTTCTGAATAGATCATTAAGCCCTATTAGAATTTGATATTGGTGAGACACTACGGGATTCCTTAAGATTTGGATGTGGAGAAACTAAAATTGGACAATAAGACATTGGGGGCATTGAATGATTTGGCTAGTTCCATAGCATAGTGGAATCTTTAAATTGAAATAGCTGTCGACAATATTACGAGAGTTCAGTTGTACGACCTTTGGAATCCAACAGGAAAGATTAAGGAGGCCTAATTGACAGCTGAAATCAAGGGAATTCTCAGTCCATAAGATGATTTTGATTTTAAGGTATGTAAGTAAATAAAATTAGACCTATTCAAAACATATATTAATAAGATTGTTGGCTTAGGGAGCAGACAAATTTGGAAAGTATTTATATTCAAATGGTTTATCTGAATCAAATTTGTCATATGGTGCAGCCTTAGTGATATATCACACCTTGGTTGGGAAGTCCGCTTTGCCATGGAATGTCATAATCCCTAATGTCTCATTAAAGTGGCTGGTATTGTTATGAATATAGCATGTAGTTTGGTGGATTGGTTGGATCTTTAGCTTTGGGTAAGGTTTCAACGTATTTGGAGAAATGTGATTAGGTGTAATAGTTAAGTGGATGTGCAGAGGTGTTTTAAGAGATTACAAGTTTTCTGATTAATTTCAATGAAACCATATCTGTTGCAATAAGTGAAGTATTACTGACAGTGAATGAAGAATAAGAGAAATAGAAGAAATAAAGTAATAAGTGTTTGATTTTAAATAGATTTGGGTAATCTGATTGATTAATTCCTTGAATCGCCAGAATCGATTAAGGATGGTTAGACTGAAATAATTACTTGCGAGGATATTATTAAACATGAATAGGATGAGTGGCAAATAATTTAATGATTATTATATATGCAAAATAATTTAAATACTGTTATTATATATATTTCATAGATATAACATAATTACTAATGGAAGAAGTAGATGTTACTGATAATTTTGATTGGATTTAGTTGAGTTAAACAGTGTGGGAATAGATTCAGGACCACTTTGACAAAAGCTTTTATATTGATTCCAATGACATTCATCCTTTCTAACCAAACATAATTCTTCTTGGTAATTGTAGTTGCATTACAAAGTGCATGAATTTAATAATTAGCTCCATTCACACTTCGGGGATTGTGAGCAAATTGCAGATGTCATCAGATCATTGCATAAGAGTGAGGAACACTAATTATTAATGAAATAGCAAATTCCTTTGTATGAGTTGCATTCACAGACCTCTTTTATGAATTCACATTACACACATTTGTAATTTCTTAAGACACATGCATAATTGTTGACCTCATTGCCATGACATAATGAAGAGGATGTACCCAACATTGAACATGATTGTGATGTGCATATCTTAGTTGTATCTAGTAAATTTTGTTATTGCCAATTGCATTTTTGATTGTTGACAGTCAATTAGTTACAGATTGCTGGGTCATTAATTTCTTAGCAAGATTTTATGAGTTAGCATTAATTATTGATAAAAGCACAATTCTTCGTAAATTCACATTCTTGTTGTTCCTTGATATTATTGCATTGTTTCAATTTGCAAGTTCCATCAAAAATGCAATATTAGTTAAGACAGGACTCTGAGTATTTACAAATTAATTCAAAATTATTATATGAGTAACATTGACTAGTGTTAACTATCTACAAACAAGCAGTTCCTTTGAAATAGATATTTTAACAATCATAGGAATCTATAATGTCTTCACATCTACTTGCCTAAGCACACTATTTATATTTGTTGAGGTAACACTTTAAGTTATTTAAAGTCTAACCCTCACATTCATTTTATGATAAATGTTGACACTATTTAAAAGAACACACATTTTGTTAATATCTGCATGAATTCTACATCTGACAATCCTATTTACTTAGATTATAACAAACTTCAGTGGAGGGAGGACAACCACACTTGGAAAAGTCATGATTCCAAATACAATACGAAAGTTATTTGCATGCATTGATATTTAAATTGTCACATTTAGTTTTGGTCAATTGATAAACACATCTTTCTTCAATTTCATTATATTCAACATAACCATTGGCTAACATTCTACAGGTAAGTTCATTTACATTACTCAACGATATATATGATTCTTGTAGGTTATCAAAATATTAACATTTATTATCTTTGAATATACATGGTTCATATAAGACTTTCATGCATCCCTGTTTATTTAATCCAATAGTAGAACAAGTCAATTGATGTGGATTATAGATACTAGTGCAAGTCTAATTTGCAGAATTAAAAAGACACAACTTATCCTTGATTAACACACATGATTCTCGAGTGACTTGTAGATCATCATCACAATAAAGTTTGATATCGATCAATTTACACTAATCAGCATGCCAATAATAATAGCCACTCTTGCTGAGACAAGCAAACTTAGAAATGCCTTCTAATTTAGTGTTATCAACGTAATTTACACAGCTATTATTATTGCCATATTGACACTTAAGTTAGGGTATCAATGAACAAGCCTTTATAGAAACATTAGTAATTTCACTGCATTGTGAATACTTGGATTAGATTTAAAAATTGACACATTAATTATCGACATATTGACATGCATAATTCTTATTATTGACACATGTAAATTTACTTATTCCCTCAGAATCGCAATGTATATCATCCAATACAATACACGAGTTATTCATGTAAACCCTATTCTAAGAGAAGTTGCGACATACATTGATGTTAACGTTGATCATGAATTAGTCACCCTCTTGATAGTTTAAACATCTGAGATTAGACCATTTGCAATTTTAGGATGGATTAGTAATTCTAAGGCAAGTCCAAACATTGATGTCAGCATTACACGATAGAGTTGAAAATGTGGAGTCATCTTGGATATTCATGCATTAATTATGAATCCATTGACAGTAAGTGTTTGGTGTATGCAATTAGAGACAATCTGATAGGGTTAGTTAACTCTGACATGCAATATTGACAATTGGATCACCTAGATCGATTGAAGACTTATATTATATCTGGTTGTAATTTAGGATATTTGTGCATTTATATTGTACATATGTTGTTTCCTGCTTTGAATAATAGATGCAGACATTCTTATTGGCTGTGGCTGGTAAGTTAAAGAAATCCACTTTGTGATTCAATACATATTCTAGACAACCTTTATTAGTATCCCAGATACAACTGAATACATCATTCAATAAACAGGATTGCTAATTGTAAATAGAAAGACAAGATGTAATCTCCAATATTTCTTAGCATTGGTTATTATTCCATTCACAGGTTTTATTGATGACACTACGACATGCAAATTTACTATAAGTAGTATCACATTCGACTGGAGTGTATGAGAAACTTTCACATGAGTTAGTCTATTAGTTGTACTTACATTTGAGATTCTAGTTGTTTCTACAAAAGTTGATGTAACCATTGGAAAGTTAGCATGAAGTGAAATCCTCAATCTTAATAGAACATTTTGAATTTGTCCATTGGCATATTTATCGAGTAATATTCTTGCATGTATATTCTGAAACATCATCCTCACATTTCTGTAATATAAAATTAGCATCCTCACAAATGTCATCTTTCCAATAGCAATTGGCAAGTTTGGTTTCCGTCAAACAAGCCTCTCGATTTAAACCTAGACCTGTACATTTAAATACAGACTTGTATGTAGTTGTAGCCAATGATTCGCAACCTTGTTAATTCGACTTTTAGATACACTTTAAACCACTTATTTTGGCACAAAGACCTTGAGAGTTTAAATTAGTTGCCACCACTTAGGCTTCACAACTAGTAACTGCAAATTATGTTTTTGTATCTTCTGAACATAAATTGTCATTTGAATTCCATTGACAATTTAATCTGGCTACTGCCAAACAAGCATTTTTATTAAGATTAGCGCATGAGGTCAAATAGGTGGCTTATTTAAGTGTTAATTCAACACATTCCTTATTGTACCATCTCAAGTAGAGAGTAGGTGAATAAACTGATCCTAGTAAATAACATGCCTTTTGATTCAATTAATTAGTGTAATGCATTAATTTCAAGTTATCTGTTCTAATAGAGACCGTAGGACAAGTCCAATCATCATTATTAAAGAGGTAGGCAGCAGTCTCAATCTGAACACATCCATATCTATTAATTTTACTCGAAGCAGATAATGATGAGGATGTACAGGATTGATAAACAGAATTAACATAATTAGCATAGCATGCCAAATTAGCAAAGATGCATTGGATTTCAGATTAGATATCTGAGCATGAGTTAAAGTAGGAATAATAAGTGAGTTTACAAAGATGAGTATTGAAATCGTAAGCACATTGATTATTATCATTATCACTTATGGTTTAACAAAGATTATAATTGACCTGGATATTTTAGATACTAAGACAACTTGGTATATTTGATTCAACATGTACACATTCGTTATTTATATATTAGTACAACAAATTATTCGTATTATTATCTAAGCAATTCTGACTCAGAGTAGTTTCCTTAATCTAACATAAATTTGTAGTAAAATCATAAGAACAATTAGGATACTGCTTGCAAAAGTGGAATGAAGTATAATCAAATTGATTGCATGTAAAGGAATCAAGTTCTGTTACATTAAAGCAGATACTATTGTGAAATACACAATATTATCCTTTTAATTTATTATTCACACATTAATCCTTGTTGATGATCTCATTACAAGTTCGAGGTAGCTAAAATTAACAATACCCATTCAAGAACTCGCAATAGATATTTTGGGATTTGCAAACACTCTAAGATAATCCTGGAAGATCACAAGGCACATTATTGACTTGACCAACAATGCATTGTGAGTTGAAACCATAACAATTCTATGCACTCATTGAGCATGTTGACCAAGAATACGTTAAGATGGAATCTACTCTCTTGATACAATCAAAGCTTTATGGCAAACATTGTTTAAGATTAGAATTATAGACACATTTTAATTGGTTACTAGTAATGCATGCTTAGTAATTTCTCACTTCACATGCCACTGGATTATGAGTTCTATGATATTAGCATTGATCTTGATAGAAGATGCATTTCCCAATAGTCCATTATAAACAAGCAGTCTACGACATTGCCAATAAATGGCAATAAGGTATAATGGATGATGTTAAGGCAATACATTTCATACTAGTGGTAGAATAATAACAATTATCTGTTGCTTTACTGCATATTATCTTATTAGTTGAAGTACTTGCTGCCAAACTAGTACATGTTGACTTATTAAACTCTTAATTAGTGCATCTGGTATCTATGTAATCGAATTTCTAAAAGGTTGTGAATTTGCATCCTTATGATGGATTGGCAATTTATTTACAAGCATCAGCATTGGCTTGTTCACACAACATTTCACTCAAGTACAATTAATCTAATCTACTCGATGTATTTGATACATCAAAACATTTGTTCTGATCAAATAAACAAGTTCCAGTAGTATATTATACGCATCTGTGAAAATTGATTGATTGACTAGCACCACAATCAGTTAAAACATCATTTCTTACTTCGCAATTTAAAGTGCTCTCATTGAATTAGCAATGATGGTAATAGTGATATTAAATAGAGGTTGAAGCTCTTTGTGAAGTACAAGCCTGTCGATTGAGTTAAAATTGATCGCAGTATTGGAATAGCTGATCGTATTATCTGCATTCAGCGAAGTAAGTGTCCCACATGCATTTCTAATTCTGAGTCTCAATGCTCTTACATGTTGATTATGATACATAGGCAGTACAACTCAACTAGCTTAGCATTTCTTAACTAGTATCCATACATTTATCATTCAAAATATCGTAATAACACTTACTAGTAGATTATAAACATGCAAATCTATTAAAATTGGATGAGCAATTGTTAATAATGATATCATTGTAACATAACTTTAGCTTTTCATCGTAAATACATGGTTGATTACTGTATACATTCATAACACACACATTTCGATTTACATTTCTCCATGAGATGCATTGAATATTATTCACTTCCTATATTGACAATTCTACGCACTTCCCTTGATTCCATTGTCTGAATTGCTTAATGACATTCACATTGTAGCAATCACTCTCCTCTTAAATGAGTTGATCTTGTTGGGATCCTTCATAACAGGAGAATGACTCCCAATCATAGAGGCAATCATTAGTCGGATTTCTCACCTTAGCATTAAGACAGACTCTGAATGACACATTGGTTAATTGGTTGCAATAGTAGGTATCACTATTCAAAATAGTCATACACTAATTCAAATAGTCATCCCATTTACAGAGATCATTGACAATATTATAGCAATGGTACTTGTTAATCATTCTGTTGTTGCAATTAATTTGTAATTTGACCTAATATTCACATTGGTAATTAATTGGATTAAACATAACTAAAATAGTCTATATAAATAGATATACAATTATCTTTCCTAAAGTTTATACACATATTCCTGTTCATTTTGTACACATATGGCAGTGTATTAAACAAGTACTTCAATTCGTAATCAATGAAATTAATGCATTGTTCATTATACCAAATGCAATGTTGATCCGATTTCTAGATTTTCAAGCATACATACTTGTTGAATGCTTGTTGGCATGTCAATGAAAATGCGTAAGCCTCGCTCATCGAAAAACAATGACCGTCTTACCAATCACAATAATCTTACAAATATTTACAATAATAGATATCTATTCCTAATTGATTACATCCATACAAAGGCATACATGACAACAGGTCATTCTGTTCATTTTCATCGATGCCCTGCCATAAACAGATTCCACTGGATAAACAATCAGGTTTCTTCCTAAGACTAAAACAAAAGTTTGAACAATATTGTTTGTTGATATCAAAATAACAGTACTTTATTTGTTCACATCGATAATAAGGTTCGAAATCTCGTTGTAACATGCATTCCTAGTCCAAGTCAACCTTTGACTCCCCTTCTCGACATGTGAATTCTTGAGTTTTGTTTGGGATGTAGCATTTCCTTGTTTTTGATTTGTAGATTGAACATAACTAATAGCTCAATTATTTGCATTAGATCTGATTGTCATCAATAAAGGAAGTAGTAGCCAATAGAGCTGGCGACACTTGTTGACATCTGCCATTCATAAATATCACAAAACTAGTGTTTTTTTCGACGTACTTGCAATAGAGATGATTGACTCCAAAAGTATCTTGAGACAGATTAATTAAAAGGTTGAAATCGTCGTCATCTCTAATGTCAATGGCATTGCATCCCAGTCGAAATCTGTTGCTTTCGGTTTAATACTTCTCCCCAAACATAAAGGGTTTGAAGAATTGATTTCGGGTATAGCTATTTTATAATAAACTTAAATCTTAATCTATTTTTTATGCTGAATTCAATATATATTGATTCACTTCCCACTACAAATCAGGCTCATATGACAACAATTCCCATAAGACTGTGTGATGGATGACCAAATAGTTGGTTACATATTGACAAGCATTACTACTGTAATAGACCACGTTAAAGTTCTCCTGGATTTTGTTGATATCTTGTCCCGTGACAGTCAAGCATTGGTTGTTCTCCCATTTACAAATAGAGTGTGGATTCTGTATTGCTAGACAGCCGTATCGGTTGAGATTATCGGAGCATTGTTCGCTCTCCAAATCATTAATCTACTAGCATCTTCCGTCGAACTTGCCTTTCATTAACACATTTAATACAGTATGCGACTTTTGCGATGCTGGATCCCAATTGGGATGTGCACCCGACTTTATTTATGTAGATATTGCATCCAATTAGATAATTATCACTTTCCTTGCATTATTCAAACACGAAATCCCACATGCCTAATCTGAATCACATACTTACAATAAACTTATTCACTTGAAATGCATTCCGAGTAAGTTTGATGCTCTAAACACTTATCTATCAGACCAAGCGTACTTTAGCATAAAAATAATAAATAAACAATCATCATATTATAATAATTATTATATAATAATCCTCCCAATAATCATTGAATTCATTTGGATCTAAAAATTGGCATGTAATCATTTACAATTTAATATATCTAGAAACCATGAACGAAGAAGAATCCACCTCATTCCATCAATTGTCAGCAAACGACAGAGCATCCAATTTACAATACATGTAAACTTGGTTTCTCAATCAAAAATTAGCCATCACCAACACTGAATTGCTCACCACACAAATCTTTGAAGATCTCAAAAAACAATGCGAATTACAAATCGATATCCTCCAATCCTCCCCAGAATTCCAAGAAACCAAACTATTGCTTAACTCCTTCTATGCCCAAGCACACAGAATCAACTTGAAAATCAAGAGAAAAACAGAACCTCGCTCCCAATTCCAAGACAGAATCAAGTACTACAAAGTCAACGAGGATGAGGAAGTCGAAAAGAACAGAGAAATATTGATCGAAGTCAAAAAGAAACTGCTCTGTGTTATTAGAATATCCAAAGCCATCCCCTTCGTCATCAATTTCATTAAATCCTAAAATGTGAGAGACAAACAATACAAACTCACCTTAATGGTCGAAGATGCCTTGTTAGACGGCATCAATTGGTATCTTATGCTCCACAATATCAAAGACTCCTAATGGAATAAGGAATTGCCATAGGAATGCAAACTAAAGGAAATTCTCCACTAATTGCTCACCATCATTTGGCAATAGAGACAGGACTTGAAGAACGAATTAAATGAAATCTTCTTTCGGTTAAAAAAGACCCAACTTATCAAATTGTTGGATAAGCAAGGGGAAATAGGTGAAAAGAACGATGAGTTCACATAGCAATCTACCCAAATCTTAAAACAATTACAAGAGTTTTGCAGTGGACTTGAAACCATCAAACTATCACCCAATAAAGCAAATGGATTGTATTACTTATAAAGGATCCTACTATCGTATTGTTGGGTCAAACAGATTGAACTCTCAGAAATACTCTATCACACCAGAATTTCAGGTAGACTAGATAAATTAAAATAAGACAAGGATCATAGCAATGTCATTAGATTAAGATAGAAAATCACATTCTTAAGATTCGTATATCGAATTCCTGCTGTTAAAATGTGGTGTGAATAAAATCAGATCATCCCTTTTGAAATGCAATCAAACATACCTCAATACCTCCAAGAAGAATATGATCAGTTCATGAGTGATAAAAAAGAAAAACTCTTCTCGGATACAAAGGAAGACTATTTCATTGAGTCCCAATTGAAATTTCTAGTCAAGAATTTTCAACTTTACAAAAACAAAATCAGAGTCATATTCAATGACTTACGATTCATTTAGAATAAACAAGAGATATATGAACTATATAAAGAGTATGTGTATGATGGTGATATTGATAAGGTTTAGAATCTACAATTCTAAAAACAATAGAAGGATATCATAATTGCTTGTTGCATACGGAATTTAGAAATCAAACTCTCAAATGAAGATTTCACTAAGTCAGTTTTCCCTCTTATTAAGTTCAACTTCCTATTAAAAAAAGAGAAGCACTTTCAATTCCAGCAATCCTCATATGATAAGTCTTATTACTCCTTCTTAGCCAAGCCTTCGATTGTTAAGATATTTCTCATCGACATCTTGGCTCTAGAGTAGCCATTTCCGTATATTTTTGAATACATCTATTATGAAGACGGGAAGTTACAGCAATCTATGAAAAGCACTACTCTTTAAGGCTAATTCTTTTATTGTCCCCAAGTGAGAGAACATTTATCCAAAAGATATCAATTTAATATCAAGTTAATTGAAAGTGAAAATAGAGTGACTTTTACTTATCTACCAACTATTCACTATGATTATGTTAAACCAGCTGCAACCATCTTATGGGAAGACATACTGTTATAGGATCTCAAACTCATTGAATTCAATAGACATTAACTAGTAGATGAAATCAATTTTATGGTTCACAGTCATCAATTCTAGACAATCAAGCAATAAATATCACAAGAATCAAAATATTTTAGTGATCATCTTAAAATTATGAATGAGCTCGAAGTATTTTGTAGTTTGAATTACAATGGAAAGAAGCTTAGATGTATATGATGATTCTAATTTATCTATTTAATTAATATATTATGATCTATAAAAAGTCTATATATCTTAGAATTTATTGTTATATTATATTACTATAATGAGTAATCACACTCTAATGTATTTTTAAAACAGATTATTAATGTAAAGGTATTAAAGTAATGTCTATTTAGAATTTATAATTATTATTTTAATAAATTTGCATTAATTAAATTTCAAGACAGTTATAATTATTACTTAATAATAAGTTCATTAAAAATATTTAGTAAGTCCATTTTAGGTATTTAGGGTTTGAGTCTCAAAATCATTTGAATCAAGATTTGATAATCAGTTGCACTGTAGATTCCAAAATCTAAGATTGCTTATTCGATTTCATTCAACAAATCCTCGTACTCTATGTTAAAATCCTTGACTGTCAATTCTACTTGGTGCCAAGGTCTAGAAAATATAGAGTAAATGACTCACATTTGATCATTCTTCTTATTCACTTTTACTTCATTAGTCTTGATTTTATATAAAGATCCTAATTATATGGTGCTGAATGGAAAAATCTTTTGAGGAGATTTCAGATTTTTTTATCTTCTCAAAAGGGGTTCTTGGAATAGCAATTAGGTTTCATCGCGAATATTTTTAGGACTCAATGATGTGAAGCTCTCAGAAATAGTCTTGCGTCTAAACAAATAAGTTGGATAGAGCAAATAATCTTATTTTCTATTGACTCTCTTGCAATTCATAGGTTCAATACTTTGCTTAGGAGAATTGGGAAGTTTTCGTGGCGATATTAAAATCTGAGGGATTTGCTATGATATTTCCTTTAACTATTATAAATGATTCCAAATCTGTTGGGATATCATGTTTCTACCACCCAAATTACGCGCATCTGGTGTAAATGGAGGCATCATTCACTTTGAAAAAGTTGTTAAATATAATATAAATTCATTTTTATAATCAAAGTCACATCTCTAATTTCCTTCACATCCTCAATAGATATTCAAATGTAACCCAATCATAATTGGTACTCTACACTAATAATACAATAATTATTAGTAATTATTAATAAAAATAATCAAACAAATAGTTTTTCAGTTTGTATGTTTTCCAAGAATTGTTTAAACTCCCGCATGTTTCTATTGGCTCCTTCCAATGTTTCTTTGATCTGATCCCACTTTTGGGACTTTTGGCTATTATGAAATTTAGTTGATTTGAACTGGGTAGGCTCAGTTTTCAATTTCGGAGTGAAATTCCTGTTGGTTAGCATGCCTAAGGGTTTTCTAGGGGACATAGGCTATTGGATATTTATTTATTTGATTTTCTACCATATATGTTACGGCTTTTGGAATAAGATTGATCATATACGACATCAAATTTGTCCAATCTAGGCAATGGACCATCCGGCGGGACACCTCGAAATGGCTTATCTAGTTGTTGTTCTAGTGTCATTTCCAGAAGAACGCGTGCATATAGCAAAGAATTCTATTTCCAAATAAAATTATGTGTTGGAGTTCTCACTTTATCCAACCATTACAATATTCTAATCTTCAGGTGTTTTGCATTGATTTTCTAGCAACCATTGTATATTTTATTAATAGCTTCACTCAATTCTTGATCAAGGGTCTCTGCTCTTGGAGAATTCATTAATTTAACGGATAATATATATATTATTAAATACTTAATATTATATCCACCCAAAGTTAAGTTTTGAGTTACTTAACCACTATAACTCAAGAAATTCTAGATTCTATTGCTGACAGTAATAGTCCAATGGAAAGCTAACTAAATATAAATATTCATTTTAAATAACAATTCCTATTATCTTAATTTACATGGTATCTTAATCTGTAATTTTTATTCATCTGTTAATCATTGAAACTGAAATTAAATCTCAATTTATTTTTTGCTTAAAATTTATTTGAATTAGTTCAATTTGGCTTATTCAGCTTAATTTAGTAGTTTTCTCAATACTTACCTTTATTAATGTTTTAATTAATCCTAATTAAATTTTTAGATTCTTATAAATCATGAATAATTAGAATAGGAATGATTCTATTCTAGATAAAACTATTAATAAATATGTAATATGGTTAGGTTGATTAACCTTAGTTTAAAAATAACTATTGTTTTTTTGAAACTTAATTATTTATTAAATGTTTAATTGTTATTTAGAATAATTTATAAAAATATAACGTGATTTGAGCAACGACTTTGATGTTTAAAAAGTTTTTCAATTTATGAAGAATGAAGGAGGTAAGCTACTGCTAATAGAAAATGTATTTTTCAATTGATTTACCAACATTTTCATAGGCCTTGGCTTTTAATTAGGTTTTGAGGTGAACCCTCTAGCTTCAAATTTCAAATCAATAATAAAGTATAGAACAAATTGAAATTCCATCTAAAACAGATTGATCAACTCACTTAAAAAAAATTTAGATTCACAGTTTATATACATATTCAAAATGTGTTCACATAAGCAGGATCTATTTGTTTAAAGTGATAACTCTTTTAAATCGATATGTTGATTTGAGAATTTTGACAATATGTCAATAAAAAGGGAGAAAGCTTGGAGAATGACTATTTTAATTGTATTAATCTATAATTTCCATAATATAGCTATTTCTAAAACGAACAAAGTGGCAATTTACTTTCTGGTTACGGATATAATATTAGATTGATTTAGTCATCTAATTATAAAGTAACTGGAATCAGCAAGCAAGGATTTAATTGGTTTAAAAAGGATTAATAAATTAACTGAGATTATTCGGTGCATAAAAATATCTAAATTGATAAATAGATATTAACATTGACTTTTTTATATTAAATTTATGGATCAAAACAACTGGATATAAAAGTCTTCTGTTTAAGAATTTGGAATTGACAAGAGTGTTTAGCAGCAACAATAGTAAGGATAACCGCCAGCCTCTTTGATTCGAAGAGTGTCTAAACGTAATGTTGCAATCAGGCCCACTCAGGAGACAGGAATGGCTCAGATTTATGAAACATTTCACCCAGAACAAAAAGCATAGACCCTTGATGATATCAAATTCATCATAAAATGCTTTTAAAGTCATTTTGTATTTAGCTCAATGACTGAAACATAATTGTAATACATTATGTTATCCTTAGAACACAATTGGCACACAGTATGTTCTATTGCAAATTACAAACAGGAGAAGCGATAATCAAATAAGGGGATGGAGCTAGCTCTTTCTTCATAATTTAGAAGGGAAAAATAAATGTCCTGGTGGATAATGTACCACGTAAAGAATTGACAACCGGATTTGGGTTCGGAGAATTGGCATTATTATATAATGCACCCAGGTCAGCCACATGCATGGCAGTGGAAGAATGCTTTCTATGGGGAATTGACAGACACACTTTTAGAAAGAGCATAGAGACCATCATGAGGAGTGAATAAGAGAAGAATAGAAAATATTTGGAGAGTGTTAAATTTTTTAGTAATTATATTTGATTAATAAATAGATTAATTAACAAGAGAGTAGAAGGATGCCGTCGCAGGAGTGCTCATATCTTAAAAATTTAATTAGGGAGAGATCATAGTGAATGAAGGAGATTAGGCTAGTTCATTCTACATTATCGTGGAGGGTTAATGCGGAGTTTTCAACAAGGATGGATAATAAATAGCAGTTTTGAATCCAAGTGATTCTTTTGGAGAGTCAGCACTCAAACATGAGAATCAGGTGAGAATGATGACCATTAAATCCATCCAAAAAGATACGAAAGTGTTGGCATTGGGAAAAGATATGATCTAATAGATCTTAGGTGATTAGGTGCAATCCATCATCTACAAAAATATCTGCAAATGGGCCTTGAATTCATCTAAGTTATTCAGCAAGACTCAATCCACATATCAAGATAAATTGTTAGAAGGAGTGTAAATTAAGAAATTGGCTGCAAATTCTAAAGTAATTACAAAGGGAGACAAAGTTGGACAACTAGTCATCCTACTTGATGTCGATGCAGTTGATGAGACCAATGCCAAAGTACTTAAGGGATCGATCCTAGTCGAAGATACATTACAAGATAAACTCTAAGGCACTTCTCATGTCAAAACATTCACAATTGATGGGGAGGGACATGTAGCCATCATAGATTATGAATCATTCAGAAAGGCACAAGGCAGTGTTGAGAAGATTTAATAAGGAAAGGCTTAGTAATCAGAAAAGGTCAATGCATATGAAGAGTAAATCAAAAGCTAACCATTCAAAAATTTAATATACCTTAATAAATTAGGATCAGGTTAATTTGGTTCTGTTTACTTATGCAAATTCAAGGAATTGGAGACTCTGTTTGCTCTCAAATATGTTACCAGAGCACATGTGTAATAATTTGGAATTCAAAAACACATTTAATAAGAGAAGGCTGTCCTAGAATTGATGGATCATCCATTCATTCTTAAATTTTATAGATCCTACAAAGACAATGAAAATATCTATTTCTTGACTGAGTATATTCCAGGAATGGAATTGTTCGATGCCATCAGAGTTATTGGTAATGCTATTGAAATTATTATCATATAGGATTATTGAGTAAGTATGATGCACAATTCTATGCTGCTCAAATGTTGTTGTAAATGGAATATTTGCATACATAACACAGCATTGTTTACAGAGATATTAAACCAGAGAACATTATGGTGGATGATAAGGGATTCTTGAAGTTAATTGATATGGGTACAGCTAAGTCATTTAAGAATCAATGTAAGAATACTGTTCATAACTATTATAGAATCATCGAAGACATTCACAATCATTGGAACACCTCATTACATGGCACCAGAAGTAATTTCAGGAAAGGGTTATGGCTACTTTGCAGATCTCTGGAGTGTGGGAGTTTGTATTTATGAATTCATCTGTGGTGGATTGCCATTTGGTGAAGAGGCAGAAGATCCCTTTGAAATTTACAAGGAAATCATCAAGAAACCCATCAGCTATCCTCACTTTATGTCTGATAAATCTGCCAAGCCTTTCATTGAACAATTGATGAATAAGATCCCAGAAGTTAGATTAGGAGGATCCTACACTACTTTGAAGTCTCATGCTTGGTTCAAAGATTTTGATTGGGTAATCAATCATCTTTTAACCGTTTCTAGGAAAAGCTATGGACCAAGTCACTGAAAGCTCCCTTATTGCCAGGAAAGGACAAAATCATGACTCCAGCCCAGATTCAGACTGGCTAACAACGTGGAGTCTTAGTTCATGATCAAATTTAGAAGGATACTTCTGGGTAGAAGAAGGTATTGGCTAGTGCAAAGGATGCAGAATGGGACAGTGTGTTTTGATTAGGCTTTGATATTATAATAATAGTACAAATTCCTTTGGTAATCTTTTTATGTTTTTATTCAGTTATGGGTTTATTTTGCATTATATTTTATAATATATTATAAAACTATGTAGATCAGCCAGAATCTGAGGAGATGCATCAACTTTCACAAGGTGGTTTAATAGTTATATGAGTCAGGAGAAATAAATTTCAAAGAAAAGAATAAACTTAAAACTGAATTCAACACCAACAATGAAGACATATTGTATTTGATAGAGGGTAAGAAATACACTTAAATAAGAAGACATGGACAAGGAGGATTTTAAACAATAGTTAGTTGAATACATTAAATCTAAGCATTAATCTTTTAAAATACCCAATTCCCCTGGTCTTAGAAGAAAGTCACTACTATCTGAATCCAGTCCTACCATTGGCAGAAAGAGTGGCTTCTCCAAAGAAAGCAAAATCACAGAAGAAGAATTGATTGACCACATTACTAAGCTTAGAGAAGCACTCTTTGAAGTTTACCAATCAAGATCGAGTGCCTTCACATTTTTAGTGTAGGATCATCTGAAGTCATTGAGTCAATTCATTTCCAAAATATCTAACAAAAGTCCTTAGGCTTCCCTCAACTTACTCTAGGAATAGAATATTGCTGAAGACATTGAATAATACTATAAATAATTGAAGAATCAATTTTTGAATACGCATTCTTTGTTAATTAACGATAACATAGTTTCGGTTGCTTCCAAACTTGTGTAGAATTTATTGAATTGTGATGAATTCACCTTTATTAATCCTCAGTATGGAATATACGATTCAACCAAAAATTCTTTCAATAATATTGAATCCGATGATTATTTGCAAGATTTAATATCTGTGACCACCAATGTCAATCTGCTCACTGAAAATCAATCGAAACTCTCTCTAATGTTCGCTTAGTATAGCAGAACCTATACTCTCAGAATATAGGATGAGTGTTTCTTCTATCATCAAAGATAAGTCAGAGATACACTTCTAAATTTGACATTAGATTACAAATGTCTCAATGAAGTTCAAATATTGAGTAAGTTAATATCCAAAGCAACCATCGAAGCAAGAGTATAATTAATTAGCCCTATTCAAATTGGAAATATGATAATTGATATAGGAGTGGAATTCGTTAGATGTAGTAAATATCTATTTATTAATCAAATCATTAATTTATTGCGTACTAAATACACAATTGAAAAAAAAGAGGCTGAAAGTTAAGGGTCCTTTGGATCCGTTTCATGTACCAATCTTTCTCCTACTAGCAAATAGGCTAAGTTTACTAAAATACAATTTAAGGATATATTGCCAATAGAAATTACTATTATTGGAATAAATTTAAATAAGAAAGATGACTTACAGATATATAAGACTATTACTAATCTTTATACCAAATACTTAAAGTTCATCGAGTTGAGTTACGATAGGATAATATTTTATAAATATTTTATTAAATCCAAAGATTCAATAATGTTGGAATTCGATAAAGAGGGCAAGTTGGCCTTTTTATCCAGGCCAATTCCTCCCTCTTTGAGTCGGGAATTTTAGTTAAGCTATTGCCCCAGAGGACATTATTATCAAATAATAAAGAATGAAATTTTGTTGAAGGTGATTGAACAACACTTGGAGAACAAATGGAATATTTAATATACTGATCAGTTGTATGAGATTTTTATGAAGGCCAGAAATAAGAAATTCAAGGGATTCGCCATCATATTCTCCGAAGGATTCTTACAAACAAGGAGTTTGGAGACTGAAGCCAAAAAGATTAAATTGAGATAGGAAGCCACATAGTACTTATCGAATTTAGAATAAAACAATCCAGAAATAAAAGATACGATATTGTCCTTCTATATTCCATCACAGGTATAAGTTCCAGGAATTATACACAAAAAGAAAAAGAGTATGATTAATGGATTGATTGACACTATCCAAATAAATTTAATTGATTTAGAGAGTATTGAGAAAGAAGCCATTTGTATAGATTAGATAGACAGTTTCGATTTCAATATATTCAAAATAGAAAACAATTCGATAGAGAAATAAAGAATAGTTTATTAGATATTGAACAGAAATAATTTTATTGAGATATTTGAGATTGACAAAAACAGATTATGTGAATTTTTGGGTGAATTGGAATATCGATATGACAAACGTAGGAACCCTTTCCACAACTACAATCACGGTGTGAATGTCATGCATAGTTGTCATGTTATCATGAATAAAATGATCAATTAACCACAATACAAGGTACTCTTTGATTAATTAACTAAACTATCCTTAATCTTGAGTGGATTGTGTCACGACGTAGGACATACAGGCAGAACAAATATATTTGAAATCAACAATTTTTCTGAAAAAGCCATAAGATATCACGATAAGAATGTATTGGAATAATACCATGCTGCTACAGCACTGAAATTGTTATTGAAAGAAAGGATGAATTTCTTAAAGAATGTAGACTTTAGGCAATTTAGAGAAAAATTTATACAGAACATCATATTCACTGATAAGTAGGAACATTTCAATCTACTCAAATTTTTTGAAGCCAATAATGAGAAAGATATTAAAATTATAACTGGAATGATCATTCACACTTCGGATTTTGCAGGGGCATCGGCAAAGTGGCCTATTTCTAAGTAATGGTCTTTGAGAGTGAATCAGGAGTTTTAAGCGCAATTTGAAGAGGAAGGAAGATTAGGACTACCCTAATAACCATTTATGAAGGATTTATAGAAGGTATTTAAATCATTCTGAATTAGATATCTGTTTTGTCGAAATCAGAAATAGGGTTCTATAAATTCTTTGTTCGTCCCTTGTATGTATCATTGTCTAAATTTATGGATCATTAATTATAGGATAGAATCGATAATATTGATGAAACCATTATCGAATGGGATTCTCTGGCATCTTAAGAGAATCAATAACAATGAAATTGCTCATTTATTTTTGTATTAAATATATAAATGAGTAACAACATTATTATACTAAAGTAATCTTAATTATTTTGAATTGTAATTTACCAATATAAATGTGAAGATCACAGAATTCTAAGATATCAATGTATTTATTATCACAAGACTTACAAAAATAAATTTTGGAATAAACTTAGACGACAAATGAAATTATCTATAATTTATGCATTACCTGTATGAATTTATTCAATATAATATTTATGCATTATATTTCAAAAATTGTTATAGAATGAATACTATATGAAAATTATCAGATTTCTTAGAATAAAATATTAAAAGTAGATTTATTCCAGACTTTTTCTTTTGGATCAAAATACTCACCTGGACCAGGCAAATTATCATCTTTTTTATCATAATTAAATCTATTTTCCTAATTAATAATAGCTAGATCTATTACTTTAATATTAAAAGGAGGATGAGGATTCTTCTTTTTCTAAAACAAAGATGAACTATTGTGCATTCTAATTTACTCATCTTCTTGTTCATCTTAAACTTCATCAATGGGTTTCTTTTCTTTATGCATGAATCGAGGTATCGATGATCCAAAGGCTGGTTTATTAATTGCCAAATCAGGATCTTCTTCCTTTTCAACTTTTGTCATTTATTCTATTGTGTAATTTTTGACATCATATGCACCTGGTGCAGGAAAATGATCCTTAGAAACAGGTGCTGCATCTCCTCTTTTCGTTTTTGAAGTAAACACAGATGCAATTGTTTTAACTTCCTTTTTGTGTTAATCATATGCTCCTGGGCCTGGTACTTCATCTTCCTGTGGTTTAAATCTCTATTAATTTGATCCAAAATTTCCGATCGGAGCTCTTTCTAATTTCTTTATCAATCTATCCTCTAACTAACTAGATAGTGATAAGAATTACAGTAATTTTTGGGTTATATGCTTATGGTCCTGGACGTTTCTCTTAACCCTTAGCTTCAAAACGTAAATTCGTGGATTGAAAAGGAGTTTGCTTTGAAGATATCGCCTCTTTGATGAAATCTTTCTCCAATTCATAATCTCCAGGACCAACATAACAAGGCATTTTTTTCTCTTGAAATCTTCTACTTTTTGATCCAAAACAGTTTTTTCCAATCTTGGTAGTAGATTGAGTATTGGTTGAAATGGCTGATTGATTTGAGATATTTCCTAAATATTATCCAGGTCCTGGTGTGGTATCCTTTGAATATTTAATAAAATGGTGTACATCACAAAAAACATATTCATCATCCTCTATATAATTGGCTCCGTTCTTTTAGACCATATTCTTTTACTTATCAAAGAAGATTTTCATAAACTATTTTTATTTCTCTTCTTTAGTAGAATCAAACATTCTTTGAGATTTCGATTGGAAATTTCCAGATGGATTTAACTTATGCAATGGTACTACAGATGTATTTGGATCATAGGTTCCAGGACCAACCATTAGTTCCTTTTCCTTTGAGATAGTGGGTGCTAATCTTGGGGCCTTAGATTTGTGCCAAAAACTTCCTTTGTATTTATTTTATTGAAAGGCATCCTTCACATCATATTGGCCTGGACCAACTGAATCTTATTAAAGACCTGTAAATTATGGGAATGGAAATTTGTTTACCTCCAAATCATGAGCTAATCTCTTTAAAATAATAATTATTACTTCCTTTCTCTAGGTATCCATATACTTAATTTGATGAAGGTATAGATGGTATCGATTGATATTTATTCAATTTCATTATGGTTTCAATGTAATGTTGAGATGTATATTGTTGTTGAATAACTTTAGTCCCACTATTGTTTGTATCATATGTTCCTGGACTGAAATCCCTTTAAAAATAAGCAAATACCCAGGCGAAAGCATTGTTTTAGGGTGATGGAATCGTTTAGATTAGGATGCGAAAACTGATTGAGGCTGAGGTTTCTCAACAACCTTTACATCAGATTAAGAGGATTGCAGCACTATATTTTGTCTAAGATGAAAATTGATGAAGGAAATGTACCCTTGCACATCATTAAAGATATTATAACTCCCAGGACCAGGAGAGTTATCTTATCTTAATTATTGAGTTCTTGTAACTTGTGTATCGAATGGAGCATTCCCCTACTTTATCCTGAACTATTCATGAGAAAGGTAACTACCAGGACCAACCTATTTCAGTTAAATCTGTTTTACATTTGAAGGTGCTCCAGAAGGTTTATTCAGCATATTTCTTTCTGCTTAATATACAAAAGCCATTTATATTAAAATAACAATTCGAATATTTTATTATTATATTTCATAAGATGAAAAATGGTCAACAGATCTTGAGAGATGACATTAAAAAATTAGAATTGATACATAAAAGAATGAATGAACAGTCCATATGGAAAAACTTTAAAATTGAATCTCTTTTATAGGAAATAAACAATAGAATTTAAATTATCCTTTAAATATTGGAAAGTGATTATAAAAGAGAACAATAATCCCAGATTTTCAGAATTTAAAGCTTGAGTGACATTAATACTTAAATGTTAGAAAATTTGGATTCAGATTTGTTGTACTCTTTCTAACTTGAAGATATGTGCAAAGAACAGTAAGTTAACTAATTACAGGGATTTAATAACAAATAAATTGATGACTAAGAATATATAACTAGACCATAAACTGAAAGGATTTAGAAGAAAACTCTATAAACTTAAAGTCTCCCGAATCAAGACAAAAAAATAATATCCTTCCAAAATTTCGCAGATCATCAACAAAGGAAAGTTGATAACACTTAATAGATTAATGAAAAAGGCTATAATTAAAAAGAGATTTAGAAGAATTAAGAAATAGAATAAAAATCTTAAACTCAAAAATAGAATAAGTAATTTCAATAACCTGATTAATAAAAAGGGATTAATATTGCTTAAATTAATAATTCAAAAATATAATAATAATAGCAATAATAATAATAATAATAATAATAATAATAATAATAATAATAATAATAATATAAACATAATAATTTACCCAATACATTTAAAATGAAAGAAAATATGAATAAATTTAAAATGACCATTGTTCCTTAAGCTCAAGCAATTGGTAACATCGACAAATGCCCCATCTGCCAAGATTAATTTTTTTCTGGTATTGGTGCATAAGATGAATATGTGATATCACTGAGTTGTTCTCACCAATTCCATTATAATTGTTTAGAACCTATCTTAAATCATGATCATATTAAGTGCCCTATTTGTAATAAAATATTTGGTAAAATGATAGGAGATTAACCTGATGGAGAAATGACTGTATTAAAAATCAAGAAAATATGTCCAGGATATAATTCTGATTCAATATAAATTACATACAACCTTTGGTCAGGAAGGAGAAATGGTAAAGATTATTAAGGAGCTACGAGAATTGCTTATTTACCGGATAATTAGAAGGGATAATAGGTCTTAAGTTTACTCAGAAAAGCCTTTGATTAAAAGTTAACATTTACAATAGGGACTTCACTAACAACAGGTTAGGATAATTGTATCATTTGGAATGGAATTCATCACAAAACTAGTTTAGATGGTGGCATATAAAGGTATGGATATCCAGATCCTTAGTATTTGGATAGAGTCCTTGATGAGTTGAAGTAGAAAGGCATTGTTCCTAATTAAAGTTGATTTAATAATTATTTTTTTTTTTAAATTTATAATTTAAAGAAGCCGATGTCTCGTAGAAAAATATCTCACCATTATAACCTCAATAGAGAAATTAATTCAGGGATTTTGATTTTGTGAACTAAAGATTATTCCCATGTTTTTTCAAAAAGTCTAAAAACCATAAGAAGATACAGTCATTAATCTGAAACAATATTTGTGCTTTTTAATAAAAGTGGGGCAGTTGAACTATTATTTAATATATTCCATATAAATCTAAATTACATCATATTAATTTAATCAAAATTAAATAGCTTATACTAATTAAAAATACTAAAATAATATTTATAATGGCAATAAATAAGCTAAATTTAATCTGTCAACTAAAAAGGTAATTCTTGTTTGTGAAAATATTATATTATATTAATTTTTAATTAAATGAGACTTTTTTTGAAAACTAAAATAATTTTAATATCAAATTATATTGATTTAATTTAAGTTCATAAACAAAATTGAAAAAGAGTTAAATAGTATATTATTAGACACTAATGATTAACCTTCAAAATATATTAATATTTAGAGCCAAAAATTCATGTTAAAGCTAATAAGAAAAATACTTTGAGTCCTTAAATAAAGTATATTAAATAATAGTTTTATGGATTTAAAAAAAGTGGACATTTCATCTATCTACAATTTCTTAATTAATCTTTGGATTAAAGGGCAATTTGAGATTTCATCAAATTAATTAAGCAAAAATCAAACATTAAAATGATAAATTACTTCAAGACGAGGTATTTAGAAAATTTAAGAATTGAAATTAGAAATGATATGGGTCACTATTGATACATATTCAAATTGATTCAGGTTAATCAAATAATCTATCGCAAATTCAATACAAAATTAGTTGATCTGCAAAATCATTACTTTGATGGGAAATTCTAATTTGAATGAAAATTAATGCAAGGTGATAGCCAGGAAGTACAGGTTTCTTTTAGTAGGGGAGAAATTGATGAATTGGACAACTTGTTAAATGAAGAATATACCAAATGGGATATACGTTAATAAATATAATGATAATTAAAATTAAATGGAGTACTTAACTAATGAAAAACTCCTCAAATAATAACAATCAGCTCTATTTTCTATCAACAACTCTCGTTCCAATAGTGTATCTCGATTCCCAATTCCTAGTTCAAGAGCCACTCACGATCCTGTTCAACCTCTCCGATCAGCTGATTTATTCAATAGATTAGAAGACATACTAAAATAAAAGTAGATGAGTACAACTACAAGAAAGAGATAGAAACAAATTTCATGCATTTTAAATTCATAAGCAACTCACGAAGCAAAAAAACATTATATTGAAAATAGTTGTTACAAATCTCCCAATAGAATACAGGAGGTACCATCCACTTCTGGGTTTCTGAATGTTGTATGTTTCATTTTAACCCTTATTTTAGTATAATATCGAGCCTAGAAGTAGAAAGTAAACATAGCCAGCCTACATCGGTTCTCCTTTGTTAAACTAATAAAATTAGAGTGCTAAAAAGAAAAATGTGATTCAGACTCAATTTCAAGAGAGCTACCTTCAAAATCGAAAAAAAAAGGAGAGCTTGAAAAAATTTCAGGATGAGTTTAACAATATGCAGGAGAAAATCAAAATAAGAAATCATGTATGTAATTATTTTAATTATTCAAAAAGTCTATTTTAAATGAACAACCAGAAAATGGTGGACGAGTTGATAAGCAAGAATTGAAAGAGAATAAGATGGAAATCAATATTAGTGCCATTTTAAATAAAGAAAATAATAATAACACAATTAATAAATTGAATCAATAATTGCAATTGTAAAATAACCATCTGTAAGAGCAATTACTGTTTGAAAAAAATCAAAATTCTAAGCTAAATTTACTGATCAATAATCTAAATGATTAAATCGCCATTCTTAATAAGTATGCACAATTTTTAACGATATTTTAGACAATTAAATCAGTAAAGCCAATAATCGAATGAAGATTAAGCGAATAGGGATACTTAAATTGCATAATTAAAATAGTAGATTTAACAATTGGATTCGAATTTACAGTAAAAGGACAATGAAATCAATAAACAAAAATAGCAAATACTAGAGTTCAATAATGTGTATAAGGAGATGCAAGAATTAGAGAATCTCTGTTAGTAGATGTCATATTTAAGTATGCAAACTTCTTAATAAAATTTATTAATTCTTGAAATTAAAGAGTTGCTTCAAATTCAGTTTAATATTATTGAGAAAGTAACAAATCATAAAGATTTTCCGATAGAGCAGCTGTTAATTTAGAATAAAAAGAAAAGACCTTAGATACCAAAATAAGTTGATTATTAAGAATTAAGTCAGGAAACAACTAGAATTATGGAAAATTTAGTTAAATAAATAAAGTCTTCTGTTGATTAGTTAACCGAAAGATTTATACACGACTTGCTTATTTGAGATAATAATATATATAATAAATAAATTAAAGATGGGAAATGTATTTTGCTATGAACGAGTATTTATATATAAATGAAAAGGACGATGACAATATTGAGTGGAAATAGCAACTCGAAAGTACTTGCTAAGTAATGAAGAAGCAAATGTGTTGGGCTGAGCCTATACTAATTTAGCTTAAAGATCTAAGGGTATCTAACAAGTATTAGAAATAACTACATACCTTTGCTTAGAGTTACGATGAGTCATCACTAGCAGAGATTTAAAAATCTTTTAGATCTAGATAATCTTCAAAGGAAAGCAGAAACATATAAACAATTATCAAAAGAACAGGATTTACAGAAGAAGATCTAGTTGAGAATTTTATCAAACCAAGCAGGGCTTCATTTAATTTAAGTATTCAATCAATAACACCCTCTTACATTTACCATGAGAAAACATCTAATGTGGGGATGGGAGGATCTTAGGTGAATTTTGAGGATTAGATGTGCTTTTTTGTGCAAATTACAGATAAAATAAAAGAACACTTTGATCAACCGAATGAGTTAGGCGTAATGATAATCCATTTCAGAAATTCTTTAAATTAATAACATCAAAATCGTTCATTTCAATACTTGCACGAGCAATTGACATTATTTTGTCGAACTCTTTATGATACTATCGTCATCTATTACGACATGATAAGTATAAAGAAGAAGTATCAAGCTCATGCAGTTTTATTGAATGAAGAGACTATGCTAAACTTCATTGTCAATTATGTAATGTCAAATGAAGGTATATATCAAGTCTTATATAATTCATTGCTAAAGGAAATGAGTGAAATTTAAAAATAGACTGAACAATGTTTTAAACAAAATAAAAACATCACTGTTGAGGACATGGAAATTCCAAAAGACTTTCAATTGAAATCTTATGTAAATCCATATGGGAAGGCTATATAAACCTTGTAGAAATTGGGTAAAAAATATGGACCATCCTCGAAAGTGAAGTTGATAATCAACTTTTCACAACAAATTCAACAACATGCTAGAGAGGGTAATGAGAATAGAGGAACTAGTTTGCTTATGTAGGCTGATGATCTTTTACCTATTATCAAATACATTTTGATAAAGTCTTAAATATATGATATTGATGTTCATCTTACTTACATAGAGAAATTGATTACCAACGGAATGCTCAATTCAACGAGTGGTTACTATGTGGTGACATTGCAAGCAGCCTTAACTTCCTTGAGAAGTAATTTAAATTAATAATAATTTAATTAATAAAAATGAATATTGTATAATAATATCGAGCAATTATTTATGATCTTCTCAATGTAATATAAGAATAGCAAAACCCTATTTTAGATAATGACATTAAAAAGATTAAGGAACGATTCCATTAGTTAGAATTATAAAATCGTCCAAGAAAAATGACAGAGAGCAAACAACTCACAAGGTTATACTCCATACCATAAAAGCCAAAAATAATGTAAAACAACTAAATCAGAGCTTAATCAACTGCATATCATCAACGATTTATATCATTGAATACTTGATTTATAATTATTATGTAATAAACTTATAATCCAGATGAAAGAATGCATATTGAGTTATTTTTGGCCGCAAGACAATTGCCCAATCTTGAATTCTTTTCGAAGAGTGATCCATATCTAGAACTCTATTATTCATTGGCTGGGCAACAAGAACAATTTCTGGGCAGAACAGAAACTGCTGAATGTAATTTAGATCCAAATTGGGAAAAGACATTTGAAATCGAATATTGGCCAGACTTGATATAGATGTTGAAATTCTAAATCTTTGATCAAGACAGAATGGGCAGAGAATTTATGGGAGAAGCATAGGTAACCATAAAGGAGATTTTGTAATACAAAAATTCATTAATTTAACTCTAAATCAAGAGATATGACAAACCAGCAGGGTCTTTAATTTGCAAGGCAGTACTCTTTAAGGAATCCAACCATTCTGTATAATGGTAATTTTCTGGAATTAATCTTAAAAACATGGATGGCATATTTGGTAAGACAGATCCATTCTTGAAGTTTTATTTGTTTTCAGAAGGAGTTTGGTGTCAAATTCATTAAACAGAATATATTAAAGATGATCTCAATCCTAAATGGAAGGAATTTGAAGTCTCCCTTTAAAGATTATGTTTCAATGATGAAAATAAAAAATTCAAAATCGAATGCTTAGATAGACATGAGAAAGGCAAGAATAACTAGATAGTAGGTTCATTTGAAACTAGTATTGATGAGATTTTTAATAAAAATGTGGATTCATTCTAGTTAATCTAACCGAAAGGAGGATCTGCTGGAACAATTAAAATACTAAATAAAAAGCGAATATACAGAGCCAACTTTGATGATTACATCAAATAAGGCACTAAATTTAATGTTATTATTGGAATTGATTACTCTTCCAACAATGGTGTTCCTTCTTTTCCAGATTCCTTGCATACCTACATTGAGAAGAATAATATTTATTTAAAGGCAGTAAATGACGTTGCTAAAGTGTTGGAAATCTACGACATTAAGAAATTGATTGCATTGTATGGAATGGGAGCTGAGCCTCACTTTTCTAATTATAATTGTAATAGTTATCAAACACTCTTCCCTTTGACTGGAGATTTCTAAAATCCTTAAGTAACTGGATATTAAGAAGCTGTCAACAATTATCAGAGTAAACTTCGAGACATTGTTGTTAAAGGAGATCTCCAACTTGAAGATTTCATTAAGTATGTGTAAACTGTAGCTGAACATAATGCAGGGAAGCTAATTTACACAATAGCTGTGATTATAGGATAGGAATAAATTACAGATTTATAAGTGGTGTAGAATCTAATCTTAAGTGGTACAGAATATTTATATATACTAGGTTAAAAATTACCATATTCTTTGATGTATGTTGGAGTTGGAGAAGATGATTTTAAAGACATTAAATAAATTAATGATCTTATAAACTAATAAAATCCACCAATTAGAAATAACTTCACTTTTTATTAGTATTAAAAAGAACTTCCATCCAGTTTACTCAAAAAGCAGTTATTGAATGATTTGCCAAAACAAGTTGTTTCATATCATTAATGATTAAATTGTAAGTATAATATTGTATCAAATATATAAAACAAATTACAGTTTCATTCTTTTAATCCAACTTTTTTCGATTTTTTAGCTTTTATTCTTGCTAACTTCTCATCTAAGTAAAATAAATAAGGTATATAACAAACACAGCATATCAAGACTGCAAAACCCAATAAAGATGCTGACCTTTGAAATCCATACCATTTTGTTAGATAACCACCCAGAATTGGACCAAAGAGTTCTCCCCCTGCTAGACTAGAATTAAAACTACTATAGATTTTAGGAACATACATAGCAGATGCAATATTTGCACATTGTGTAGGATACTTGGAATAATCCTTGATAAGAATTTGGTTGAGTTAAGGCAAAGTAAGAACATATGGGAAACCAGCAGTGAATCCTACGATTGACCATGCTAACATTGTATACAATAATCTTGGATTCAAGTTGGTGAAACTATAATCAGGACCCATATAAAATTGTAATAATCCACTGATTACTAAGCCAAAGTACATGAAATATTTTTTATGAGATTTTATCTTAGAAATGAAAATAGTGGAAACTCCAAATGTAGCTGCATTTATAGATATCCAATAACCTGAATATTCCTCTTAAATATCATATTACTCCAATAAATATATTGCTATTGTTGGGTTATAGAATGTCCATAAGGACAGTGTTAATGTGTTAGTAATAAAGGATATTACAACTGGATAATTGCAAAGTAGCGTTAAATATGATATGCTAAAATCAGCATCAATTATTGATTCTTGATTTTAAATTGATTAATGTAGAATGATAGATTAACTAAGATCGACTTCAGGGACATCCAAGCTCTTTGAAAAGACTATCAGAAGCACTGCTAACCCAAATGAGCAGGCAGCAAAGAAAAAGAATGGCAAGATGAACCCTCCCAACTAATATAGAGCTGATCCCAATATGGGACCTGCTAAAAATCCAATGGATGTTGAGACTTCTGCTATTGCTATTTTCTCTTCAATTTATTTAGGAAATAACTAAGGAATAAATGCATAAAACGGTGTCATAAACATGGATGCACCCTATTGATATTTTAATCATATAGATACTATTCCACCAATTAATCTGGCCAAAAAACTGCCTAACAGCACTACCCAATAAGATTCAAAATAGTATAAAAAACCAAACATCAGTAAACCCAATCCTTATTAAGAAATTCCAATGACCATTATTTTTTATCTATTTTCCTATCATAAACATATTTCTTACATGTGTGATAACTTTCCCTAAAATCAACGAAGAAATAAATTGTCCCAAAGGATGTGCTGCAAATATGATACCTATGATATCCTCAGAAATGTCTCTAGATTTAGCAAATTAAGGGTAAAACGGAGCAATTATTGACATAGCAAGATTACAGACTACATTGCATGAAACCAATATAATGAATATTTGTGATTATTTCATTCAATCAATTTTAAATAATACAATTTAATCAAATAAATATAAAGAGTTGTTTTTTCAATATATATATTAATAGTCTGCATTAAAATCCATATTATTTCAATGCAACAAAGCACAGATATTTATAAAAGTGCATTCTCATAATCCAGAGTTGGTTAGATTGGATGTAATTGAGATTTAAATATTGGGGATGCTTCCCAAGAATAATTTAATTTATCAAATAAGGATAATATATATATACTTCTGATATTTATACTCAAGAACATATAAAAAGTGTTGTTCACTTATATTACCATAAAATACATGTGGTTAATTTAGATAGACCATTGATTGTTATCAAAATTGAGATTAGGTTTTATGTTGTTTAGTGAATGCTCTGATTATTTATCAATTGAATCAATAATAATTTATTAATTAAATCTAAATTAAATTGTACATTTCTCAAGAAAAAAACAGAATTTGAGTTAATCCACAAATTATAATGCAAGTTAGAAAATGGATAGTTTTGTAAAGCAAATATAAATATTTCTAAATGATTATATTTTTAATAAATTCTAAATTATAATCTTGTAATGGAATCCTCCTATTTTTGGGTTTATATTGATATTTGAATTGATTCTATATAATAATTTAATTTTTATATGAATTAAAACTAAGTTCTCAGTCGTCTCTCTTGCAAGGATATCAATGATTATAGTTTTATAAAGATGTTGGGCACAGGATCATATAGTGAAGTCTTTTAGGGCAAAAACAAAACAAACGGAGAAGAAACTGCCATCAAAGTGATTGATAAGGTATTTTTAGCAAAGGTGATATAAATATATGATATTTGTAGCAAAATAAAAGTCATCTCATCTATTTGGAATCTAATGCTCTTACGTCAATAAATCATCCTGGTGTTATAAAATGTTACGCTACGTACGAGTCTAATACAAAGTTATATCTCTCCCTTGAATTGATGAATTGGGGCACATTCAGGGATTTCATCAAAGGTATTGTATAACTCATTATTATAAGAAAGACAACTTACAACGAGGGAAATTCAATTTTATGCTGCCTAATTGGTTGTCATTTTAGAGCAAGTTCACAAACGAGGAGTAGTTCATAGAGATGTCAAAGTATGACTATTAATGAACTTTAGCCCGAGAACCTGATGATGACACAGGACAAATTCATAAAGCTAATTGATTTCGGGACCATCCTTTTATTTAAAGGAAACGAGGTTATAAAGGAAGAATCCGATATAAAATTTTGCAGAAAATCCAGTTTTTGTGGAACAGGAGAATACTTGTCTCCAGAATTACTTGATCAAAATTGTTGTGGTCCTCAATCAGATCTCTGGGCACTAGGTGTGATTATTTATGAATTGTTCACTGGAAAAACACCCTTTCAAAGTGACGTTGAATACATTATGTTCCAAAACATCTCAGACAAAGAACCAAACTATGATTTAATCAAGGATCAGACTGCTGTGGATTTTATATAGATGCTCTTAACCAAAGATGCAAGCACAAGATTAACAGAAGCTATTGAAAATGATTGTGATTATTCAATCCTAAAGTAACATCCCTTCTTATCCAATGTGAACTTTGAAACTTTGTGGGTAGAACAAAAAGAAACACAGGAACAACCTAAATTCGAAAGGAAAAATGTATTATTCTTTATTTACAGTAGATTCTGAGAGGTAAAACAACCTTAGTTAATGATGGAGTATCTTTGATTCTAAGTGGTATTGTTGATAAACATTCAGGAGTTCTAATGTTTGGATAATACACGCCTAGAACTATGCAACTAATTTAAAAACATTTTTCTTAAGAACTTTTTTATTATAATCCATATAAAAAGAAAAATGTAAAGCTTGATATTTATATTCTAGCATCAAATAGAATTGATCAAAGCTAAATGTAAATTAGGGAATGATGGTGAATTTGTAATTACCAGTAACAATAAAAAATATTTCTTTAAATAAAGAGAACATCCAGCAACTTAGTGGGTGGCCTTAATCAATAATGCAATCTCTTATAACAAATAATTTTAATAATGAATATAATAAAGTTAATTAATAACAAAATTCATCAATATTTTACTTATCCAATCTCAAGGTTTGTCAACTCTAATCAATTTTTAAATAACTTCCTTACTACACTATTAATTGCATTTTCTTAATTGTTTTTATTTCAGACTCTTGTCATTATTAATTAAATCTAGAATTATTTATAATTCTTCTATTTTCATTAACTAATTACTATTAGGAATTAACTGATAACTTATGTTCTTTATAGTTCTTAAATACACTATACAATTAGGTTGTTTGATAGAAGAAAAATGAGTATTTATTATTTTCAATGAAAAAAATAGTGCAAATAATTTATACTCTATTATATTGTTCTTTTTTGATTATATATAAGGGAGATTAATATCTTTTTTTTATTAATTATTTTTTATTTTAATAATGGCAAGAAGAGGTCAATAACCACCACAATAATAACAATAAGCTCAACCCGCTCAAAAAAATTAGGCAGGAAAATTCAATCCTGCTGAATTTGTGAAACCAGGACTCACTGAAGAAGAAGTTTTGGAAATCAAAGAGGCTTTTGACTTATTTGATACAGATGGGTATGTATTATTTTGAAAATCTTAGTACTTAATCAATTGACCCAAAGGAATTAAAGGCTGCTATGACATCATTGGGATTTGAAGCCAAGAATCAAACAATTTATTAAATGATTAGCGATTTGGATACAGATGGAAGTGGTCAAATAGATTTTGCTGAATTTTTGAAATTAATGACAGCAAGAATTAGTGAAAGAGATTCTAAAGCTGACATTCAGGTATCTAAATTAATAATAATTTTCATTAGAAAGTCTTCAATCTTTTTGATTCAGAAAGAGCTGGTTTTATCACTTTGAAGGATCTCAGAAAAGTAGCAAAAGAATTGGGAGAAACTATGGATGACTCCGAATTATAAGAAATGATTGACAGAGCTGATTCTGATGGGGATACTTAAGTGACATTCGAAGATTTCTATAATATAATGACCAAAAAGACATTTGCATGATTCAAATCAAAAATACATAATAATATACATAAATTCAATTTATTTATGATAACCTGATAAAACATTATATGAAAATAATGTTAATCTCATTAATCATTCTCCTACCTAGGGTCAATGTATACAGCAGGAATCAAGCCTGCTCTAAAAGTAGATATCACTTTATGGACAAGTTCCGATCTCTTGATTTTTGGATGATCATTGTAGTCTTGCTGCTAAAATTCCATGAAATCATTAGCAGGAGCAGGAAGACTATAATAGTGACTATAGAATCCAGAATTACTCCAAATCACCAGAGAGTACTCTTTTCCCATTTAAATTTTCTGAGGAGTCTTAAAAACTATGTCATAACACCTATCAATAACTTTTTCATGTTTGTGCTTTATAGTTCTGCTTTCTGTGTAAATGGGCTTTTTTTACAGGTTTTTCTTGTGATACAACCCAACGTTAAAATTAACTGGTTTGCGTTGATGATTAAGCACTTATGAACAAAACAACATAGGTTATTTGAAACCCAACAGTTTGAAGTTTCGGAGAGCTGTGAATATCATCACGAACTATGCTCCTTATTCCAGTCGCCATGGCCAATTTTCTTCATTAAATGTTTTGAGTCTTGGTATTTCCAATTTGTCTAACATTAAGTTTTCATCAATCTTTTCTGGATGCGAATTTCCAATATGCTCTTCTGACTTAAAATGTTTAAGATTTGATGACTATTTATTTCCATCTTGTCTATCCATAAAAGGTAGACTATTCAACGAGCTAGGGAATTAAGTCTTAGTAGAACTAGTAGGTTATTTGATAGCCTCAATAACTCTTTGGAGTTTAGACTAAATGGAATCTTTGAGGATCACAAAAATTTAATGTTTTTTCTTCAGAAAGGCACTTAGTTATGTTATTTCATTTGGGGGTTTTTCATACTAAATTTCTTGCAATTGTGCAGTTAAATCAGTTTCTATCGATTGAACCAATTTTTGTATCATCACTTTGAATAGATTTACAATACTAATAGTCTCTTTTACAAAAATATTATCGATCAGATAGGATATAGGAACCGTCTCATGTTCATGTTTGCACTATTTGCATAGGCATCTAGTTTAACAATTCTAATCAACACAAAAGTTAACTATATCTTCTTTATGCATTGTGCAATAAGGATTCATTAAAAAACAGCTAATATTAATATATATATATAAATTTAATTCAACTAGCAATTAAAACGTACTCAATAATATAGTTAATTAAAATAATTTATATAAATGATCATTGGCTGATGAATAGGCTTCTCATCATGTAGTTGCCTTTCATTTTCTCTGGCTCATTAGCAGCAGAAAAGTAATTGCTGATACCTGGTATATAGGAAAATGGATCAGCAACTTTATTACTAGACAATAAATCCAAGAATAGTTGATCAGATATGTATTCTTGAAATACTACTTTTGAATCCTCATCGGAAATGACAGATTCTCTTAAGTCTTTAATTTTGATATTGGATTATTTCTCATTTTCTCTCATTTCTACAATTTTACTAAGTCCTTTTGGAATTTTAGATTAATCAGGGTATTTTTTTTTAAGCCATTTCACCAAGTTATTACCAATCATCTTCGGGAGATTCTTATACTTGATATCAGCCTCTTTAATTGTGACTGTTTCTTGTTTTGTTGTAGTGGTGGGCTATTTAGTATATTCTTAGTGGGATTAAAAACAAAACTCATCTTAGTTCTCTTCTTCCATGTGGCTGTTGTGAATATATGAATCTGTATTAAAAAGGTCCAATGAAAGAGCAGCCATTTATAAACCAAAATGATAATTATTTGGTTATTAATATCCACTCTTGAAGTATTCGAATTCTATTACTTTTGTTCAATTTATTAAACTATAATAATATATAAATATTTTGAATAATTATTTAAATTATAAACATATACAAAGTTTTAAATAATTAATGATTCTTGAAAATAAACTAAATCATAAAAATTACTAAATATTATAATTATTGTCAATTTTTCACAAAAATTAAATAATTATGAAGCTATATTTCTAATGATCTGTTCAAATATTATTCAAGAGCATTTTTTATGATTTAGAAGCAGTTCTGTTGTAATTTAAAAAATTATAATTTTTTCATTTTTTGTTTTTTAATTATTTTTTTTTTATGGATTTGAGATAATTCGTATTTTTATTTCTTGAAATTGGGTGTTACTATTTATTATTAGTTGATCATCTAAAGTTTATTGATATTAGAGAAATATATTGGCTATTAATTAAATTCCCTTTTTATTTTGATATTACTCAAATTGAACTCTAAATTCACAAAAAGTGATTACACAATTAGAAAATTGTCTTGATTATTCTAGGATGAATTCAATCGATTTTCTATTTGGTATAACATTGACAATTATGATTATTCTGGTAATTAAGTCTACAATTGCTCAATATATTAATGTAAATCATTTTAACATTGTAATTTGATTAATACTAAGGGTCACTTTAGTATTCGTATAAAAAAATAATGATGTAAAATTTATCCTGAAACAAATAGAAATAAAAGGGTTTGTTTGCCATAAGGTTTTCATTAATAAATAAAATAGAACAATTGCATCCATATTGTATAAATTATTTTTCATTTTAAATACATATTGTTGAAAAAAATATTAATAATAAATCATAATGAAATTTATATATTTAGTCATTTTGGAAATAGTCATTGTGGAAAGTCGAAATACGTTCACTTTTTCAATGAATTCAACCGATATTTATGATACAACATTGCAATTTGAAACAGATGCATATAGTAGTTCGATTAGTCTTAAATGTGATGTAAAATTTTTCATAAGTCTTAGAATTTATAATACTATCCTTGGAGTTCAACCAGTTATGGTTAATTTGATGTAACTTCAGAGCAAAGAAGATCTTTATAGTGTTCTGACACCAACTTCACTATTTAATTATCCAATGATTTCAATAAGGAGGAAATTTTGATCTCAGTTTACGATGCTAAGTATTTCAAAAAGATCGCAATATTCAAATTTTTATCAGACAACACCTATGTTCCTATAACTCCTTTGACTGAAGACTAAGCTTAATTATCAGCTCTTAGCTACACTAATAACGACTTTAATATAACTCTATATACTGCTAAGACAATCTATTTGGAGGTTTTTAAGTGTTAAAATTCATAAAGTTAACTAACTATGAAAGGTTATGATTCTAACTATCTCGTCCATAATGTGACCAAGATGAGTTCTAAGGAAGCCTTTTATGACATATTATAAGCCAATTAAGGAGTTTATTATTATAGATTGTCATAGAGTTACTACAGTTCCCCTGATGTGTTTATTAAAGTAATTTAATAAAATATTTATTTAGTATTAAACTGCTCCTTTTTTTTCAATTGATTAAAACAAGATCAAGGAATACGGTGACAAATATTACAGTGTCTATGCATATGTAAGCTCAAGGAAAATACGAGTCTCCTTCCCTTCAGTTTAGGTTACAAATAATGAAAATGTTGAATTTACTGTTTTAGTGAGTAGGGATGCTTATGAGGGCAACTACGTAAACTGTGTCAATGGAGATTTTAATCTTTTTTATAAATACGCATAAACCTATTCCTCTCAATTAAGAACTTTTTATTAGTAAAGAAATTATGGCACCCAAGATGTTGAAGTGGATTTCCCCAATTCAGAGACTGGATGGTATAATGTTAGAGTGACTGCAGTAGTGGATCATGGATATATCAAACAGACAATTACATACGGCAAATATACAGTCTATTAGGACTATGAGATTTTCCCAGACACATTATTGGTTCACATCTTAGCTCCCATCATCATTTCCTGCATTGCTTTAATAGGCTTGATTTTTGGAGCCTGCAAGTTTTCAGCCAAAAAGAAATAGATGCAATAAATGGAATTATTGCAATAGTATTAAAGCAACATTAACCCTTAATATTGATTACGATAAAAATACAATATTTATATAAAGTTACTCATCTATATGTATTAATAATGATTGAGAAAGAATTCATTTTCCTTGCTAACAATTGCTATTCTATTGCAGACTTTTAAAAAAGCAAGGATTTGATCGGTATAAGTAACTATTAACCTTTCTGACCCCTTCTACTACAAGTAACTCATAATCTGGCACTCTTCCTGCTTTAGAACATGGAAGTTACAGCAAGTTCTCTCCATATTTATTAAACTAATATATATATCTATTATGAATCGAACCTTTGTAAAATTCTTTGTTAACTCACATTACTAAATTACAGGCTTGAAAAGACTTAAGTTCACAAATATAGGAATGAAGCAAAAATCAACAAGTGAGATTTACTCCCCATTCATAAATTTCTTATCTTACAACCACTTTTCTACTTATTCAAAATTTGTTTTTAATAATTCCTTGTGTTTAAAGAATTTCTTATTCATATATAATAAATACCTCCTCCTCTTGACTAAAAACGAAAATTGACATATTTTTCATTATCTCACTTGCATATTCAAATTTTCCTCTGTCCAAAGCCTTTTATATCGGATCAGATGGCATGATCTAGGGGGGTGTCATTTCATCAATATATTCCATAATAGCATCGGATTCAAATAAAACAACTATGTAACATAATCATTCATAATATACTGTCATCTCCAATAATTAATATTGGTACTCTAGCCAAAGGACTGATCTTCAAAAACCATTCAGGTTTGCTATACATTTCTATGAATTTTATCTCAAATTTAATGTTCTTGTAACACATTAGAGCCAGCACTCTCATACTATAAGGGCATAATTTAAAGGTAACCAAGGTGTGTTTAAATTTTTGCATTTAATCTGAAACTTAATACAAGAATAAATTTAATTACGCCAATAAAATTCTGAATTCTTTACTTTCATACAAAGCATTGTATTTTATACATAAGTAAAGAAATATAGTTCTTTTAAAATTAATTTACTAGTCAGAATTAAGAAACTCTTATCTGTTCTCTATTCAAAACAAGATTAATTTCTAATCTATATATTTTACGAGTAATATTCTAAAATTCTTAACTCATAATTCAAAAGAATTATATTAATTGTTATTTGGAGGATGAATTATCAAAATTTCAGTCCATTTTTTACTATCTCCAACAATCAATTGTGCATTTTATAAACGCCATGAATTGAATAATATTACTATTATAAAAAAGTTTCAATATATAAATTATCAAATATGAAACGTCGCCCTCAAAGTGCAATCATAGCTAAGATCATTAAGGATAGATAAGAATCAGGGATGAATAAGTAAAAATACAATTCTAGCAGAGTTCATAATTGATCTATATAAAAAAACAAACTCCATAATAGGTACCACCCAAGGAATATTTTGAGGATCAGGAACAAATGTACTTTGCGAATTTGTCATTGAAATAATAGTGTAATGAGTTAAAATTTGAGAATTCAAAACTCAAAGCCTCGGTATCTCAATTGAAAGTACCAATTATATTTATAGAATAGAAATAAATTATAAAGATAGAGAAGATCGATAAATATTAGGCAAATTGCGATCCTCTTGGAGTGATTTAAGGGGGTGAGGGGAGCATCGTACCAATTTTGAAAGCTAAAGTAAAGGAATAGCGTAATTAAATTGAAGAATTATAAACTGATTTGCATTAACAGTATAAGTCTGTTAAATTGACAAAATTATCAGAGTTATAAAGAGAAATTGAGAATTAGTAAAATGAAATTATGAAGCTCAGATAAGTTATTCAATCTGCTCTCAATATTAATGATTAAGAGTAAACTATAATATAATTTATAAAGTTTGGTGAATGATCCAAATATAATCGAAAAGCTCTCAAAATTCACAATCACAGTACACTAATAAGAGAATTCGATTTAATAGTTGATGAAGTAGAATGATAAATTAAAGCTGGAATATTAGGAAATGTCTAATGATAACGCTAAATTATTAGAAGAAATGAAGTAATTGAATTTTGAGAAAATTAATTATAAAAAGCAATTGGATGAATAAACAATCACAGAGAGTGAAATGTATCAATAAAAGAAGAGAGAATTCTTGGAAATGAAATTAGCGTATACATTTTAATTAATATTACAGTGCTACTTTGAAGTAATTGGATACTTTAAAAGGGGAGTTGTCTTTGTATGAGAATAAGTCAAAATTGTTATAGAAGCACATCAAGGATTAAGAAAAAGAATTTAAATAGACAATAATGGAATTACAAAAGTAGAAATAAAACTTAGAAGAATAATGCAATAAAAAAGATATCATAATGTATTTTAAATACTATTTTAGATAAGATTTAAATGATAGGATTAATATTTTGGATTTATTGAAGCAGAAGAACTCTCCTAAGCCATCTGAGTCTCCTCTCACTTTGCAACTCAAAAAGTCATTCTTTCCTCCCACAACTTACAGAGATTAAATGACATAATTTCCAGAAAAACAAAATTAGGATATCAATTAGGATGTTAATTGTAAGCCCATTAATAAGAATAAATTGGAAAATCTGTTTTAGTAATTAAAATTCAAAATCATCTCTTAAAAATTAACAAAGGAAAGGATTCATTTTACATTTCATAACAAAGAATTCATATAATTAAGTGATGCAATTTAAGTCTTTATGAATGCACCCTATAACTTTTAAAAATCTGATTCAATAATATTGGGTAGATATCTAATTGGAGAGGATCAAGGACTCTCAAATTCAATATAATGGTAGGATACATAGGAAGTTAAAGAAATTGTTGAATAATTTTTCAACCACCCTAAGATAAAATCTTAATATGTAAATAGATTTATTAATATAATAATAGTTAACATTTTAGACAATTTTGAAACAGAATTACTATTCAAGAGCAGTTAATGAGAAATTAATGTAATGTAATATACCAAGTAAAATATACAATAGAGATGACTTCATCTTGCTATTGAAAAATAACTTTAAATTCACATACGAGCAAATAGATTATATGTTGATGATGAACTATATATATTCAAACGAAGTAGAAAATATAGATATAAATGCTCTGAGATAATTCATAATACAAGAGTGTGATCTCTAAACAACACTTCATAATTTAACATATGTTTGTTAAGATTCCGTTAGATATGTACCAAAATAAATCAAAAAAGTTTCATATTCAGATGATGATGAATTTAATTATCCTATGGTTGAAAGCAAGAATTTGAAATCTAACTAAAAATAGAAAGATGATTCAAAAATTGAAATTAAACCACCTGAATTATCAAATCAAGTACAAAATATCATTACAAGTGAACAATACTTAACGTTTTCATGTATAATTTATGATATACTTAGAATTTAAAGTCAGTGATTAATAATAACTCAAAAGTTCAGAATCTAGAAAGCCAAGCAACCATAATAATAACAATAGCGATATTTTCCAATATAGTCAATCATTACTACCCATGACCACTTTGAAAAGACCTTCGGATTTATAATAAATGTCATAAGATAACTCAATCTAATTTAATATTACAAACTAATTTTAGTCTCCATAAACAAATAAGAAAAGGACGAATTAAATAACTGAATTCTATCCTGGGAAAGAGATTGCTGATTAAAGGAACATCCAATATAATGTTGATAACGATACATAAATTACTGACATCAATAAAAAGGAGGATGATTATTATGAAGAAATTTTGGAAGAATACATAGAAGAATTGTGATAATTTATTTAGTAATAAATTATAATTTCATATAATCATTAATCATTAAATAACTATATAAAATATATGCTTTACAATATAATATCAAATAGTATGATATAAAATTAACATAAATTATCACTCAATAAGTAAGGTAATAATAATTTATATATATGTAATCAGACTTCATTAAAATTAAAGCAAGTACTCTTCAGCATTATATATTTTATTTCCACCATAAATGATCACTTTTTTAATGCTTTTAGCAAATTCACTTAATTCAGCATATTCATTATAACAAGCCCCATCTGTAAAGCACACTAAGATGCCTTTGATAGTTTACAATAAACCGAATTCTAACCTCTAACATAGAATGGTAAAGTACCGAAATATTTTTAACTCTGGAATCATACATGGTTAATATTGATTGCAACTCATCGATCTTCAATTCATTTAAAAACAGATTTTCTAACATTTGAACAATAGCAGATTTCTTTCCTATTATGAAAATAGGGTTAATCTATACCTTGCGATAAAAAGTTTTGAACATTTTTCAATAGACCCTTTCCAGAATTAGGCATCTTGGATGTGATGGCAGCAAATAAGGATTTATATGCGCTTTGCTATTTATTGTTTTAATTAGAAGCCACTCTTTATTTAAAATTAGAAAGAATGTTCAAATATTTTTCATTTTTAATTGAAAACAGCTATTCAAATTTCTTAAACTCTTATTGGTTGTAATTGTTTAATAACATTAGAATCAATAATCTGAGTTTATCAATTTCCTTGGATTACTCAATTTAAGTATCTTCTGATTGAGGATAATCATTGATTGCCACAGTATCATTTTATAATATGCTTTATCCCAATTGATAAAATTTATCAAGTGACTTTTATTTTGCAATTTGAGTCAGTTATTTAGCTAGATTAATGTGTGAATCAACCATCTTTTTTTATTGATTCATTTATGGCACTAAATCAATAGCATTAAGTGCACTCGAAATTTCTTAATTTTATTATGACACTTATTAATATTGAGTGTTCCAATCATTTAATTCATTATCAATTTTATCGATTGCATAAGGCAAAGCCAAATTGCATGCTTAGAGCCATAAATCATCATATTAAGGTGAGAGATCATATACTTGATCCTCTAATTTAACTTTATTGTATTGAATATTGAGAGTATCATGAAGCAATGCTCCATATGTGTTTGAATGCATTATTAAAGTATTCAGATCGATGTCTCTGTCTGGTAAGATGATTGCTAGCAGAGGGTAATCTGAATTGATTTCAAATTATTTGAGTTTTTCAATTAATTCTTTTGCAATTTGTTCAATTTTTGAATTCTTTTGGAATATGATCAATGGTTAGATTTTAAGAGCAATTATGATAGAAAACAATCCATTTACAACTTGATTTTCCAGATTAAAGAAATTATGATTAAGAGCAACAAAGTCAAGATTGTGTTCATATACTTTTTATATTTTTTAGACAGCTCCACTAATTTTGCTAAGCTCTTTGGCCATGTATTCTAATAAAGTGTTTTCAACAGGAGATGAGAAATTAATGTACACTTCTGAATAAAGATCTCTATTAAAATCATCAACCATCTTTTCTATACTAGTTTGTATTGGTTGTATGAAATAAATTGCTGTGACTCCATGCAATCTCTCTCGAATTTGATCAAGATTGAAATGAAGAGTAATGCACATTTCTCTCAAATCTCCTACCCTGTATATAGTGGACAATCTTTTTTCACAGTAGGAATCATAACAGAGTATTTTAAAAGGGATTCTTATGTCTGGCTTTAGGATTGGAGTTAAGGCATCTCTTTAGGCTTGAATGAGTGACGTGTTGATTTGCATTTATAATTAATTTATTATATATATAACCACATTTATAATAATTATTCATTCAAATGATTACATGTTTGATTGTGCGCACTATGAGTGATGATACCTTGTTAATAGTGTGTGAGTAAAGCGAAAACAGAATTAAAAAATTATTAAAATTAATATTTCTAATGAAAGCAGCCTACATTGTTTCCGCAGCTAGAACACCCATTGGTTGTTTCTTAGGCAAATTGAGTAAGGTTAAGGCAACTGACCTTGGAGCCACCGCCATCAAAGGTGCTCTCTCACAAGTCTCAATACCATAAGATGCCATAGATGAAGCTATTTTAGGAAATGTTTGTTCAGCTGGAATTGGCTAGGTAACTATTAATTATTCATGAATAGGCTCCTGCCAGATAAGCAGTGATCAAAGCTGGATTACCATCAACTACTCCCTGCACTACAATAAATAAGGTTTGCTCTTCAGGTATGAAATCAGTTACTTTTGGGCTCTTAAAGCATTCAATTGGGGTAGTCCAATATAGTCATAACTGGAGGTTTTGAATCAATGTCCAACATTCCTCATTACATCAATGCAAGACAACCACTTAAATATGGAGATGGCAAATTGTTAGATGGTTTAGCCACTGATGGTTTGTCTGATGCTTACAGCAATGTAGCTATGGGAGTCTGTGCTGAGAAGACAGTCAGCGATCTTAAATTAACTAGATAATTATAAGATGACTATACAATCACTAGTTATGAAAGAGCACTTGAATCAATCAAAACTGGAAGATGGGCACATGAAATCACTCCAGTCAAGGTTTCTGAGAAGGAAATAGTCACTGAAGATGAGGAGGTCAAAAGATATTAAAAAGAGAAAATCCCAATTCTGAAAGCAGTCTTTGCCAAAGATGGAACTGTAACAGCTGCCAATTCAAGCAAAATCAACGATGGAGCATGTGCAATCATTTTGGCATCAGAAGAAGCCTTGAAAAAATACAATTTGACACCTTTGGCTAGAATTGTTTCATATGCTGATGCTGAACTTGACCCAATGGATTTCTGCATAGCCCCAGCTAAATCATCTGCCAAGGCACTACAAAGAGCAGGGTATCACTATTCTCCCTATTTATTAGACTCAAATTAGCCAATATTGATTACCATGAAATTAATGAAGCCTTTGCTGCTACAGTCTTAGCCAATATGAAATTATTAGATTTACCATTAGATAGAATAAATGTCAATGGTGGTGCAGTTGCATTGGGTCATCCTATTGGTATGAGTGGTGCAAGAATCATTTTGTCCTTGCTCACTGTGTTAAAATAAAATTAGGGTAAATATGGATTGGCAGGAATATGCAACGGTGGCGGAGGTGCTACATCAATTATTATTGAAAACTTAAATTGAGATTTATAATCCAATAATATATTCATTTATTAATATCAATATAAATATCCTATTTAAGCATCTCAAATTATCTGGGTTGTTTATCTAAATTTATCAAAATAAATAGTATTCGTTATATTAATCTAATTTGATTAATATATTTATCTTTCTTATATAAGAAAAAAATATTTAAAGATAAGTCAATCATAAGATGAAATTATGTAATCCTCATTTAAGACTCATAAATGAAGATACATTTTACTAATTTAAAAACAGTAAACTACTTATTAATACAATTTATCTTATGAGTTTATTTTCTGAATCAATTATATACTCATGATTATTATTAATATATATGCATATCACTTCTCACAATCATCTTATTCACATTCTCAATATCAATTCTTTAGTGATTAGAATCACAATTTATACTGTACCACTTCCGCTCCCTGTTTTTTAAGACTTCTCTTACTGCTAAAGGTGCCAATTATCCTCCATTCTCTCCAATATCTCCTGAATTGTATTTAAAACCTATTTCCTCTTTCGGGAATACCAAGGGTATATAATCATTCACTTATATTCTCTTATAAATTGGATCCAATTCTATAAGAGATCCCCCTAGTTTCACACCAGCCTAATATAAAAAATCTGGAGTGTTTTTCATAGAAGCTTTGATAGATTTTGAGCTTGTTAATATCAAATGTAAATGATTTTGCTATATCAAGAGACTTCTTGTAGAATTTCAAAGCAGTCTCTATATTATCTTGTGCAATCTATTATCTCTCTTGTTAATAATACAAAAGATCTTTTTATTCTTTGACTTTGTAGGCTAAATTTTGTGCATCTTGAATTCCTGTATTCATTCCAAATCCACCAGCAGGTGGCATTCCATGACATGCATCTCCAACTAGAACACAGTTATTCTTATAATATTATTCTGCGTAAACAGCACCCATTCTCCAAAAACCAACAGACTTTATTTCGATATCATTTACTTAATTTCGTAATGTTTTGTTTATAAGATTTTTAATTAATACATGATCTTACTTTAAGTGTTAAACTTCTTATATGTCAGTTTTACCAGTCAATAGATCTAAGGGTATTTGAATAGCAAAGGTGCCATCTTCAATTCTATGTTTAATTATGACTGCTGTAATATCAGAATTATATATGAATGATAACATTGAGTTGTATTATTCAAGTCTATTTACTAATTACTTGGATGTGAAATGAATATTTAAAAATCTTTAAAGATCTCGATTGCCTATCAATTTGATTTTCAGATAATCCCTAACAAAACCATTCAATCCATCACATCCATATAGATAGTCACATGTTATATCATCATTAACTTTGATAATTTTATCCTTGAATTCAATTTTCTTAATTTCCTTATTTAATTAAATTTTATCTCTTATTCCCTCTTAGACATGTTGGACAAATAGACTTTATGGTAAATGTGCATAACTTGTATATGAATATTATTTATAATCTATTAATTAACGTGTACTATTCAATGGTTATTCTCCAATTCTACGCAAATAAACATAATTAGAAAAATGTTGGATATTTTCTAATGGTAATTAGATGTTTAATTCATCTAGAATCTACATATCAACTAGAAAGTAGTACTTCCATTGTTCTCATATTGAGATAATGAGCTGAAGGATGTGCAGATAAAAAGGATTGCTTTTCGAATATTTGAAAAGGGATGTTAAATCTCTTAAAGTAATGTCCCAAAATGAGACCAACTCTATAAAGTTTATAATGTATTACGGTCCAGCACCAACAATCAAATGAGGAATATGCACCATGTTTATAATATATTATTAATAATCATCTTTTTTATATCTGTAATTCTTTTTTCATAAAACAATTCAGTTTTAGCCGATCCCAAATTCACTATTTCAGAACACCCATCTGTATCCTCTTCTTGTTAAATACAAAGTTTGACATATGAATCATATATCATTCATTTGTCATCCCATTACTCACATAATCTATCAATTGCAAACCTAGCTATTTACAACAAATCGGGATGATTTACCATTAGTTATTAATATTTATAAGTTTATATTCATTTCTATGTAATCCAAATCTTTACCTTCTTGTCTGCTGAACAACTAATTAAGTATGTACTGAATTGTAAATCAGTGATTTGATCATTATGAGCATCTAATTCAATAAGGGATTCAATCAACACCGTAACTTTCCACTTCTAAATTTCTAATAATTCATTAGTTAATTACTTCCAGACACATCCCCCGTATAAAATGTATCTAGTTCATTTCCCTCAACTGAAGCTGTAAATGGACTTCTATGCTTTACAGTAGTAACCAATTGTAATGCACTATCCCATAGTCTAATTACTCCATCAGTTCCAATTGTAATCAATCTGCTGTCATGCATAGGTATTATGCCCACTACTTCATTGTTACTTGATTGTATGACATTGTCAACATGAAACACATTCCCTAATTTCCATTAGTAGAGTCTTCCCCCTAAGTCTGCTGAAAATAGTTTATTCTCAAATATCGCAAAGCTACAACAATCATATTTATGCATGTAAACCTGTGGAGTTAAATTGATAAATAAGTATTCAATTGGTTAATCTGCTATTATTTGTTATTTCAATTTATAAACAATTAATTGAGTTTAAACTAAAATCAAGAATAGATCATTGATCAAACCAATCTTATTAATCACTCCAATATTAGGTGTTATAAACTCACCTTTGGGTATCCACTTATCCTTCCTCTTCTCATACATCAATACTTGTGTCTAAGTTAACAAAGCCAAAAGACTTTAAGTAATTTCAACCACTTATTTAATGTTTTGATTATTGCCCAATTATTACATTAATTTTAAACTAGGGTACTCAAAAAATGAAACTATTTTCGAACATGTAACAATTTATCCATTCTTCATTCTTATACATGATATCACATATGTTAAATGGTCAATTACTCCATATAATTAAAAATTTTCTGTTTTCTCAAATTATAATTGAGTATTATCAAATTTAGTTGGTCTTGCAAGTAATGAAGTGTAATCAATTGATTAAATATACTCCTATTATTTATCAGGATATAAACTATCCACAAATTCTTAGTAGGTCCCGTATGGCTTAGATGTGTGATACTCCTTTGGATTTGACAAATGAATTGCACTCTAAAACAATCTATCTTCACGTGATTTAAGTGTATTTTCTAATTTCAATGCATTTTCTAGCTTGATCTACTATTGATCTAATTAATACTAATTTCCAATATAGAATAACCCATCTAAAACTGTTTTAACTTAATTAATTTATTCTCTCACTTTAGTAACTATTCTAATTTTATCTTTTTCATATTTATTAATCACATCCTATGATCCCTATTACAATATTGGCAATACTAATTATAATCCTTCTTCGTACACCTTACCATCCTTCATCATTTCAATATGATCAATGATATTCTTTAATTATTTACTGTGTATCCATTGATTATCAATTAGAGATATTAACTTCTATTCCCTCTAATTAAGAATCTAATTCGTCTTTTCTTTTAAGTATTAAAATTCTTTTTTAATATGCTAAATTATGTCTTCCTTGAAATAAATTCGTTTCAATCGTTCAACTTCTGATCTTTGTCAATACATATTAGTACCTTTGAAATTCATATAACATCCTATCAACAAACTTGGAAAGGGGAGTTACATTTGTATCGACATGGCCAATATGCTGTTAGTTGACACATGAATTACATGCCAATTTATATTTGCAATCTAGTTTATTGCAAACATGAGTGGTTTGGGAATTATGTTAATAACAATTCATTAAATTGTGCATACTAATTATTATTAATAATAAATATATCGTTTTATGAGAAAGAGATTTCATTTGAATAAATGGTACCATTCATTGTATTATTGCCTTTTGTTGATAAGTAAGAAAGAAAATAACGTGTTATAGTCTCTTGGTATAAGGTGTCCTACCTTTCAATTATAAATTGGATCTTCTATTGTATATTCACATATTACTTGGGATACAAATGTAAAATTATATAATATTTTTTACTAGTTTTTAGTGAGGAGATACTTAAATAGTTCAAGTTAATAATGAAATGCCACCTTATAATCTCATTGACAATAAGTGTATATTTTGTAATAGGATTGTTTCTTAGTTTATTAAATAGTGAAATCCAATTGGTAATGATAGAAAGGTTGAATTTCAATAGTGAAATATACATATTCGGATATGAAAGTGTATTTGCTTTGATGCTATGTTAATTACTATTGTATTTGGCAATGGTAGTATTTTTATTGTTTATCTATTGGAATGCTCAAATGCCATAATACGAGTACGTAGAACAGAATGAGAATTACACATTCCAATAGAGAAAGACTAGTTATTTGAGGTAATAGAGCATTATGGATAAAATAATAATGCTAATAATAGTTTAATTGTGTTTGAATGATGGATTGATTACTTTGTTCTTGGTTCTATGTATGTTGGTCTGGTTGGCAATTCACTTTCATATTTTGAATAAAAGAAGTCGATTTCGATATTGTCAAATAGTGATCAAGAGTATCATCGTATGTTCATTTGTGGCATTACTGATGTTGATTTTATCGGGATAATAGAACTATAGTTTCAGCACTTTAAATGGAACTCTGAACATTTATAGAATATTCAGGATATTTGGAATTTTGATTATGACTACCATCTTAATATTGAGTATGAGAGCATACCACTATTAGATGATAATAGGAGATGAAGAGGAAATCGAAGATTTAGAAAAGGAAATCTAGAAGGATATGAGATTGAAGATTTCATCATTAGAAATACTTTTAGGAGAGAATTACTTCGGAGTTATTATGATATTGAGTGTTTTTTGGATATCAAAATAATTTAGCATATTGAGAGGATTAGTCTATTTAATTCTATTGGTTGGACAATTAAAGAGGAAACATTATAAAGCGACAAGACGTTGGTAGTGTGCAATTGCTATATTGTACTTAGCATTTGTCTAGTTTTTCCTATTGAAATTGTTTAATATCGCCCTAATTTAAGGTAAGTGCGTACTTTCAGTATTTGGGAGTGTATGAGCAACCACAATTCAATCCAAACGAATTATTTGCAATTTGGAATTACTTCTATAATAGATTCAATATTATTATGATTGACTTATTCTACATTCTAATTGTCAGTTGGCTTGTGTATTCATAATAGACAATCGATGATAGAAGACGTTAAAAGAAGATCAATGATTTGGATAGTAAAGATCGTCCTAATAGAGAATAGAAACAAAGTTGTTGGAGTAACTTCAAATCTAATTTGTCGAGTTTCAGTTATCAAATTTAGAAGAGTTTCTTGATTCACTTTGATGAAATAGTCATCATATATAGTTTGATTACTGCCTTAAGTCATGCAGACATATTTAGAGGAGTGTTTTTGATATTCTTTATACTTTATGCTTTTGCTTAACTAGAAAAAAGAAGGAAGTTTATGAGAAATCATTTAAGCATTGGTTACATTATATTATTCATATTATACTCTATGCAATTGATGTTTTTGGGATCATTACAAACACTCAATTTTATATTTAAATTTGGTGGGTTAGATGAAGTTACTTAATAGTTCAAATTCTCTTTTTATTTTATCTACAAATACTATGATATAATTATTGGATGTGTCTTATTAACATTTTAAATTTAAGTAATCCAAAAAAGTGATCATTATTAAGAATATAAGAAGAAATTAAATGATTACAATCTCGATTATTTAAGGTAAATATTGCAAACTAATGGATTGATTTTCTGTTAAATCATCGCTTTGATTGTGGCCTTTATTCCACCTGCAAACTTATTATCACTAATATTCATCTTCTTTTTCTAACTGTTTCTCTATTTGTATTATATACATGGACAACTAAATATCATTATGGACAGATTATATCAATATTGGCCACTCATGATCACTCTAACATTGATAATTCTGATTGTCAGATACACATACACAATTAAATTCTTTTACTATTTTGTGGAATTGTACTTTTAATAACCCACTCTTTTAAGTGACTTTGGATTGGATCCAAATTTTAACACTCTCAAATTAGCAGGAACTGGAATTGCATTACTAGTCTTATGTGCATATAAGAGAGCCTATTTGGCACCATTAATAGAACAATAGAAATAGCAGAAATAAATCTACAAAAAAGGCACCCTTGCATATTACATTTATTGCATTCATATCAAACTCTGTGTGTACAGTGTTTATCACATACAAAAAGTGACTTTCATGTTTTCATTCTTTATTTCTGTGTACTAGTAAAGTTACATAGGTTTCTTATTTGGCATTATGATTTTCTTAATCATGCTCAATGAAATGAATAACAATTGGTAAAACACATCCATACCATTTTTGGTTATTATATTTGTTCAGATTCTCATTTAATATATATTCCAAGCAGAACTACTAAGAAATGCTTAGGGTTAGGAAACTATCTCCTGGATTGGAATTGAGAACTAATATCAGAACAAATATTGGTATTTATTGATTATGTTTCACCTATCAGAAATGCTTTAGGTTCTGAATGTAATGTTTAAATAATAAGTAAATGATTATCTTTAATTATTCCTTATATCTACAGACAGAGAAATCAGTAACCTTAATTTACTTTAACAATTGTTACATTCATTACAAGAAAATATCATATAAGAGTAGAATAGTGTTGAATCAGATGCCTCATAATAATAACAAATAGAATTGCAAGCACGAGATGAAAATTCACAGGAATCTATTTTTTATGATGAATTGGATGAGTAAAATGAAAGATTTGCGAAGATTCAAAGTTACTACATTCTTAAGTCAAGTATGCAATAGGAATAGTTTTATTATAGAGTCTATCCCTTTTATAGAGCTCTTAAATTCCATTAATCAGTTGATAATCTCTTTACTTAAATTGGATTGGAAGTATGTTTATTTTTTATTGTTATTACTGCATATTATCAAAGGAATTTCTTTTCTGTTTTCTACATTGTGGTTGCTAGTGCATTTGCCAATAAATCACATTTATTAGATAGACATTAGAAATTAGGCATATTTGGATAAGCATGGGGAGCATTGTGTATATTATAGATGTTGGAAGTCATAAGAAAATATGCTACATTGTAATGGACTCCTCCATCATGGGATGTTCGAAAACCATGGTGGTATTTTAGTTACTCTTGTGATCCTAGAGGAAAGGAGTCATTTAATAATGATGACCCTGATGATTCTACAAGTGATTTCATGAAATGCCAAACAGATTGGAATTATTGGCTGTCTTTATAAGGATATACTAATTGGGATTTGTGGATCAACTTCATTGCCTTACTCATCTCCTTGTGTTATTATCGACATTTCAAGACTGTTTAAAGAAGACAATAAGAATAGGAGATTCAAGATCACTTACATCCTGAGGTAGAATAGATTTAAGCTAATGTGATGGATAAAAATGATTTCACTTATGAAGAAAACAGAACTAAAATTACAGATTTCATAAAGTTTTTCATCTTTTGTTATTTCTATAAATTCGCTTTGATTATATTTTTATTGATAGGAATGTCATCGGATATCCAATCTTATACAGAAGTGATCTCTTGTATCTATTTCTTTTTGGCAATCAATCTATTGTATATGAGTGAGAAATTAGAGAAGGACAGAAATATAATTTGGGGTAAGTTGATATTATTTAATACAATTGTAATGATAGCAATGTCATTGTATTAAGCCCCTTTTATCAAATGTCCAATCATCTATGAAAATGATAGGTATTATTATGATAATGTGGAATGTGTGCAGATTCAACTCAACAATCATTATTACAATAGTGATTTCTTTATCTTCTTATAAGATGAGTTCCAATTATTGGCAAAACAAACTAATGATGTATTTAAGAAGTATGAAGGGGTGTCCACTTTAGATGTGATTTACATGTTCTTATCTCATCTCTTAGGTTTGAATAAAACTTTAGAGTATTAAATTTATTGTTAACATTAGTTTCCGATTTGGTTTCTGTAAGGAGACTTTGATGGCTTTCTTCTTTTTGCTTGGTCTACTACAAAGGAATATTTGGGCACATCCTTATATGAAATAATATGTTGATCCATATTTGTAGAGACAATAATAGAAATAGAAGATAAGTGCAATTATAATTGGTGGAGGGAATTCATTTAAAAAGAATTTGGGATTTCAAGTACGTGTAAGCATAAAAATAAGTGCATGAGAGTCTACAATAGAGAGTGTAAAACAGAGTTGAAAAATGGGATAATTTCTTTTAGTTTGATGATAATAAAAGTTTGAAAAAGAAGAGTTTCTTTTATTTAACTCCGAGGAGAGAAGAATAATTTTAGATCATCTAATTTACTGAAGAACGATCAGAGGACAATTAATAACATACAAGTTTTGATTCTGAAAAGTTCTAAGGATTCAAAGGGGAACCAAAGAAATTGATCAAGGCTGAAAGAATTACACAATAAAATAAAGCTCCAGTAATACATTTGTATGATGCCTGTTGTATTGTTAAAAATTCTATTAATAAAAAAGATTTGAGATTGAGATTAAAGAAATTGATGTTATTGGAAGAAAAACGATAATTGGAGAAGGTCTATTTGAATGATAGAATAGGTTTAACAAATTATCACGTTGGAGTAATTGATGAAATTGATAGAAAAATTATACAAGTTGACAATGAAATAGCTTAGTTATTTAAGGTGTAACAATTAAGAAAATCTATATCCATGAGAGACATTAAAATGATACCATTTGAAGAGTACAAAGAGGATCGCAAGTCT